CCAGAGTGAGACCCTGTCTCTACTAAAAATAGAAAGAAATTAGCTGGACTACTGAAAGTATATATAAAAAATTAGCCGGGCATGGTGGCACATGCCTGTAATCCCAGCTACTCAGGAGGCTGAGACAGGAGGACTGCTTGAGCCCAGGAGTTTGGGGTTGCTGTAAGGTAGGCTGACGCCACGGCACTCTAGTGAGTGCACTCACGGCAACAGAGTGAGACCCTGTCTCAAAAAAAAAATTAAAAAAACAAGGGAGAACAGTGTCTATACTATGTAGTTTAAAAAGGGATGGAGGGAGTAGATACACCAGGGCTGTCCTGGAAGTATCCAGCCATTGTATCCATGTATCCAATGTGTCCATGGCTGGATGCTTTCTGGACAGCCCTTGTACATGCATGTGTGTGTACACAACGACCCAGGAAGGCCACCCTAAAAACTGCTAAGAGTGGCTGCCTCAGGAGAGAAGAACTAGGGAGCAGGAGTTGGGGGATGGGGGACAGAAAGGTGGAAGGGAGAGTTTTATTTCAGCGTATACCCTTTTATACCTTTTTAATTTTGTGCTATATGCAAGTAATATCCACCTGAAAAGTAAAGTTAATAAAACCCCAGTGGTTATCTTGACACTGGAATACTGTAGGAAATGAGAACGAACCGTCTACTGCTATAACCAACAACATGGAACAAACAACACTGAACAAGAGAAGCCAGATACATAAAGTATACACTGCATGATTCCATCTACATATAATTCAAAACCAGGCACCTACAGTATACCGAACCAGAGGCTGTAATGGCCTTTTTTACACTCTAGAATGTATGAAAACAAAACGAGAGTCTGATGAAGTTGTTCAAAATGGAGTCAGAGTGTTCACTGAAAAGAAAGCACAGCTCACACTCTTAGGAACAGAGATGGACTATCCTGAAGACAAATTATCCAGTGAGTTTGTGTTCAATAACCCAAACATCAAAGGAACTTGTGGCTATGGGGAAACCTCAGCACTCCTCTGGCTGTGAGCTCCAGGAACACTCACGGATGCCTTGGGGCTTACTGAAGAAATCATGTGACTGTCACCTACTTAATGTGTGGCTGCCTCGTAAGGAAAATAAAATGATGCATTTTGGAAACAAAAATGGTAAAAACAAATTTAAAACACCAGAGTGGATCCTCACTACTGCACTTGACTAGTCTTAACACACACAAAAAAAACCCACCACAGTGGAATATTGAATGATTAGAAAACCACCAAAAAAAACAACAGAACGTGTCTCCTTGCTGTTGAACATCTCTTCTAAAGAATGTACCTCCAGTGACGCACAGGAATTACATCTGGACCACGTCCCAGCCATCCCCTCCAGCCTAGGAGTGGTTGGCAAAGAGGCTGGGATTCCCCGCCAACAGGTGATGGGCTGGTGACAAAGCCTCCTGTGGCTATAGCAAACCAAAAAGGTGTGCGGGGTTTTCACGAGCTGAGAGCTGAACCCTGTGTGGTAATATCTAGATGTTGCATAATAGTGTTTGAAGGAGACAATGCAGGGTAGTAGAAAAACTCACAGATGAGCCTACTGCCTTGACACCCAGAAATTTCTGCCTTACCAGTCACTTCAAAAGAACCAAAATGAGCATTCAGTGAATTCAGTCACCCCGTATATTGGCAATCGCCACGTGTAATCAGACGTTCCAAAGGGTCTCTGACATGGGCTCAGGTAACAACTGCCACAGTGCTGGGCTCCCTGCTTCTGTGCTTGGCCCCTGCAGTTTGTTCTCCACATGGAACCAGCGGGATCCTGTGAAGACCTAAGCCAGATTGCGTCCCTCTGCTCAGAGCCCTCCAGTGGCTCCCATTTCACCCAGTGTAAAAGCTTAAGCACTTACGATGGCTTTCTAGGCCCTAAGTGTTTTAGGGGACTTCACCCTCACTCTTCTACTTCTCTCCCCCTGGCTAACTCCACCCCAGCCACAATGACCTCCCTGCTGTTCTTCCAACTTGCCAGGCACAGGCCTGCTTCAGAGTCTTTGTCTTCTCTCCCAGATACATGTGTTGCTCATTTTGTTCAAATATCACCTTCTCAGGGAGGCCTTATCTGACCCTCCCCATTTAAATAAAAACCTCTTGCCACTGCTCTGTCCCTAGCTGAGGCACTCCCATTGCTCCCCGGCTTTTTTTTTTTTTTTTTTTTTGAGATAAGGGTCTCACTCCCTTGCCTCAGCTACAGCACAGTGGCATCATCATAGCTCACTGCAAACTCAAACTCCTGGGCTCAAGCAATCCTCCTGCCTCAGGCTTCTAGGTAGCTGGGACTACAGGTATGTGCCACTATACCAGGCTAATTTTTCTATTTTTTGTGAAGATACAGTCTCATTCTCACTCAGGCTAGTCTCAAACTCCTGAATTCAAGTGATCCTCCCACCTTGGCCTCCCAGAGTAGTCGGATTACAGGTGTGAGCCATTGCACCTGGCCCCCTAAGTCTCCTTAATAGTTTGATTTCCTCCATAGCATTCATCTGACATATGTTTTACTTATCGATTTGTCGGTCTTTCCCTACTAACATGAATGCTCCACATGACTGAATATTTGTCTTGTGCCATACACTGCTACATAAGCCCAGTACCTAAAACAGTGCTTGGCATATAGAAGGCACTTAATAAATACTTGCTGAACGAACAAATGAATGAATGAATCCATCATCTGTTCCCAAGTCTAGAGGTCCTATCCCTGTGCTGACAACATCTATACCTGTCTCTAGCTCCATGTCTAATCCCAAACTGTGGATCAGAAGGGATGGTACCCTTGGATGTCCCAAATTTACATCAAACCTGGACAATCCAACTGAAATGCAAGCTGCTCCTTCTACGTGTGTCCCATTTTGGCAACAGCTGCAATACTCCCTCAGTCTCTCCCAGGCCAGAAATCCTGTGCCTCACCACTTGGCTCCCTCATCCCCCATGTCCTATCTCTTCTGCCTCCAGTCTCTCTGTTCCCACAGCAACTAGGGTAACAGGACCAAAGATGGCTTCCCTGGGGTCACCTGATCATAAGAGAGTTCAGCAGAATTATCATCCAGTAATAAACACGAATCCCTCCCTTTACACAAACACCTACATGTTGACAGAGCACTTTTGGAGACATTATGTCAGTGGATTTTCGCAACAACTCCAGGCTTAGATGTCATTATTCCCAATGGACAGATGAGAAAACAGGTTTAGAGAAATGAAACAATTTGCCTGAGTCACAGAGTAGAGAGGGTGCAGGCCAAGACTAACTGAGTGTATCTCCCACAACAGTTGGTGTCAGGCAAGTTGCATAACTTCTTTGGGCCTTGTTTCCGCATCTGTAAAATGGGATGAAAACAGACCCTAGGTCATGGGGTTTTTATGAGGATTCAATGAGTTAATTCATATGAGGTGTACAGAATGCTGATTGGCAGGTTGTAATGTTGAATTATATTAGCTCTCACTATTATTCTTATGTAAGAGATTCGGGAGATGCTCAAAATCCTAAAATCATTAAAAAAATTTGTGAGGGAGGAGGGATGGGTATCTACAAACACAATGAGTGAGATGTGCAACATTTGGGGGATGGTCACGCTTGAAGCTCTGACTTGAGGGGGCAGTGGGGCATGGGCAATATACATAACCTTACATTTATACCCCCATAATATGCTGAAATAAAAATAATTAAAAAATAAAAAAAATTTGTGAGCTGTGTATTTTTCAAGGCAACAAAATCCTCAGCTTCTAATTATCAAAAGGCTCTGTGATCCAAAACTTTTTCAAAACCACTGAGCATAAGAGATAACAAGAATATGTCCAATATCAGGCCGGGCACGGTGGCTCACGCCTATAATCCTAGCACTCTGGGAGGCCGAGGTGGGAGGGATCGCTCGAGGTCAGGAGTTCGAAACCAGCCTGAGCAAGAGTGAGACCCTGTCTCTACTATAAATAGAAAGAAATTAATTGGCCAACTAATATATATAGAAAAAATTAGCTGGGCATGGTGGCACATGCCTGTAGTCCCAGCTACTCAGGAGGCTGAGGCAGGAGGATTGCTTGAGCCCAGGAGTTTGAGGTTGCTGTGAGCTAAGCTGATGCCACGGCACTCACTCTAGCCTGGGCAACAAAGTGAGATTCTGTCTCAAAAAAAAAAAAAAAGAATATGTCCAATATCAAACACAATCATATAAGCCTTGCTTCCCCAACATCATTCCCCTAAAAGCCCTACATTCAGAACTAAGGAAATGTGGTCAAAATCAAGAAAGCCAGTATGGCAAAGTGGTGGGCTCAAGTCTTAGCACTGTTATTTCTTAGGGGTGACAATGGCCTTTACGTCACACCACCCTTGTGAAGAGCAAGATTATGCAGATAAAACAGCCAGGCCACAAACTGGCAAGGAGCAGATGCATAAAATGCATTTAGCTTTCTTCTCCCACCACTTGCTTGTCCCTGACAGGAACAGCCTGTTCGAATTCTATGATCTTTCCTGTTTGTGTCCCTCCAAATTCACAGGGCTGTGGTTCGGATTCGGTGACAGGATGTGCAGCATGCACTCAGAAAGACCTCAGCCAGCAGCATTCCAGAATGGTAGCTTACACTGGCCACTTATTTCCCCTCTCTACGCTTCAGTTTCCCCCTCAAAAAACGTAATTCATTGGCCTAGATGACCTTCCAGGACATCTTCCAGCCCTGAGCCCACTGACTTTAGGAGGCAGGAAACATGGCAATAATTCACTCCATTCCAGTTGAGGAAACTAGGGCCCAGAAAGTAAAAGCAACCTACGCAGGCAGCACACTGATTCCTGTGGTCATCCTAGGCCTAGTCCTTCTTGGGTCTCCTTTCTATTCTGCTGAGGGGCACTGAGATTATGCTGCCCATTTTTCAGGGAAGGAAGCTGAGGCCCAGAAGGGAAAGTGACTCAACCCACTGCCAGTTGGCTCAGGAGCAGAATCTGGACCCTGGGACTCCAGGCTCCTAGTAAAGAGGTAGGGGTGGGGCAGGATCACCTGTAGGACCACAGAGATGGTCTTCTCGCCTGCCTTGGCTGCCCGCCATTTTCGGTAAGTGTCTGCCTTGAGAAGGTTTTCTGCACAGTGGGTCTGGAAACAAGAGTGGGAAAGGAGAATTAGGGCACAGAGATGAGAGTTAGGCCTCCAGCTCTCAGATTTGTTGAAGACCTCCCAAGCCCTCTGCGATTCCCCGGATTTAAACTCCTCCGTTAATGCCCCTCAACTCTGCCTTAAATTTCCTCCACAACACCCTCCCCTGGAAGTTCACCTAAGGGCTCTCCAAGGAAGCTCCCCTATGCTTCCTTTTCTCTCCGGAAGTTCCACAGACGCCGAAAGTTCCCTAATTCTACACGTCTCCCAGAATTCACTTTTAGCCTTCTGGAAACTCCCCCCCCATGACCCTCCTCAGACTTCCACGAAGAACTCCAAAAGTTCTTTTAGGCCTATTCTCATTAATTCCCATATGTCTTCCGACCTCCCCCACGCTGGTCCCTCACCGAGTCCTGGCTGCTGCAGGACACGACATGGCGGAGGCGTATCTCCGGCATTACAACGCTGTGGGCTCCTCCCGGCGGGAAGGTTGAGGAAGGGTCGGGGTTTGGGGGGCGGAGAGGAGGCGCTCCCCGCGCGGGCTTAAGTGCGCAAGCGCGCGAGGCTCGGGCCTTTCAAACGACGGCGCGCCGGCGCTCGCGTCGACACCGCGCAAGCCCAGTCCAGCCTCTCCGTGGAGGTGGGCGGGGTAGGGCGCTGTGTTTCCCTAGCAACGAGCTGTTGCTCCAGTCCCGCCTCTCTGAGGCCCCACCACTCTCTAGCCCTGCCTCCTGATGACGTCCACACCCTGCTTTCTGGGAGCCTAGCAACAGGAGCGGCCTCCGGGATTGGTGGCTAGAAGAAATTCGCTATTCTCATTGGACGAGGCAGTCACCGCCCAAACTGAAACATAGAAAGCAGGAGGACCACTAACTTGAATGAATTTTTTTCACTGGAAGCCGGGATCCCACCGCGACAGTGGCAGCATCTCTCCCACTGGCTCCTGGGGCTACACTCTTCCCCATCTCCCACTACCCCGCCCCCACACACAGAAACTATTCAGATCTCACTCAGGCTTATTTATGCCTGAGGCCAAGAGAGAGTGAGTCAAGGCCCTAAGTAAAACACAAAGCATGCATCCAAACCACACACTCACACAGACACCCAGCCTAGAGTGCGTCCACAAATGCTTCAGTTTCCCAGTATATGACCTGTGGGCATCTGTGTCCTACCACGCCTGCCTCTGGCCGCTGACAGGCACCCGTTTGTTCAGTCCCCTGGAGACCAGGGGTGCGGCCTTGGGCGGGTCAGAGCTGGAGACAGCCCAGACACAGAAGAAGGAGTGTGAGCCAAGCACGTGAAAGAGAAGGGGAGGGAGACGAGGCGCCCAGCCCCCGCAAGACGGGCCTGGACATGCTGGGCGCTCCCAGGTGGGGGCCCACCCACGCTGGGTGCCTCCCTGGGAAGAGAGAGAAGGAGCAGAGATCCCAGGCCCTGCAGCTGCTCTGCACCTGCAGGGAATCAAGTGACCCAATTCTGACCCTGGTCTCCCAGCAAACAACAACAACAACAAAAATATAAATAAGACAAAAAGAAGGAAGGAAGGAAAGAAAGAAAAAGAAAAAATGGGTAGTGGAAAGGTGAGAAAGGCAGTGAGAAAATAAGAAAGTAGGGAAGTGACTTTCTGGGTTTTGATGGAAAAGGGGGCTGGAAGCCTAGACTCCTGGGTCCCCCGTGGTGGAGGGGGCTGAGCACAAGATGCCTAGGTCCCTTTTGGATTCTGGTTCTGCCTCCCCAACCCGCAGGCCACAGAGGACTGCCCTGGGTTCTGACCTCAGCTATTTCTCACCTCGGGGTGAAGGTGGGTCCAGACCCGCCTCTCCTTAGCTTCATATAAGGGCTGGGGACTGAGGAGTACAGGTTCACACACCATGAGTTCCTCTACAAGACCAAGGACCTTTCTGCTGGCCTTCATGATGCTCTGCACCCTCCTGGGTTTCGGTGAGTGACAAGGAGGTCCCTGGACTCCTTCCTGGGACCTCAAGAAAGGAACAACTGGGAGAGGGCATCCTGGCAATTCAGGTTCATGGAAGAGGCAAAGGGTAAAGGTAGAGAAAGCTTAGGGCTCTAAGGGGGAAAAAAGCTCATGTGATTGGATCCCTGAGAGAGGGGGCTTTGTGAGCTCTGAATTCTCTGTCCCCTAGTCAGCGTCCCGAAAAACCTGAATTCTAGGAAATCAGATGAAAGCAGGACTAGAAAGAGAAATATTTTTAAAAAATAACAAAAAAATAACTGGTATGGCAAGACCAGTGTGGGCAACATAGTAGGACTCAGCCTCTAAAATAATAATAATATCTAAGGATACCCTAATCACATGGCTGAATAAAAATAAAATAAAAATTAAATAATAATAATGATAAAGGGGGGGATATTTTCTTTCTCCCTGGACTCTAAGGAGTTCATGCCCCAGTCCCCTCCTCTCCTGGACGTGGGAGTCCAGGCAGGCCTCACTTTCTCTAGGACCCAGGTGTCTGGGCCCAAAGTTGCCTCCTCTCACAGGACCAAGGAGTCTACGCCTTCAGTCCTCCTGGTCCTCACCCTCCCTCCTTGACCTGGGATGCAGACCCCAAGCTCAGGTACCCCTGCCTGAGCTCCTACTGTCTGCGACACCTATGTGGTACCTGTGAGGAGGAGAGTCCCACACCCAAGAACCAGCTGGACCTGAAGTTTCACAAAAGTCCATGGAAACCTTCACCTTGACCCCTCCCTGCCCCTGAGCTTTTTCCGAGGACCCTGGCGTCCAAAGTCTCCAGCCTTGTAATTAGGTAAACAGGCTTCTTGGTGGAGTCGCTTCCCGTCCCTGGAAGCGGCTTGGAGGACATCACCACCGCTTCCTTGTCAGGCTCTAGACAGCTCCCTGGAGAGTGGTCCACACCTCGCCTGTAAAAGGCCAGGGAGACGCGGTCCTTTCCTCCCCCAGGACCCAAAAGTCCACCTCCAGTGTCCCCATCTCCCTCTGGACTCCAAAGTCCAAGTCGTGGTCCCAAGACGACATGACCCATGACTACAGCCCGTCCTCTACACTGCAGGGTGCCCACTAAGCTGTGAGGTGTGTAGGGGCTCCGGGCCCACGTGCAGCGGAAAACTGAAGACCTGCGAGGACGGCAAGGACGCATGCGTGGTCCTCGTGGGGGAGTCCAACACAAGTACGGGGCGTGGCGGAGGGAGGGGCATGCCTTCAGGGTAGAAGATCCCACCACAGGGTGGGGGGAAGGTGGGCGGGATCGTTATGGCTTTCAGGATGGATAGGGCGTGGGAAAAAATCAGAGGAGGGAGGAGGGCAAGAAACGGGGAAAGACCATCCTGAGATGGAGGGAAGAGAACTAAATGGTGAAATAGAAACCATCATCGACCGGGCGCAGTGGCACATGCCTGTAGCCCCAGCACTTTGGGAGGCTGAGGAGGGAGGATTGCTTGAGCTCAGGAATTGGAGGTTGCAGTGAGCTATGAGCCCACCACTGCACTCCAGCCTGGGTGACAAGGGAGACTGTCTCAAAAACAAACCAACCAACCACAGCAAAAAAAAAAAAAGAGAGAAGGAACATGGAGGAGGGGGTGAGATATAAAAGACTTTCTGTTGACTCACGCCTATAATCCTAGCACTTTGGGAGGCTGAGGCGGGAGGATTGCTCAAGGTCAGGAGTTCGAAACCAGCCTGAGCAAGAGTGGGACCCCCGTCTCTACTATAAATAGAAAGAAATTAGCCAAACAACTAAAAATAGAAAAAATTAGCCAGGCATGGTGGCGCATGCCTGTAGTCCCAGCTACTTGGGAGGCTGAGGCAGGAGGATCACTTTAGCCCAGGACTAAAGTCACATGGCACTAGAGTGACTCCATGGCACTCTAGCCTAGGCAAGAGAGTGAGACTCTGTCTCAAAAAAATAAAATAAAAGACTTTCTGGCCGGGCGCTGTGGCTCACGCCTGTAATCCTAGCTCTTGGGAGGCCGAGGCGGGCGGATTGCTCAAGGTCAGGAGTTCAAAACCAGCCTGAGCAAGAGCGAGACCCCGTCTCTACTATAAATAGAAAGAAATTAATTGGCCAACTGATATATATATAAAAAATTAGCCGGGCATGGTGGCGCATGCCTGTAGTCCCAGCTACTCGGGAGGCTGAGGCAGAAGGATCACTCAAGCCCAGGAGTTTGAGGTTGCTGTGAGCTAGGCTGACGCCACGGCACTCACTCTAGCCTGGACAACAAAGTGAGACTCTGTTGCAAAAAAAAAAAAAAAAAAAGAGAAAAGGCAGAGAGGGAACAGCGAAATAGTGAGAGGGAAAGAATCTAACAGGCAAGAGGTGGGGCAGCATAGGAAGGAAAGAGGCTGGGCTGGAGTGTGGAGTGAGGGAATGTGATCAGAGAAGAGATCATTCCTGACAAAAGGAGAGATGATTTTGGGATGGGGGGAGAGACAGAAAAGAGACCACCCTGGAAAGACAACCTCAAAGGAGAGAGCTCATCATCTTAAGGAGAAGTAGAGATGGGACAGAGGGGTGCCGGTGAGTAAAAGCGGAGGCGGAGGAGGACGGGACTTAGATGAAAGAGGTCAGGCCGGGCCTGAGAAAGGATGGGGATGAAAGGGAGCGATGGAAGACACCCAGTTGCAAGAGGAGAGATGATGGGGCCGGGGAGGGAATGAGGGCTGTGACAGATGAAGGGCGACTCTGAGTGCCAGAAGAAACCATCCGGACAGGAGGAGGTGTGAAAGGAAGGTGGGAGAGAAGATTACAGCACATTGGCGGGTGAAGGAAGGACCCAAAAAGCTTGAAGAAACCTCACCAGGCATATGGGGGGAAAACGGATCCTGGAGGAGGTGGGAGAGGAAGCTGGGAAAAAACCTCCACTGGGCGGGGTAAAGAGAGGTCACCTTTGGAATTGGGTTGGGGGACACCACATGGAGGGGACTGCCTTGAACAAGACGCAGGAATAGCCAAGAGGGACAGCAAGAGATCATCCATGGGAGGTCTGGGCAATGACACTGGAAGAATCGGAGAGAGAACGAGTGTTTTGACGGCAGCGTCCTGGGGTTTGTTGGAAGAGACTGTGGGGTGGGGGCAGGGAGGGCAAAGTCCCGAAGGCTGGACGAGAATGTGTCACACAGGCTTGGGGTGGCCATAGGTGGCCTGAAAAAGACTACTTTTTGCAGGACAGCGAGAAAAGGTTGGTTGTGGGGTGGGATGGGGTGGAAGGGACCCCATTAGGCAGGCACTGGGGGTTGGAAATGGGGAGTTACAAGGGACCACAAAGGCCAGAGGAGGGGCTGTGCCACCTAATAAACCACTCCAGATCACACAGCAGGGAGATTAGGAGGTGCAGCTTTAGGGGGTTGAAAGAGACTACCCCAGGAAGTTATGGGCTCTGGGAGGTGTAAGATTAGGAGAGACCATGAGGCACTGGGTGGAGGCCAGCAAGTGGTCAGCCAGCACCCCGTCCTCCTGTCCCCCACCCCACAGAGGGCCAGCACTCGGTGAACACCTACAAGGCCTGTATGAAGTTCAGCGACTGCTACTCCGGGTTTGTGTCCACCACCATGAGCCCCAAGGACTACATGGTGTCCAATGCGCACTGCTGCCAGAGCGACGGCTGCAACCGTGGCTCCATTCCCCGTAAGTGCCAGCTCGGCCGACCCCAGGAGCCCGCGGTGTGTGCTCTGGCTCCCCACTGACCGGCGCTGGGCCATCGGGCAGGCACCTGGCTTGCTCTGAGCCTCAGTTTCCTCAGCTGTTAAAAGCAGTGTCCATTAGCAACCCTGGTGTTCCCCAGGGTTTTGGGGAGTTTGGGAGGAGGCTTTAAATATCCCTGCTCACCTTCCACTTCCTCCTCACCCTCAGCTCCCCAGAACAATCGTACTGAGAACGGCTTGCAGTGCCCTGCCTGCATCGCGCCCTTCCGGGAGACATGCCCAGGGACCCAGGCAGCCCGCTGTGTCGGCCGGGAAACCCACTGCATCTACTTCGCTGGCAATGTGCAGGCTGGTGAGGGGTGCCTAGATCTCTGGAGGAGGGGACAGGGACCCCAGAACTAAAGACACAAACTTCTAGGTTCCTGGGGAGGAAGGGGCTGTAGAGAAGCGGGTGAGGAGGTGGTGCGGGCCAGGATTCCCGGGTCAGGGGGAAGAAGGGGCTGGAGTCCCTGGTCCCCATCTGAGATCTCCCTCCCAGGTATCTTCAACGCCAAATTCGCCACTCGGGGCTGTGCTACAGAGAGTGCCTGCCACACCAAGGTTGGGGCTGAGGTGCCCTCAGCCTCCTATCTCTACTTCCTCCGCCGAGCAGACTGCCTACCAGCCCCCCAGCCCCCTGGCAGGGCTGAATGAAGAACCGAGGAATATATGGAATATATCTGTGGCCTGAAGTCCCTTCTGTCCTTAGCCTGCAGCCCCCTGTGTGCCTATAAATTAAACGAGTTAACAGAGCAAGCTTGCATCCTTGTGTTGTGATACATCTTGGGGAGGTGGGATGCAGACAGTAGGGGTCTTAATCCCCTTTTACAATCCCCTCTTTTCAAAGAGGAGAGGGAAGACTGTCTTTTATTAAGGGATTGCTCCTTGCCAGGTCCCTAGGCTAAGTGTTTTCATACTATTGCTCGTTTTATGATCATGACAACTCTATGAAGTTTATATTATTATCCCCACTTTGCAGATGAACAAACTGAGACATGGGTTGTGGGTGTCACTTGCCTTGGTTTTGGGTCAAACAGCTAGGAAATGTCAGAGCCCTGATTTGAATCTGAGTGTGGCAGAGTCCAGGTCTGATCACCTTTCCTGATTAACCTTTCCCTCTTTTTGCCCCATTTTTCATGTCCACAAAATGTAGATATTAATAGTTATAACCTCATAGGGTTGTTGTGAGTCAAATGAAAGGCAATTTAAAAAGCACTTAGTAAAAATAAATAAATAAAGATAAATAAAAAGCACTTAGTGCAGTGCCTAGCACATTTAAGACATTGCTGATTTTAGAGACAATACATATGTCTGAGTAAATAGTAATCACTATAATAGCTTCCACTTACTCAGTGGCGATTAGTTGGCAGGTGCTAAACATTGACATCAATTGGGACAGACTAGATGATGCTATAGTAACAAACAAGTCCCTAATCTCAGTGGTTTGAAATAACAACGTCCTAATAGTCAACTAACACTGCAATAATGCTATGTAAAACATCATTCCCAAACTGAAACTTATAATAACAACCATTCTTCCTTCTAAGGGTTTGCGGGTTTGGCTCCAGTTTGGGAGGATTCAGGTCACCTCTTTGGGATTACACAATCTTCTGTGATTAGTGGCTCCCTGGAAAATGTTCTCATGGCAGATCACAGGAACACAAAAGCCAAGTGTATTTAAAAAAAATTATTGGTTTTTATTTGTTTGTTCTTTTGCCACCTTCTGCTAAGGAAAAATATTTTTTAAATTGTGATTTTTTTCTCTTTTCTTAATTTCAGCATATTATGGGGGTACAAACAAAATTGTGATGTTTTATTTGACATGTGTTATTATTTAATCTTGCTCTGTTGCCAGGGTGATTAAATGCTGCAACCCAATAGTGACTTTACAAGTCACAGGATAGAGCTAGTCACATGGCCCCACCCAACCACCTTGGGGGCCAGAAGTCCAGTTCTGCCTGAGATCAGAGGCAGAAAGCTGGACATGTTTCATAAACAGCACACATCACCACCGCAGCCTCTTAGAGGCTGTTTCTCATTTTATCTTCACAACTCTAAGTGACAAGCACTATTGTTCTTGTCTCCCTCTTTTCAGTAGATAAATCTGAAGCACAGAAGGGCTGTTACAGTGAAGGCGACACAGCTAAAAAGCGGCAGAACTTAAGATTTTAATTACTGTGTGATGTTGAGGGGGAGAAAGAGACCACATCACACAGAGAAAGAACAAATCTGTATCAGCTTCTTTAGCTACATAACAATCCACTCCAAAACGTAGTGGTTCAGAACAATCACCTTTTATTTAGCTCACGATTCTATGGGTCAGCATCTTGGTTTGGGTTCAGCTGGGCTGTTCTTCTGCTGGTCTCAGGTGCCAGTGAGCTAGGTAGCTATGTTTCAGAGAGTTGGATGGCTGTGGGTTGGGGGTCGGTCAAGGATGATTGGGCTATGTGTCTCTTTATCACCCAGGAGGTTAGCCTGGGCTTCTTGATGTGGCAGTGATGGTATCACAAACTCCCAATGTCTAAACAGTCACTAAGTCCAGCTGCACCCCCTTCTAAAGTGGCAAAACTCAGATACAGATAAAGACACTTGGTCCTAGCCCAAGGAATTTTTCCTGGACAGATTCCCCACTGTCCTTCCCATCCCAAGCCAAAGGAGTCTGGGCCTCCATCTTTCTCCTCCCTCAAACCCAGAAGTCTAGGGTTGCAGCTCAATCAAAATCTCAAGCATCTTTTTCCCCCCCTTCAAATCCAAAAAGAACAGACACTCAATGGGATTTCCACTCATTTTTATTCATTCCTCCAATAAAGCACCACAGGCCGACCACACCCTTGATGTGTTCTTCACAGTTCCCCGCTGCAATGGACACAAGTCTGTCCATCATTATCCAGAATGTAGGAAACTCAGCTATGGTGATGAGGTTGTCTTATCCACTGACCCAAGATTTTTGTGCCTATTCTGCTTCCGGTGATGGCAACACCAACATTCACCATACATTTCCCAGAATTCCTGCCTTCAAGAATCTTCCAGCCCCGTGGTGCTATGTAGGCAAAGCCTAAGTCAATCCCATCAAAAGTCATGATTTAAAAGGCAACCACCCCACAAAGTAGTTGTGACACTCAAAGGTGCCAATATACAACGATATAAGCACAACCAGCACTCCTCAATGGACACAGACACACACAGAAACACAATTGTCTTGCTTTCTCAGATATGATCTCTGGCATGATTCTCCTGCTGACATGAGGGTGAAAGGAATTTAGAACAGTGAAGCATAGAGCTGTCAGACAGGACCAGGTCAAGAGACGTTCTCAAAGTGGCAGAGAAAAAGAATGGGGCACTGTTGTGAGCAAAGGCATAGGGGTGGGACAGAAGGTGCCCAGACTAGAGTCATCTTGGCGCTGCCTGGGGCTGAGAGTGTGTGGGCAGGGACAACAGGACTCACGTTTGAGCTCCCAGTGTGCGAGGCCTCTCAGAAAAGGGTGCAGTACATTGTGTGTGCAAGCATGCACATATGTACACACACACACTGAATTCTCACAAGAATCCTGTGAGGTAGATGCCACTTGGTGTACATGTGGCCCTCCAGATCTCCAAGTGCTGAGATGTGATTGACACATCCCTTATTAAAATTTGGATTCAATCAAAATGCTACACTCAAGGACCACAAGGCGACATGTGGCCCCAAGGCCGCAGGTTCCTCACCCTATACTAACCGTTTCCTGTGATAACGGAAGTGTTCTATACCTGTACGGTCCAATACTGTAGCCACTAACCGCATGTGGCTACTGAGCACTTGAAATGTGGCTAGTGCAACTGACCAACTGAATTTTAAATTTTATTTACTTTCAATTAAAAAAACATACACTCATTCAGTTATTGGAAAACTACTAAATATAATTGGGACAATTGGGCATTTGAACCTACTTCTCCAAACATGAATTTTACGAAATCTAAATAGAGGGCAGGCAATTCTACTTGAAAATTTATCATCTGAATTGAGACATGGTGTAAGTATAAAGTCCACACCAGGTTCTGAAGATGTAGCAGGAAAGAACATAAAGTAACTCATTCGTTTAAAAAATATTGATCACATGTAAAAATAACATTTTAGACATATTAGGTAAAACATATTAAGGTGAATTTAATTTGTTTCCTTTTTACTTTTTTAGTATGGCTACTAGAAAATTTAAAATGACATCCGTGGCTTGCATTGTTTACATGCGACGGCGCTGCTCTGCCATGCTTGACTGAGGAGCTTGAATGTTAGACTAAGGAGAGGGGTAGACGAAGGGTGTACTGGAATGACAGGTGTGCATCACGCCATTCCCCTAAGGCTCAGGCGAGCTGTGAGGACAGTGCCCCTGGAATCATTCAGTAGAGAGCCAAATACTATCTTGGCTTTGGGTCAAACCGTGTCAGTGGTGGGAGTTCAAGCTGGACATGGGAGTACCATTGTCCCTCAAGTATCTGCCCCTTGATCAGTTACCCTGGTCTTCAGCTAGCAAGGGGAATAGGATCTCAGAAGAATTTATGTTCTTGTCCAGCCCTTTCATTTCACAGATGGGAAAATAAGACACTGATCCGAGTCACACTGAGTGACAGCAGCAAAGCCATGCCTGCCATCCTAGGTTCCTTGACCTCAGACAGGGGCATCCTCTCCCATTAAATGCCTGTTTCTCCCCATCTTGCTCCTTTTTCTGATCGTGGCAAGAGGCTGACAACCTAAATTCCAGTCTGATTGTGCCACTGATCAATGAATTAAAATAATAAATACCGTGTCTCCACGAAAATAAGACCTACATATAAGATAAGCCCTAGCAGGATTTCTAAGCATTTGCACAATATAAGCCCTACCCCGAAAATAAGCCCTAGCGATGGGTGTGGCTTCGCAGCATAACTGCATAGCTCATGCATTTTGCCATGCAGCGGTAAACAAGACGAGCAGCCCTTCTCACCTGCCCCATGAGAGCTCTATTGCTCAACATGAGAGATTGGGGCCAATGGTTCTAAAGGAAATAGTCACAAGAAATTCAGGATCGAATTCGGGGTTTGGAGAGTCATGATGATGTTCCAGAAGACGACTCAGCTATATTTGAATAAATATAGATTGTTGTACTTTACTTTAAAAAAAAATAACACATTCCTTGAAAATAAGCCCTAGGGTGTCTTCTTGAGGAAAAATAAATATAAGACCCTGTCTTATTTTCAGGGAAACATGGTATTTACTAAACACCTATTATGTGCCAGGCACCTACTGTTCTAGGTGCTGGGAGTACATCAGAGAAGACAGGCAAGGGGTCAATAACCAATAAATATGTAAATAAATAAATAAGGTCATTTTTGCTACAATTGCTACAAGGAAAATCAACTGGCCAGATGAACAATGGGATAGGGATGTATGGGCTACCTCAGTTAGGGTGGCCAGGGAAGATCTTTCTGAGGGGATATTTGAGCTAAGGTCTGATTGACAAGGAGCCTGTCCCAGGAGGTTTTGAGGGTAGAGCACTGTAGGAAAGAGAACAGCAAGTGCAAAGGTCCTGGGGCAGGACTCAAGGTGGCCCACTCAAGCAGAAGAAGGAAGGCCCATCAGATTGGTTGGGGATGGGAAGGGGCAGGGAATGAGACATAGAGACAGGTGCCAGATCCATAGGGCTTTGCTGTGTGCTGTTAGATCTCAAGCCTACACTGTCTGGATTTAGTTTTCCCCATCTATTACAAAAGAAATTCTATCCCATGGAATCTCAGGTCCTCCTTTTCCGTTTTTGGCACTACAGAATTCCATAACCTGCAAGTTTTTCCCTACATGGAGCTGGCAGCCTACAACATTCCAGGCACTGTGGTTTCTGCCTTTTCCTCACTTCTGGCACATTCCTATGGGCTGGAATGGCTGCCCAGCCATTCTGTGGGACCCTTGCTCACTGCAGCACCCATTGTGTGTACACTAGAAGGCAAAGCATCTTGGGGACACCTGAGGTAGCCACACAGAAATGTTTGGCCTAGTGCAGCAGTACGGCTGCTTTTCCAAAAAGGCAGGTGCGCAAAACACCAAGGCCAGAATGGGTTAAGGTTTAATGACATTAGAAACCAAGATTAAAAGAAACGCTCAAAGGAAAGAGGGCAGAGGAACCTACTCCCCAGAGACCCATGAATCACCCAGCACTGATAAAATGTAGGCGGTCACATCCTTTCCCAAACTCAGAGAGGCAGTTGTCAGGATCCAAATATAAGGTTTGTGGGAGATCATTTCTGAACTATGGTTTCCTGCCCTTCCACACCCAGAAAGCCTCAGTCCTGGTCCCTGGCAACTCTAGAGCCCACCAGGCCCAGACCTCTTAGTCCCTCTCATTTTTGTGGGACCACCCTCCCCACAACCAGAGCTCTGGGTAACAGTGGACACCCTTGTACCCCCCAAGAGAAATCAAGAGGTCGCCAGCATCTCCCCATAAGCTCCTTGATGCCTCCCCTCGATGCAGACCTCCCACCACCCAAGAACTAGGAACCAAGGCCCACAGCCCTCTTGGGAGCCAGGAGTCTGAAATCCTGGAGACCCCCCCAATAAAGATTCAAAAGGTACTGGCCCTTGAGGACCTGGGAGGCAGTGTGCAGGCCTTTTCCCCCATACTGGAGTTCAGGTCCTAGTGAGGGATCCCTCAATTAGGAAACAGGGCTTCTACCCTCTCTCTGCTGGAGGACTAAACATCCAATAACCTGTTTCTATTGTCTATGCGACCACGACATACCCACTTCTGGAGTTCAGGTCAACTCCCTTCAGGACACAAGAGACTGAATGTCATGTCCCCTGGTTCCCAGGGAAGTCAGGAGTCCTGTCCCCCAAACTCTATTCCCCTTCAGGAACCACGAATCCAGCTGATTAGAAGCCACACATGCCAACCAGAAGTCAGAGCCACGTCCCCTTCGAGCACCCAGGATTCTGAGCAGCGGTCCCCACTCTTTATCTCAGAGGCCTGACATCCCATGCCAGAGTGTGGACTCCCAAGCCCCCTCCTCTCTAAGTGGGACTTGGGAAGCCCGGCCCCCATCCCACCTCTCACTGGGTGGGCTCAGGGGGTGCCAGCACGGCCTCAGCATCTGCTAGCATTTCCTCGAGCGCCTGCAAGAGGACACCGTGAGCGGCCCGGTAGCCCAGGCCACCTGTCGCTGCTGCGCCACCCGCAGGCCACAGGAAGGAGAGTGCGCCAAGGGCTGCGCCCCCTGCAGTGCCCTCTCCAGCCCAGGCACCCAGCCTGGCTTCCACCTCCGCGCGTGTCACTGGGCCTGGGAAATGCGCACGCGCTGCCAGCTCTCCGGGAGCCAGGCCTAGGGCACGCTCACGTCGTGCCAGCACCCCGGGTTCCAGCCCCATGGCGCGCCGCCACTCTGCCAGCTGACCCCGCAGAAGGGCCACGTCGCATGCCCAGCCCAGCCCTGGAACTGGTGCCGCCGCTGCCGCCAGGCTGGCCAGCAGAGCCGGCCTCCACGCGCCTGCCCGGAGCGCCGCAGCCTTCTTTCGGGCAGCACTGATGGACGCCGGTGGCAGCGCCAGCAACAGCGCCCCCGCCTGGGCTGGAGGGAGCGCTCGCTGCAGCCATTCGCACAGCCCCGGGAGTCCGCTGGCACGCAGAGGGAACACTGGTGGCAGCGACTCCTCTAGCACCTCCCACGACTCATCCTCCGGGATCAATGCTGCTGCCGGATCTGAGTCCCCACTGCCTGACTTCTTTGCGCCAACGACAATCTGCTGCACACTCCCGCTGACAGCTTTCTCAGAGCCTTCCCCACCGCCTGCTTTCTGCCCTCCAGCGCCGCGCTTCTCCCTTTCCTCGCTGAGTGCACTCTCCGAGCTCTTGCTGCTGGCCTTCTCCACCGCGTCCTCTTCTTCCAGAGGCTCCGGATCCGCGCCCTCACCGTCTGTTCTCACGCAGACAAGTGGCGCATCTGGTGGCATCAAGGCGCGGACCTGGGCCCGGTCCTTCTCGGTGGGGGCCCCAGGGGTGACGAGAATGAGGGCGTCGTAGTGCGTCGGGTGAGAGGCGACAGTGGTAGTGCCCGCAGGGCCCAGAGGCACAGTCCAGAGCACCACATTGGGGCGCTCTGGGGCTGGGAAGGGAGTGGGCTTCGTGGGCACTGAAGCAGGTACAGCACCTGCTTCGCCAGGATCCAATCCGAGCAGCACATTCAGGACAAGGCCCATGTCAGCAGTGCCAGCCACAGCCAGATCCAGGCGCGCGCTGCCCAGGCGCTCCAAGCCTGCACGCACCCATGACAGCGCCGCCTCCAGGCCACCAGTCTCAAAGGCCTCTCGTACAGCTTCCAGCTCCGCAGCGCCCAGGACCTCAAAGCCATCCTGGGCTGGTGGCAAGAGCCTGCGGGGTCAGGGAGGGATGGGGTCAAGGGCAGAGCTTTCGGATAAGCAGGAAGGGCAGGATAGCTAGAAAGCCAGTGGGGCGGGGCTCAGAAGATAAGGGAGGGGCTTAAAGCAGGAAAGTGGCTGGATAAGTGGACTTGAGATCAGATTTGCAACAGAGCCAAAAATGGGGACTAGGGTAAGACTTTCTAGGAATACCTGGTCTTTGGGACCAGGGTTTCTCCAAGGGTCTGCTAGATTAAGGCCATGCTGGGTGAGACAAAGCTCACAGATGGGCCTTAAGAGCAAAGACAGAATAGCAACTGTACTGCTATTGCAGAAAGTGGAAAGTTGGCTGGGCGTAGTGGCTCACACCTATAATCCTAGCACTCTGGGAGGCTGAGGCGGGAGGATCGCTCAAGGTCAGGAGTTCAAGACCAGCCTGAGCAAAAGAGAGACCCCTGTTTCTACCAAAAATAGAAAGAAATTAGCTGGACAACTAAAAATATATATAGAAAAAACTACCCAAGTGTGGTGGTGCATGCCTGTAGTCCCAGCTACTCGGGAGGCTGAGGCAAGAGGATTGCTTGAGCCCAGGAGTTTGAGGTTGCTGTGAGCTAGACTGACACCAGGGCACTCTAGCCTGGGCAACAGAGTGAGACTGTCTCAAACAAACAACAAAAAAGTTGAGGCTGGGCTTAAGGAGGGCAGGTGAGGGAAGAAGCCTCATCTACTAGTTCTTACCAAGGAGATGTGGCTAAGGTGAGGCTAAGGGGAAAAGGTGAGCATTGGACCTGGATAAGAGGGTGCCCCAGTCTCAGCCACATCTTGACGTCTATAAAATGAGGTGGCTGGCAGTTTGGAGAGAAAATTCAGTAGGCAGCTAGCAAGTGGGAACAGAAAAGCGAGGGGACTGGAGAAAAGGAAGTGGGGGAAGACACTCAGAAATAATAAGACTCATTGAGGGTGTGGCTTTAGGGCAACTGGGGTCAGCTAGAGAAACAAGCTGATGGTAGGGAAGACAGAAGGGCTCAAGAATTGGAGTCTTCAAAGACTATACTTCCTGTCATACTTTCAGAGATTATTTCTGTAATTTGTAGAGGTTTCTCTGAACGTGTAAAAAAAATTCGAGTCTTCAGGTTAAATCGAAATCAAGAGGAACACAAACTTGTGTGGCAAGAGGGAGCCGTCCTCCTTCAAAATTTTGTCTGAGGACAGTATTTGGGAGACAGAACCCGGCCTCTCCTAGAATTCTCGCTTGAGAGCAGGGTGACTTCAGAGCTCCCACTATAGGTGGGACCCTGATAATAGGTGGGGACCTCCACTTGACACGTGGCTAGGGTGGGTCCTAGATGACAAAAAAGGGTTAAGCAAGGAGGGCTCACCTGGGATAGAGTTTCCCTGCCCTAAGGCCGGGCGTGGTGGCTCAGGCCTGTAATCCTAGCACTCTGGGAGGCCTAGGCAGGATCATTTGAACTCAGGAATTCAAGACCAGCCTGAGAGAGAGCAAGACCCGCCTCTACTAAAAAACAGAAAGAAATTAGCTAGACAACTAAAAAAAATAGAAAAAATTAGCCAGGCATGGTGGCCATGCCAGTAGTCCCAGCTACTCAGGAGGCTGAGGCAGGAGGATCACTTGATCCCAGGAATTTGAGGTTGCTGTGAGCTAAGCTGACGCCAGCTAGGCTGGGCAACAGAGTGAGACTCTGTCTCCTCTGTCTCCAAAAAAAAAATCTGTGCTGAGGGGCAGGCCTGAACCACCAAGCAGGGCCTCCGCGCAGATGTCAAGTTAAGCCTCGCCCCAAGCTCACTGGGGGTGTGGTCTCCTCAAAGAGCACCTTAGGGGGATGGGGTCTAGACTAAGAGACCGGACCTCCCCAGCCCAGCCAGAAACCCCGAGCTCACCTCTGCAGTGCCTTCGCCTGGCTCTGCAGCGCCGCCCGCAGGCGCTCCAGCTCCTCGCAGCCTTCACTGCCGCCGCAGTCAGCCCGTAGCACGAAGAGAGCCGCGGCTCCTAACCCGGCTCTATCCAGCAAAGCCGCTGTCTGATCCCGGGCCTGGGCTTCATCTTGTGAATCCCCAGGACGGAGGTTCCGCACAGCCAGGAGCGGGGTCCCTCGAGCCAGGGCAGCCCGCGCTGCCTCTCCCAACGCTGGGGCCAAGGGCTCCCCGTTCCCTTCGGGTCCAGGTAGCACCAGTACCAACACGTTGGCCTCAGCCGCCCAGGGCCCTGGTTCTGCGGGTGGGCAGCTCAGCTCGCCCAGAAAGAGGCCTGGGCCAGCAGCTCTCAGGCTGGGGACCCTGGAGTCTGGCCGTCCCTCGGGGGCCTCTAACGTCTCGACATCCTTGTCGCACAGCGCTGAAATCAGCGCAGACTTCCCCGTGCCCGGAGGCCCCAGGAACAAGGCGGTCACGTCACCCTGTGGCGGAGGCATAGCTGGAAAGCAAGTGGGTGGGGAAGACGTGGGTCAGGGAGCACCCAGCCTTTTTCTTTCCTAGCTGCCCCACTCTAGACCGAGGCTTTAGTTCTCCACCCTGCTCCCTTCTTTTATTCTCGGGTGCTACTCCAGGATCTAGAAATCCGGTGCCCAGGCCCTACTCCCCAGGGACCCAGGCGTCCCTTCCGCCCCCTTTCTGGACGCACGCGTTTCCCTTTCTGCTTCAGAGACTCAGAAATCTCGCCTCCAATCTACCATCCCTCCTCCTTCCAATTCACAAACCGAGCAAAGAGCCGACAGAGCGGGGAGAATAGGTGGTGGCGGCCGGTATGCCACCGAGAAGCTCCGCCCCAGGGATCCGGCGGACGGAGGCCGAAGAGGCAAGACGGCAGGGATTCAGAGGTGAGGGGACGCAGAACAACCGAAGTGCGCACGCGCCCAGCTTCAGCAGTCTCGGAGCCTCAAACAATGAGGGAGTCATAGCGCCTGCGCAGCTACCCATCCATGCGCAAAGAGCTTAGGTTTGTACGGCTCGGAGGGGGAGGGGTCGGTGGTGACGTCATCATAACGCACCCTAGTGTAGAAAAGGACCCCCTCCCCTTATTTTGAGGACCGGATTAGCACGATTCTACTACTACCGATGGCAGTCCGGGGCTCTCACTTTTGAGAGGCTCGTCAGGCGAAAGGGCGCGGCAACCACGGGGACCTTAAGACTCGGTGGGCCCTCCCCTACTTCCCACTGCGTGGCGGCGCTGTGGCGAGCGACTGACAGGCGCAGCGAAAGGCAGCCCTGTGCCGTACGGAGAAAGGCAGAGGCCTGGGCGACCGGCGGGAACAGCGGGGACCCAAAGGCAGTGCTTAACACAGCGGCTGAAGGCGTGCGTGGGAGGCGGGGGCTCTGGGTAGGACAAAAGTCACAGGATGCCACAGAAGCATGTCTCCCGGGAAGAAGCGAGCTAAAAGGTGGGTACCATTACCTGCTCCAAGACACTTGGGGATGAAGCTGGTGTCGAAGATCAAGACTCCCACGCTGAGTTTAGGGAGTTAGTTTGGTGCAGGGGGTCATAGGTAACACGGGCGATGAGGCTCCAGGAAAGTCACAACCTGGGGAGTCCAAGCATTTGAGAAGTTTGAAGTTTCTCTAGTGATAACTCTATCAGATAGAGTTCAAGGACATGGTATGTCGTAGTGAGTCAAAGGCTGGCAAGGAGAGCCTCTGTCGACAACAGACATCAAAGGTCGTAGAATTGGCATGCCGTTTAAGGCTTGCGACAGATGAGTGGCTTCACTCATGCGTGCTCCTCTCTTGACCAGAGGGGTCCCAGTCACCATGGAGGACTCACACCCTGAAGAGCCCATGGAGCAGCAGGATTCTCCCAATGAGAGGAGCCCCCGAAGTTCAGGAGACAGCATCTGTGAGTACAGACAGCTGGCTGGCTAGGGAGGGGGGTAGGGTGCAGGAGCTGATGCTGAAAAGATGTCTATGGCATTTCAGTGTCCAAGATGCTGCAGGGCCTTGCCTGTTGGGAAGGGACTATAAAGTCCCTGAGCTGCCCTACCAGGAACTGCCTTTCCTCACTCTTATTACGCCCAGATGTACTAACCCTGCTCTGGCCACCTAAGCAGGGATGGGATGCAGTTCAGAGGGATAGGATGGCTTCCAGGAGAGGACTGGGTTGGAGTTGTGACTGGGAAAGTCAGCAGTGTGACATATAATAGAAAACAGCTCCTACTGAATGTTTATTATGTGTGAGGTGCATTCATATTATGAATGAGTTTAACATTGTCTCATTCCATCCTTCTAATAATTGACTCCATGAAATTGGTATTATCACTTAAGGCAGAGGGAAGTTAAGTATTTGTAATGAGAGATGGTGTCAATGCCTCCAGTCCAAACCCCGAAGAACACACCTGTAGTTAAACAGGTGGGCTTATTGCTTATTGCAATGAAGAACACACCATGAGAGAACTGTGGGATGTCTAAGTAAGAGTGTTAAAAGTGACTTATAGGATTGGGGCTTGTGTGAGGCAGTTTTGGGGAGGGTTCAAAGAAGGGGTTTGTTTGGCTCTGGATTGGATGCTGCCAGAAATCAGGGCAATTCCATGATTGGTATCTTAGTAAACCGTATCCAGGAGGAGGAAGAAAAAAGGCGAGGCTAATACTATGGTTGATAAAACAATAAGCAGTCAGCCAGGTGCAGTGGCTTATGCCTGTAATCCTAGCATTCTGGGAGGCCGGAGGCAGGAGGATCGCTCAAGGTCAGGAGTTCAAGACCAGCCTAAGCAAGAGTGAGACCCCCCATCTCTACTTAAAAAAAAAAACAAAAAACACAAAGAAATTAATTGGCCAACTAAAAATATATAGAAAAAATTAGCCGGGCAGGGTGGCGCATGCCTGTAGTCCCAGCTACTTGGGAGGCTAAGACAGAAGGATTGCTTGAGCCCAGGAGTTTGAGGTTGCTATGAGCTAGCCTGACTCTACGGCACTCTAGCCCAGGCAACAGAGCATGAGTCTGTCTCAAAAAAAAAAAAAAAAAAAAAGCAGCAGCAGTCGATTCACATTAGCCAGGATAAGGGGGTATCTGGTCATTTTCAGGCTTGGACAACTGTCACGTTTTTTCTATTTTCCGGCATTATTATGGTACAGTCTTGTTTTCTTGATTCATTCTAGTCACAGCATGGCCTTGTCTGTCGTTAATATTCTGTGAAATTGTTTATGTCCAACGTAAACACCGAGAACACCAAGGCCTAGCTGTCAGTGCCAGGCCAGATCCCGGATGTCAGGCTGCTTTCCTGTCTCAGTAGTCATTACTGAAAACCACTAGATAGTACTGTTTAAGCACTTAAACAAATTAACTTATTAATTTCTTCCAACAACTCTACTGTTATTACCCCATTTTCCAGATGAGGAAACTTGTTGTAATTGCCTAGGAAGTGGTGGAGCCGGGATTCGATCCCAGGCAGCCTGGCTTCAAAGGCTGTACTGTAATCACCATACCACGCTGCTGGACAGGCAGATGCTCTGGTGTCTAATCCTGGCTCTACCATTTCAGTTCCTAGCCTCACGACTGTGAGCAACTTCCTAACCTCTTTAAGCCTCAGTCTGCTCATCCGTAAAGTAAGTCCAATAACAGTTCTCCCGTACTGTTGTCCAGCATTAGCATAGAGCCTAGCACAAAGCACACTCAATGTTAATTGTTGGCATGATTCTGGGGCTTGGGAGAGGTCTTAGAGATTCCTGCTGGCCTCCCCCGACCTCTCCCCACATCCCTCAGGCCATCTGGGGGCCCTGCAGTGCACCCGCTGCCTCATCACCTTCGCAGATTCCAAGTTCCAGGAGCGTCACATGAAGCGGGAGCACCCAGCGGACTTCGTGGCCCAGAAGCTGCAGGGGGCCCTCTTCATCTGCTTCACCTGTGCCCGCTCCTTCCCCTCCTCCAAGGCCCTGATCGCCCACCAGCGAGGCCACGGTCCAGCCACGAGGCCCTCCCCGCCGGCTGCACCCACCACTGCCCAGCCCACCTTCCCTTGTCTTGACTGTGGCAAGACCTTTGGGCAGGCTGCTTCTCTGAGGCGACACCGCCAGGTGCACGAGGCCCGTGCCCATCCTGGTACCTTTGCCTGCACCGAGTGTGGTCAGGACTTTGCCCAGGAAGCAGGGCTGCATCAACACTACATCCGGCATGCCCGGGGCGAGCTCTGAGTGCAGCAGAAGCCCTCTCACGGCAATAAGGAACTCTGTGGCTGGTAGGACCCACCATGATGTGGGGCACAGGAACTCTGGGGCACTCAGTGGGATTTGCTTCCCTCCTTGGTAAAGCAGAGAGCTCTTTGATTATTAGGACCCACAAGATTCTCATTTAGAGCTTTGGAGGACACAGGGTCTTTAGGGAAACTGAAATGAGATCTTTTGTTTCAAAAACAATGGGCAAGAAAGAGAGAGGAAGGGAAAAATGGTTCGCAGCTCCCCCATTCCCAATTAAATAACTAGCTGCAGATTGTGCAATCACATTTCATGCTTCCCAGATGGATGTCATGGGGTACAGGAGCAAATTGCCCTGGATCTGTGCCTGAAGCGGGGGCAGGGAAGGCGAGGTGTTGCTGGCCTGTAATGTCTCCGAGAGTTCCAGACACGGAGCAACTTGGGCCTTTGGGGATGGAGTAGCAAGTCGGAGGCTGGACCCTAAATCAAGTGGGGTGTTGTAATTTGAGTCCTTTTCTTCCCACCCCCTGCCAGCCTTCCCCACTCAAAGAGGGCCTATGGCATCAGATGGCACTAGCCTCTCGGATAAGTTATGCCCCATTTAAATAATTCTGTGTATCATTCTAAGTCATGGAATATTTTTTATACATGTAGGTGAGATGACATAAATAAACTAACAGGAATAGTACCTAAAAACAGAAACATCCATATTAAAATGTCTAAGCAGGAAGCTCTGGCTTTTGAGTGGGACTTTGCAGAGAACATAAGGGTGTGGGAGGGGGGGCAGCTCAGGACAGAGTTGGCCTAGCCTTGTGGGGAAACTGGTTTGGAATCAAACAGAGATACCTTCTGTTTCATGTTCTATTTGGCCAACATTGGGAGATTTTTTTCTGTTAAGATCCTATTTTCAGCTCTCTTGAAAGGCCCAACCCAGGCTTACATTGTCAGCAGGGGCAGGGCAAAAGCTACAGCAAGCTGGAGCTGAGCAGCGAGTGTCACCCTCAGACTGGAGATGAGTCCCAACAGGCCAGTTTTACTCCCTTATGTTACTTGCCCTGCTCCTATCGTCAGTGGCTCATGTCCTGCCTACAATATTCACACTGTTTAAATTGAGGGGTGTTCTTAAACTACAGCTGAGGTGGAAGTGGTAGAGACTGACAGCTGTCTCCCAATTTTTAGCTAGGCACATGGTAGCTAAAAAGACTACATCTCCCAGATTCCCTTGCAGCTACATGTGGCTGGAGTTCTGGCTAAATTCCTGGGTAGGGTCCTCAAGCTTGGGAAAGGGACATGCCTTTCCTCTACCTTTCTAACTGGAATATGGATGTGGTATCCTGCCTTCTTGGACCATGAGGACAAGAGCAACATGTAGCATGGCAGAGCAATAAGATAGCAGGAGCCTGGGCTCTGGTCAACTTCATGGAGCAGAGCCACCATACCAGCCTTCTTCCATACTGCTATGTAAGAAAAATAAATCTCTTGTCTTATTCTAGCCACCATTATTTTAGGTCTCTGTCACATGCAGCAAAATCTATAGCCTAAGGCAGGGGTCTGCAAATTACGGCCATATCTAGCTTGCTGCCTGGTTTTGCAAATAAAGTTTTATTGGAACACAGAAATGCTCATTCACTTATGTATTGTCTGTGGCTGCTTTTACATATAATAGCAAATTTGAGTAGTTGCAACAGAGCTTTTATAGCCCATAAAGACTAAAACTGTTACCGTCTAGCCCTTTACAGTAAAAGTATGCTGACCTCTTGTCTAATTGATAGACATACTACTCAAGAGTCTGGAAGCAGGGATCCCACCCTGAAAATATTACCTTTGCCAGGGTGTATGTGTGTGTGTCTGTCTGTGCAGGATTTGGGGCAGGGCTAGCTTGGATCTCTTTGCTGGGGTGATGTATGGGGACACTGTAGTGTAGTCAGTTGGCTGTCACTTTTTTCCAAGATATTAACTTCACCAAAGCCAAGTATTTCCTCTGGTTCCTGGTGAAAGCCCAGAAGTTTATGACCACATGTTTCCACACCACCTCCCACGGTGGCTTCCCTAATCCCAAATCTAATCCCATATGCTCTCCTGAGATAGTTGGCAGCCTGCACAAGCACACCCCAGGCTTCCAGTTCTTTCTATAGTCCCCGGATGTCACAGATCCCCAAGACTTTAAATAAATAGCATCCCTGGTGACTTCCAAATCTCTACCTCTAGCCCAAACCCCAGACATGAGGTACAGCCCCATGGATGACAAATGCAAATCTCAAACTTAAAAATGGGTCAGTGTGACTCCTGCAGCTTCAGTCTGCACAACTGCCATCATATTACTCACCTGTGCACTCTTCTGCTTGAGTCTGACTGCTTGTCACCCCAGCTGTGGCCCTGGTCTCCTAACTGCTGCCATTGCTCCCAATGCTGCCCCCTCCAGCTTCTCTACCATAGACCCACATCACCAATCAGCTCACATCACTAATTTAAAACTCTCCAATAGCATCCCATAAATAACATCCAAAGACCTTACCCAGGCCCGCAAACCCCACCAACGATTGGGCCCCAGCCCACTAAGCAGTCTCAGTCCCTTCCTTGCTGTCTTCACTATACTCTAGCCACATATGCCAGTCTGGCTCCTTCCTGCCTCAGGGCCTTTGCACTTTCCGTCTCCTCTGCAGTGCCCTTACCCCAGACCTTGCAATCTGCCTCATTATCCAGGCCTCCATACATGCCACCTCCCAAGAGAGGTTCCCAGACTGCTTGGCTAAAGGAGCTCTGTCAACCCTTGTTCTGATTTATTTTCTTATTGCCACTCTCCAGCACCTGGAATTATCACACTTTTGTTGATGTGGTTATTTTCTGTGTCCTTACACAGAATCCAAGCTCCTGCTTCATCCTCAGTACCAAGAACAGTGCTTAGCAGGAGGCTCAAAAAGTACTTGTTGTCTGTGCCTGTCAGTTTACCTAGTGTTTCTCAGCCTCAAGCTGAAACCTTCATATTTAGGTTCTCACCTTATGACTACTGGAAGGACACATTCAAACCATAGCACATGGCTAAGTGTGATAATGGCTTTACTTCCTGGGGCAGCGTGTCTGACCCCTCTTCTGCCGTAGGACAGGGATTTCTAAGCACAGATGTAGAGAACTCTCCATCCGCCAGTAATATTCATGCAGCTCTGAGGCGCTCCTGCAAACTGTTTGCCAGACTCCCTCACCCATGAAAGGTACGGGCATAATGGAAGGAGAGACAGGAGAAGGGACTCACCTCACCGTGGGCTCCTGCTAAAACTGCTCCAGCAGCAGCTCGGGCTCTAGCATCTTCCTATACACTCAGCACAAGAGGCACGATGCCACCTTGAGGTTTAAGCCCCAGCCATGTGGCACCTTGTCACTTCACTAGTCCCTGCGCCAGCTGCGCGTGGTTTGTCCTCCAAGCTCCTACTGGGTTCTGATAATCTCACTTCTTTTTTTATATCCTAGTCAGTCCTAGAGTGGGAGTGGATTCTTGTACACTCTAATTTCTGGATTAACTCACGTGTCCAAGTTTGCACTTCCAGCCTTCTGACTCAGACCTTTGTAACCATTCCCTGTACGAAATCCTCTCTCTGAAATGCCTGGCTTGGTTTCATGTCCTGACTCGGTGCTGACTAAATGACCAAGTGGCAGCAGACCAGGTTTCCTGACTCCTAGTGTCTCTTGCGATCCTTAGGAATATTTGCTGATGGATGGGTAATTCTCTACATCTGTGCTTAGAAATCCCTGTCTGTGGCAGAAGAGAGGTTAGGCTTGCTGCCCCAGGAAGTAAAAGCCATTATCACGCTTATCCATGTGCTGTGGTATGAATGTCTCCTTTCAATATTCATACGTTGGGAACCTAAGACCCTATGCAGTCGTATTAAGAGGCGGGACCTTTAGGAGGTGATTCATTCATGAAGACTCAGCCGTCGTGAATGGGATTAGTGCCTTTATAATGATATAAGGGTACTAATATTAGTGCCTCAAGGGAACTAGCTAGGTCTTCTGCCCTTCCATCTCTTCTGCCATGTGAGAACACACTGTTCCTCTCTTTATGCCACCTTCTACCATTGAGGGTGGAGCAAGCAGGCGACAGCTTGGAAACAGACACTGAATTGGCTGACCTTGATCTTAGACCTCCCAGCCTCCAGAACCATGAGAAATAAATTCTATTCTTCTATACCTTACCCAGTCTCAGGTATTTTGTTAAAGCAGCACAAATGGACCAAGGTACCATATTGTTTTAAGGGGCTGTGAATGTCTGCTTTGACAATTCTGAGATTCTGTGATACTAAGCTCTAGTGGTTATGAGAGTCTCAGTTCAGAGTAGATAAATGTCAGGTTCTGAGATTCTGGGATGAGAAGTGTGGGTTTTGAAAAATGCTCTAGTCTAAAATCCTATGACAAGAGTAAAAAATGCAAATGCACTTCTGGGCCAAGCAGGCAGGGCGTGGGATGTCCAGATCTGAGATGACGGGGAACACAGAGACTGGGGACACAAGAGTGAACACCCCATCTATATAGGAAGTGACCCTTCTCAGCTCCAGCCAACAACTAGCCCATGGATAGAGCATTTGGCAATCCAGATCTCAGTTTTTCAAAAAAAGCCAGAAATCTCCAGTTTCTTATGTGAAGTTACCCATTTTTCAATGTTGGTAACCAATATAATTTTTAAAACCTCAGTAGCTCTGTGGAGATCAAATGCGCTCCTGCAAATCCTATGGTGGCTGTGGCAGTCAGATTGCCATTTCTGGTGTGTGACTTAGTGGCTGAGAATAACGCCCTGTGTCTGGTTGTTTGCGTTCAAACCAAAGCTCTGCTTACCGGCTGTGTGACTTCCGATGGGTAATTCAACCTCTCTGTGCTCCTGCTGTAACAGTAGTAAAATGGTCGTTAAAATAGCCCCCACACCTCTAAGGATTATTACGAGCACTCAGACTGTATTATGAGGTCTCAGATTTGGAGAGAAAGCCACAGTTGGTATAATGGCCCACACACCCGGCTCTCTGCCCCTCTCGGACCTCACCTCCCACCAGTCCTCCTCTGCCTTTCTCAGCACCTTGTGGCCCTGTGTGCTCTTCCACAAACATCCCATAAATGTAAGCTCCACCTCATGCCTTTGTCCCTACTATCCCCACAGTCAGCCACTCAGCTCACTTCTTCCCTCCACTAGGTCTCTGCTCCGATGTCACCTTCTCAATAAAGCCTTTCTCAACCAACTTATTTAAAATTGCAACCTCCATACACGATTCCTGTCCCCCTTCCTTTTTCTTCTCTACGGCACTTACTACCTATATTCTACATGTTTTATACATTTTAACTTAAATATCTGATTATTGTCTTTCCCATTATAAATATAACATCCATAAAGGCAGGGGAGTTTTGTTCACATTCACCGCTATATTCCCACCTTCCAGAACAGTGCCTGCCATCTTGTAGGTGCTTAATAAGTCATTGTTGAGGCTGGGCGCAGAGGCTCATGCCTGTAACCCTAGCACTCTGGGAGGCCGAGGCGGGAGGAACGCTTGAGGTCAGGAGCTTGAGACCAGCCTCAGCAAGAGCAAGACCTCATCTCTATTAAAAATAGAAAGAATTACCTAGGCAACTAAAAATAGAAAAAATTAGCGGGGTGTGGTGATGCATGCCTGAGTCCCACCTACTCAGGAGGCTGAGGCAGGAGGATCCTTTGATCCCAGGAGTTTGAGGTTGCTGTGAGCTATGCTGATGCCACAGCGCTCCAGCCTGGGCAACAGAACAAGACTTTGTGTCAAAAAAAACCAAACCAAAACAAAAAACCCAAAACATTGTTGAATGAATGAGTACACCAAGAACTGTCCCTACCCCATAAGGATCCAATGCAACTGTCCGGGTAAAGCACTTAGCCTGGGGCCTGAGCGCTGACTCTGAGCGCTGACTTATCAACGTCCACTATAGTAATTCAGGTTCCATTCTTGAAGGTTCTTAGTTGCCAAGCTTCTGAGTTAACACATGTAAAGCGCCTTAGAACAAGCTTGGCACACGATAAGTGCTCAGTAAATGGTAGCTATCATTATAATTAGGCTTCTATTTCCAAAGTAGCTTCGGTGCCAAGCGTCTGTGAATTAGGACTTCCCATCTCAGAGCAAGAGCCCCAGTTCTGATGAGGCTGCCATGAGCTGGCCCTATGCTACCCCTTGACCTCATCCCTACCCTCTGCCTCCCTCACTCCCTTCCACCTACTCTGGCCTCCCTGACACATGGGCAGCAGAAAGCCTCCCTCCCTTAGGTCCCTGTCACCTTCCCAGGAGGACTACACTATTTAAAATTGCAACCCCCATCCAGAACCGTTCTCCCTTCTGTTTTATTAGTCTCTATAGCACTGATCACCATGCAGCATGTGCTATATCTTGTTTATTGTCTGTCTCCACCCACAGCCCCTCCCTGCCCCCACATACGCTCCACGAGGACGAGGATTTTATTTTATTTGCTGGTGTGCTCCCGATGCCGAGCACACAGCAGGTACTTAAAAAATAGTTGTTAAATGAATTAATGGATCACAGTCCCTACCTCACAGAGTTATTCTTAGAAGCTGATGATCTCATGCAAATAAAGTGCAGCACTCAATAAGTGCTGGAAAAATGGCAGCTGTAATTATCATTAAGGTTCTATTTTTGTAAGTTCCTAGATGCACAACTTCTACGAGCCAGGATACATACAGCCCTTGGCCTGATACCAGACACCCAGGGAGCGCTCAGAAAGCGTAGCTCTGATTATAATGAAAGTTCTCTTTGTGGAAGTTCTTAGGCCATGTAGCAGAAATCACTAGCTGTGCTCCACAAAGTGTTTTCTGCTTTCTGGGTGCTGAGCTAGACAGCCTCTCCCAGGCGCCTCTGTAGTTCGCTACCGCCACGAAACTAACGTCTCAGCAAAGGCATGTCAGTGGAAGCAGCGTGCGACACTGACAGGCCAGGGCTCGTAAAAGGACACGTGCACCTCTCCAGGCTCCCTGTCCTCTTCTGCCGTGGCCACCCCGTCTGCACTGGGGAGGGGGGAGAGGGAGACGACAGACTTAAGGGATGGGCTGAGTTGGAGTCGTCAGATCACCACCCAGGACTATTGCGTGAGTGAGAAATAAAGTTCTGTTGTGTTTGAGCCCTTACGTTATGGGATCTATGAGTAGACACATGGAAGCCACGTGGAACATAAGCACTTAGTCAATGTTAGTTATCTTGGCAACAGTGATCTGAGGTTCCCCGTGAAGGAGCCCAGAGGGACGGTGGGATAAATGTCCAGGCGCGTCACATTCAAACTCACACTCGCACAAACAGCAGACACACACCGGGTGACACACACACAGAATTTGGCTTTTATTCTGGCCTTCACACATCTACTCCTAGGACAACACAGATCGGCCTTACCCTATCCCCCATGTCTGCTGTGAGCACCCCAATTTCCTCAGCCCCCTCTTCCCACCCCACCCCTCTGCCAACCTCCCAGGTGGGGGGCTCTGCCTACACCTCCCCCCGGGCGTGCAGCATGAAGTGGCCGTGCAGCTCCCCCAGGCTGTCGAAGGAATCCTCACACTCTGTACAGTGGTAGGTGCCCTCCTCGTCCTCATCTTCCTCCTCCTCCCCCCGCCCAGCCGGTCGGCCCTCCCCAGCCCGACGCGGCTCCTCCTCTTCCTCCCCCAGGGCCCTGCCTTCAGGGACTGGTGCTTCCTGGGGGGCTGTAGCGGGGCTGCAGAGCCGGCAGGGTGGGGTGCCCGGTGGGGCCTCCCCAAGGGGTGAGCGGCCACAGAGCTGGCAGGGCTGGGCCGGGGGGCCCGGGGGCTGAGCTGCGTGGGAGGCCCGGCGGGATGGGCCCCCCCGGCCCCCACCCAGGCGCTGCTTCACCTTGTAGCCAGGGTCATATTCAGGGTCATCGGTGGTCTCCTCTTCCTCTTCCTCCTCATCTTCTTCCTCTTCGGAGTCCGGCTCTGAGAGAGTGTATTCTGAGTCAGAGGAATGCTCGGGGCCTGGAGGGGGGACAGAGAGGGAATGACAGGGGCATCAGAGGACAGAGAGCTATGCCCAGCTGTCCCCTCGCTGAGCCCCATTCAGACTGGCCTCAGTATAGCGAGGGTGGCCTGCACACAAGCTTTCCCTTCCCCACAGATGAGTCCCCAAGGCACAGAACAGGGCCTGGCACACAGTAGATGCTCCATGTCTATGTGTTAAAGACAAATGAATGTCTTCAGGAAATACCTGGGGGGGAGAGGTGATTAGGAAGGACAAAGCAGCAGTAGTCAAAAAACAATAGTAACAACAGCATCCACCACTATTTTAAGAGACCCATTCTTATATGTTAACTCACTGAATCCTTACAACGACTCTTTGTGGGGGTCCATTATTATCTCCAATTGACAAATGTGGAAACTGAGGCACACAGAGGCTAGGTGACTCACTCCTTACAGTTACACAGCTTGGACATGGAAAGCTAAGGTGATGGCCTACACTGGATCATTTTAAGGAGACAAACATTTGAAAGGATATTTGCACAATTAAAACCCATGCATGTCTATAGGAACTTAAGATATATGTGGCCCTATAATATAGTTAAGTGAATTACTTATAATTATTAGATATGTTATTGTAATTTCATGGGTATGAAGGACATGCCTAGGACAAGTTTAGGTTAAAAAAAAAAAAAGAGAAAAAATCTGAAGACAATGTACAGGAAAGGGTGACACCAGCAGTCGCCACTGGGGAGGGTGTCCCCACGCAGCAGTGTGGGGAATACCAGCAGGCCAGGAGCCTGCCAAAAGCATCTCACAGGACCGCAGCTGCCCGCCCTGTGTCCAGTCTGGCCTCCCTTCCTCAGTGTCCTCCAGCAGCCCCGAGGCACCCTGTGCTCCGCTCTCCCCCATCACAGCGGCCACAGGCTCTCTCCCCCCGCCCCTGCCCTCATCTCCTGCCCTGCCAGCCACACCTGGCTCCTCACCTCCCCCAACACCCCAGGCATGCACCTGCTAAGGGCCTTTGCACCCTTTCTACTGATGGACCAAGCTCCATGTGTCCCCTTCTCAGTGACACCCTGGCCACCCTGTCTAACCAGCAATCCCTCCCCAGCGTTTCCTACACCCCTTATTCTGTTTTTATTTTTCTCTCATCTTCACACTCAATGTACACAACACTGAACTGGTATGTTTGTTTATTGCCTGTCCCTGAGAGCAGGGACTTTGGTTCGCTACTGTGGCCCCAGCATCTAGAACACTTTCTTTGTGCAAAAAGTGTTTAGTGCATATTTGTGGCATGGATGTCTCTGTTCAATTTGACAGACCTTCTCTGAGGCTTTCACACACGCTGTTCCCCTTGCTGGGAATGTCTTGCCCTGGTTTTCCCCATCATCCTCTAGGACCAAGCAGGTGGCCTCTCAGACCTCCTCATCCCAGGCAGCCAGTCACTTTGTCTACTGGCCCCCCCACTGTTCCAGCCTGAGCCCCCAAGGGCCATGGCCATCTGTGTCCAGGTTCCTTCCCCACCAAACCAGGGGGATGGGCCTGCTCTGACTCATTGCTGCCCCCCCCCATTTGGAATTTGTCTGCCAGCTTTTTTCCTAGGGCCTTAGTGTGGGCTGGTCCCCCTGCCTGGAATGCTGCCCCCTACCTGCCCACCTGGTGACCGCCTACTCATTTCTCAAGACACAGCACAGGCTAGGCGCGGTGGCTCACGCCTGTAATCCTAGCACTCTGGGAGGCCGAGGCAGGAGCATTGCTCTCAAGGTCAGGAGTTCAAAACCAGCCTGAGCAAGAGCGAGACCCCCATCTCTACTTAAAAAAAAAAAACAAATTAATTGGACAACTAAAAATATATAGAAAAAATTAGCTGGGCATGGTGGCGCATGCCTGTAGTCCCAGCTACTAGGGAGGCTAAGCCAGGAGGATCGCTTGAGCCCAGGAATTTGAGGTTCCTGTGAGCTAGGCTGATGCCACAGCACTCTAGCCCGGGCAACACAGTGAGACTCTGTCTCAAAAAAAAAAACACCAAAAAATAATAAAAAGACCCAGCACAGGCCTGTCTGCTATGAAGCCACCACCCCAACACCCCAGCTGGGGTCAGAGGTCTCTCCCCAGCTCCCCCTGCCCCAGAACCTCCCCGGCACTGTCCTAGGGGCTGACGGTAGCCAGCTGGGCCCCGGTATGTCTCCACTATCAGACTGGAAACCCTCAAGGGCGGGTGTGATCGTGGGGCCCCCACAGTGCCCAGCAGAGGACATGAGGGTCAGTGGACAACGGCGGCCCCCCCTCCCCCAGACCTCTGCCTCTGCTCCTCTCCCACCTGGGGTGACCCTTTCCTTCTCCACTGGCAGACTCCTGCTCCTCTCTAAGGCTCCGCTTATGTGTCACCTCCTCTGTGAAGTCCTCCCTGACTCCCCTCTCTTGTCTGAGCTCCCCCACTCCTGTGCCACCCTCCATCAACTCTGACCACCTGGGTAGTGACCATCTGTGTCTGGAGACTCCTTGAAGGCAGGACCTGGGTCTGACCCATTTTTGTGTCACCAACAATGCAAAGCGTGAGTCAGCCTCTGGAGACACTTGCTGAATGGCTGCAAAACACAGGAAACACCCCCAGCTTCAGGCCAGGGTCCCTCCCATCTCTCCTCCCACCTCTGACTTCACACCATCCACCCTCTGGTGTCTTCAATGCCCACTATGACTTCACCCAGTTGGCCTGCGACAGGCAATCAGGTTGTTGTCCACGGCTACCAGGTCTTTCATGTCCACCGTGACTTCCAGTACCACAAGCTCTTTTGCTCCCACCATGTCCTCTCAACGTAAAAGAACCCCAAAGCCCAGCATGCCTCTGGCATCCACTGGACCCTCCATGCCCACTGGGGCTCCTACATCTCCTGCCTCCTTGAAGACCACCAAATCAGCAATGCCCACCAAGTCCTCGGTGCCCACCAAGCCATCGACATCCCCCAACTCAGTCATGAGCCCAAGCAGTTCAAAGTCCTCCAAATCAACAAATTCAAAGAGAGCCACTTCTAACAAGTCCAGCAGCAGGCCCCGGGGCCACAGCAAGGTGAGAACAACTAGTAGGGTAAGCACTGACACGAGGGCCAGTACCGACACCAGGGCCAGCAAAGGCAACAAGACCAGCGGCGTGAGACACCACCAACGGAAGGGCACACGTAGCCGGGGCAGAACGCCCGGCAGAAGGGGAAGCCGAGGTTCCAAGAGGTCACCCAGCAGGGCCAGCATTGCCAGCAGGATAGGAACTCATGGTGCCAGACCAGGCATGGCTAGCAGCGTGAGAACTCCTACTAACCAGGAAAAACAGAGTGGGGGGAAGAGTTATAGCCGGCCTAGAAATGTGAGCAGAGAGAAGAGTTGCAGCCCACCAGGAGCCTCGGGTATGGAGAGGAGTTCCAGACTGGCCGTAACCCCCAATAGGGCAAAAAGTCACAGCTCAGCTAGAGTCCCCTTTAAGGAGAAGTATTATAGCCAGTCTCCATCGTCATCGAGGAGGGTGAAGGGTTACAGTCTGGTGACCACCTCTAGCAGGGAACAGAGTTACAGCCCAACTGAAGTGACCAGCAGGGTCAAGGTTAGCACCCCACACAGGACCCGAAGTCACAGCTCATCTAGCACCCCCAGCAGAACCCGAAGTCACAGCCGGTCTAGCACCCCCAGCAGGACCCGAAGTCACAGCCAGTCTAGAACCCGTAGAAGGGCAAGAAGTCACAGTCGGAAGAGGAATGACAGCAGGATGAGAAGTTACAGTTGGAAGAGAACTCATATTAGGATAAGAAGTCACAGCCGGAAGGGAACTCCTAGCCAGATGAGAAGACATAGCCAGTCTGGAAGCTACAAGCAGAAAAGTCAAAATCAATTTAGAACCCCCACAAGGAAAAGAAGTCACAACTGGTCTAGGAACGCCAGCGAGGAAAGAAGTCACAGCTGGTCTAGAAGCCCCAGCAAGGAGAGAGATCAGAGCAGATGTAGAAGCCCCAGCAAGGAGAGAGATCGCAGCCGAGCTAGAAGCCCCAGCAAGGAGAGAGATCGCAGCCGAGCTAGGACCCCCAGCAAGGAGAGAGATCGCAGCCGAGCTAGAAGCCCCTGCAAGCAGAGAGATCGAAGTCGAGCTAGAAGCCCCAGCAAGGAGAGAGATCGCAGCCGAGCTAGAAGCCCCTGCAAGCAGAGAGATCGCAGCCGAACTAGGACCCCTAGCAAGGAGAGAGATCGCAGCCGAGCTAGGACCCCTAGCAAGGAGAGAGATCCCAGCCGAGCTAGGACCCCCAGCAAGCAGAGAGATCGCAGCCGAGCTAGAAGCCCCTGCAAGCAGAGAGATCGCAGCCGAGCTAGAAGCCCCAGCAAGCAGAGAGATCGCAGCCGAGCTAGAAGCCCCAGCGAGGAGAGAGATCGCAGCCAAACTAGAAGCCCCAGCAAGCAGAGAGATCCCAGCCGAGCTAGAAGCCCCAGCAAGCAGAGAGATCGCAGCCGAGCTAGAAGCCCCAGCGAGCAGAGAGATCGCAGCCGAGCTAGAAGCCCCAGCGAGCAGAGAGATCGCAGCCGAGCTAGAAGCCCCAGCAAGCAGAGAGATCGCAGCCGAGCTAGAAGCCCCAGCAAGCAGAGAGATCCCAGCCGAGCTAGAAGCCCCAGCGAGCAGAGAGATCGCAGCCGAGCTAGAAGCCCCAGCGAGGAGAGAGATCCCAGCCGAGCTAGAAGCCCCAGCGAGGAGAGAGATCCCAGCCGATCTACAATCCCCAGAAGGCCTAGCAGGATGAGGAGTCCCAGTCAGAACAGAACCTCTAGCAAGACAAGGAGCCACTCCCCACCAACATTTCCCAGTGAAGGCCAAACTCCAAGCCAGGATGATAGTCAAGCCAACACTACAACCTCTAAAGCCATCTCACCTGGGGAAAGGTCTTCATCATCTTCTTCCAAGCTGGCGTAGCCTCCAGTCTCAGCTGGCTCACGGGTCTCTGTCATGGCCAGGGGAGGGGACAGGAGACAGGAGCAGAGCAGCAGCTGAGCAGCGTCCCTCCCTGGCCAGCTATCCGCAACCACACCTCCGGCCACAAGTTCTCTAATACAGGATGTTGGCAGGTAGAGGGGGATGCTGGACAGGGGAAAGGAAAGGCCTGTGGTGACTCAATAAATTTTTACAGAGCACCCATCCCCAACCCAAGCCCAGCTGTGTGCTCAGTACTGGGGGTGAGGCAAAGATGGCCCCAGCTCTGTCCCTGACTGCCTACAGAGCCTTGACTGCAAACTCTGCCCCTCTCTGTAGGTCCCAACTTCCCCATCTGGGAAACAAGGCTGCCTTCTGGTTCTTATTCAATGGGGTAGGGAGAGGTGACTTTCTAAGTAGCTACTGTTGCATGGGCACGAGTCAAACTGAGAGTGGAACAGGGGCTTATGCCAGGCATTAGCCCTTTAGTTGCTGGACTGTGGAGAAGTCTGGGGCTGGGGGACAATCCAAAGTGGCAGCCAAGGATAGCGAGTACTTGTGCAGCAGTGATACACCAACCAGTCTGGAAATAGTTCAGTATTTAAACAACTGGTGTGGCTGGACCAGTTTGTGAATATGAGCCTTAGCGCTACATCAATCGGCAGGAAAGTGTTGAGGTTTGCCACTCTAATTTTGTAGCGTCATGCGAAGGACCTAACTCCTTTAGCCTGTTTCCTTCTCTGTAGGCAAGGGGCTACCGAGCCTTAACTCATTCATGTACTCCTTATAACCATGTTGAGAGATTATCCCCCGTGCACAGATGAGGAAACTGAGGCACAGAAGGGGCTAAATGAGTAGCTCAAGGCCCTATCATCTGGTAGGTGGCTGAACTAGGATTTGAAGTCATATCATCCTACCTCTCATAAAATGATTTCCTGGCTCAAAAGGTTTTGTGAAGATTCAACAGTCTCATTCATATAAATTGCTAATATGTGGCAGGTTTTCCGTCAACAGTAGCTGTTACTACTCCCACCGCCAACCCTCTATAAACTCCAGCCATTCCCGACTTCTCAACTCTCCCTAGACACACCAGGCCTTTTCACATCTGGGGCTCTTAGCACACCCTGCTGTTGCTGTCTAGAATGTCCTCCCCTTCCACCTTGTCTGCCTGGAGAACTCCTTTCCATCCTTCAAAACTCACCAAATACAAGAACCTGTATACTTCTTTCCAGCCCAAATATTGCTCTGCCTCTCCCAGGAAGCCTTCCCTGACTCCTCTCCTTTCTCTCCCTCTTCACCACCAGACCCTCTACACACACGACTTCTTTTGTCACCCACTACACTCCTGACGGCAGAGAACCATGCAAGGCCAGTTAGTGAAGGAGCTGGCAGCCTCAGCTGAGCACTTATATGCCAAGGCTTGTGCTGGGCGCTGGGGCTATGATGGTGCAAAATACATGGTCCCTTCAAAGCCTTATAGTCAAGGTTTTAATGCTGGAGGCTAAAGAGAAAAAAATTCAGATTGAAGTCTGCAGGAGTCTGGGGCATGAGAGCACTGGCATCCCTGGCATGGGAAGTTCCTAAGCAACACACTTGGATCTGGGCTTTTAAGGACAGAAAGAATTGGCAGAGTTCTCATGATACCCTACTGCCTGTAGGGCCCCATTTAATTGGCAAATTCTACTTTATGCCAGGATAAGATTACCAGATTTGGCAAATAATAAGAGGACATACAGTTAAACTTGAATTTCAAATAAGCAACAAATAACTATTTAATATAAGTATGTTTCATGCGATATTTGGGGCATACTTTGCTAAAAGATGATTTGTTTATCTGAAATTTAAATTTAATGAGGCATCCTATATTTTATCTGGCAACCATATACTGGGGACAATCAGGACTGGACTTTCCCAAGAGGTTACTGGGAAACAATGCCCACCAGCCTACCCTTTCCCAAGCCCACATCACACAAGGCCCTTTCCAGAATATTCCAGATGTCAGGTGGCGGTATCCCCTGGTGCACAAGTCCCACTTGTACAACGCTATGGCGGCTAAATTGACTCCCATGATCTTAGAGGGGCATAAATTACCATTAGACAAACACAGTGCTGGAGACCCCACGATGCCCTGAGCCTGTAGCAACCCATGCCCAAGATGCCCTGCATGAAAACAATAGGCACCCATTCCCACAATGCTAGAGCCAGGAGACCAGAGCAAAACCTTCAGAGAGACAATAAGGTCCAGCTCCCATAATTCTTTGCATTTTTCCCAGGATGCCTCGGGCCTATAATGACCACCTTCCAAGATGCCCTGCGTGCACTCCATGCTTGCAGGATGTTCGGCGGAAGGTGTGAGACAAAAGGGACCGGTTTCCCACAGGCAGGTTGGACAATCTGTCCCAGAATGCACCAGGCCTATAACGACCAGCAGACCGACTCCCACAATGCTTTAAAGCGGAGCGCCCGGTTTTCCCAGGATGCTCTAGTGCGGTACACGGCGGCGTGGGGGAGAAAAGGGAGCTGAGTCTCGCCCTCCGGCTATCACGGCCCAAGACCGCTGGCAGCTCCTCGGTGGCGGTGACGGGAGCCGTCTCTCCCATCATGCAGCAGGGCCATAGCGCCCGTTTCCCGGCATGCCCCGCGCACCCCTGCCGCGGACACTCACCGGCGCTGGCGACCCCCGCTCCGGCTCTGCGGTGGCGGCTGCACGCCCGGGCTCTGCGCCTGCGCTGCAAGTAGGCTAGGAGGGGGCGCAAGGGGCCTAGGGCGCTTGCGCGGCGAGATAGACCATTCCTGTGGCGCTGTGGGAAGAGGGGCTCCCCGAGTCGGGCCGTGGACGAGACCCGCGCAGGGGATGCCGCGCTCTGGCCCTCGTTGCCCGGATTTACTTGGTACAGTCCGGGGCCTGAAAGAACGAGAAGCTGCAGGGCTCGCGCGTGCGTGTGCAGAGGGGGAACGCGCCTTATAAAAATGGGATGCGCTGGGGGTGGAGGGCGCCAATTCAGCCCGGATCCGGGACCGGAGGCCTACTTATTTGCATAATCCTAGCGCGGGACAATGGAAGGCCTCCAGCGCTGGAAAGAGTAATTTGCATATGCTCCAGGGAGGCTTTGCCCCCCCAGTGCAGTGATTAGCATATTGGGGGGCGCCTGAGAAACGCGGCTGCACACAAGTTGTGTAGACTTGTGTGAAATGGGTATCCTTCTTCAGTCGGGGATCAGTTTGCATCTGGAGAGAGGGTACAGGGCGAGGACCTCTCCCAATCAGATAAATATTTATTGATCTTTTATGTGTCCGGCCTTGTGCTGGTGGGGCACTATGGTTTCTGCAGTGAACTAGACACACCCAGCCCCTATCCTCGTGGCCCCCAGAGGAAGGAGATGCACACCTAATCAGACAACTGCTACCCAGAAGGTCAGACCTCGAGTAGGTGGGGCATAGGAAGCTCTGGGAGCCAGAAGAGGCACATGCCCCAGCGGGAGGTTGTGGAAAGGCTTCCAGGAGGTGGTGATCTTTAAGCCAGGTATGAATAGGAGCCAACTAGAATGAGAGTCTTTCTGGCAGAGGGAAGAGCCAGGGCAAAAGCCCAGAGGCAAAAAAAGTGTATTGACTGAGGAAGTGCAAGTGACTTAGTATGCCTGGAACACAGAACTGGAGAGGGGAAAGGCTCCTATAGGTGATGTTTAAAGAGCTGACTTTACGCCAAGTATAGGAAGCTATTGCAACACTCCAGTCTCCTGTAAAGTGATTTTGTCGCATTCCAGCTTCAAACTCTTCAATGGGGCCCCATTACACTTAGAAAAAAAAATCCAAACTCTTTGTCACGGCCTCAAGGGCTATACAGGAGGTGTGGCCCAGTTTAGCTTTCTGACTTCACACCTCTCCTCTTAAACCACTCCAGCTCCACTTTCACCTCAAATACCTCAATCTCTTCACCATCTCAGGCCTTTGCTCTTGCTGATCCCTCTGCCTGAAAATGCTTTTCCCGCTGATCTTTGAATAGCTGCCCTTGTGTTCACTATTCATCTGTTAGCACATACGTCAATCTGAGATGCTTTCCCTGATCTTTCTATAACAGCACCTCCAGGTTTGAGATAAAGCAGGATTGGCCCTGAGTAGTTGTTGAAACTGGGTTGAAGGGTATGCGGGAATTCATTGTCCTGTCTACTCCTGTGTGTTTTAAGTTTTCCATAATAACAAGTTAAAATAGCACTTCACATCCATTCACTCTGCATTTTATCTTTTTTTTTTTTTTTTTTTAGACAGGGTTTCTGTTGCCCTGGCCGGAGTTCAGTGGTGTTATCATAGCTCACTGCAACCTCAAACTCCTGGGCTCAATGGATCCTCCTGCCTTAGCATCCCAAGTAGCTGGGACACAGGTGAGGGCCACCGCACCCAGCTAATTTTTCTATTTTTAGTAGAGATGAGGTCTCACTATGTTGCCCAAGCTGGTCTTGAACTCCTGACCTCAAGTGATCCTCCCACCTTGGCCTCCCAAAGTGCTAGGCCTGCATTTTATCTTAATAGTCCTTATCACAATGCAAACATAAGTTTCTTGGCTTCCTTGCTTATAGTCTGTTTTCCTCATACAAGCTTCAAGAAGATAAAAATGGAATCACCGTTTTTTTTTCACTTTGAGTCCTCAGTGCCTAGAACAGGATCAGATTTCAGATTAGTGCTAAACTGTATGTAACAGCTAACATTTCCGTTTTATTCACTATGGACTCTCCAGAACCTTGAGCAGGACCTGGCACATTGTAAGAGGTTATTTTTGAAGCTAAAGTTAGAATGTGTGAACTAAAAAATAAAATCTTAAGGGTCCTCCTCCCCACCGGCTGACGGAATGGACTTTCTCTTGGCCAAGGGGATGTTCTAAAACTAAATTTCCTGCCACAAGGAGGGAGGTCAGACATGCTTCATCATGCCCGCCCCCCCTCCCCAGGAGATATCCTTTGTAACTCATTAACAGGCCTAAGGGTATGCAAGACAAACCGGCAGGTCCGCAATTTACACAACAAATAAATGTCGAGGTGGCTTGTCTCAGATTAACAGCTCCTTATCTTAAAACATTATAAACTGGCCTGGGGCTGGGCGCAGTGGCTCACGCCAGTAATCCTAGCACTCTGGGAGGTTTAGGCCGGCGGATTGCTCAAGGTCAGGAGTTCGAAACCAGCCAGAGCAAGAGCGAGACCGCCTCTACTATAAATAGAAATTAATTGGTCAACTAATATATATAGAAAAAAAATTAGCCAGGCATGGTGGCACATGCCTGTAGTCCCAGCTACTCGGGAGGTTGAGGCAGGAGGATCACTTGAGCCCAGGAGTTTGAGGTTGCTGTGAGCTAGGCTGACGCCACCGCACTCACTCTCACCTGGGCAACAAAGTGAGACTCTTTCTCAAAATAAATAAATAAATAAACTGGCCAGGGCTGGTGGCTCACACCAGTAATCCTAGCACTCTGGAAGGCCTAGGAGGCGGGAGGGTCACTCAAGGTCAGGAGTTGTCAGGGTGAGGGGCCAGGCCATGGGATGGAGCTGGGGCAGCTCAGTAGCTACCAAAGAGACAAAACTCTGTGATTATTGTCTGAAGAAGTGGCCAGGAAAAAAAAACACAAAAAAAACTAGGTTTGTTGGGAAGGTGGAGATGCCCATGGTGAGGTCAGGACCCTCTCTTGGCCACCAGCAACCATCACATTCCGCCTAGGAAGGAAATTAGGAATATTTTGCCCCAAAACATTATATTTTTACATGCTGGACTGCCTGCAGGAGCATTGTCAAGGCCTCTCTGACTCTCCACCCCCAATATTGGCACTCCCCAAAAAGTTTCTCTTTCTGTGATCCAGATACACCTGAGAGAATAATTGTTCTTCCCCTCCCCAAAAGACCAGGCCAGTACACCTGAATAGACTCTTTAAGAAGATAATGTCCCCTCTTTCAAATTAATTTGAATTTCCAAAGAGAACTATTTACCAGTTAGTCCTTGTTCCCCATGCATTCTTCCTTCTTAGCAATCCTTTATTGCCCCTAAACAGAACATTTCTTTTCCCCTCTCCCATAACCCCCTTACCAGAAAGGCATATAAGAGGTTTCCCATGCATACACGTTAAAATAAATTTGTGTCCTCTTCCTACTAATCAATCTGCCTCATGTCAGTGATTTTTCAGTGTACTTCTATTGGACAGGAGCCTTTGTTCCCAATGGTTTGGTGAACCTTTGGGGGGCCAGGGGACTTTGTTCCTTAAACCTTCCTCCCACCTCCCTTAGTTCTCTTCCCGAGGTGCAGCCCCGGCGGTGCAGCCCTGGCGGGGACAGACACACAGCCACCCCAGGCAATTGTTCTCTCCTCAGTTTAATGGTGGTTAGTGGGATTGCCAAAACCCCCTCCCCATTCCCCTCCCGCCCCGTACAAAATGTGTGTCTTTTTTTTTAAACAAGAAAAAGGGGGCAAAAGCCAGGAATGGGGAGAGGGGGGTGCAATCTGATATTTTCATACAGATTTTTGATTTTTTAATATATTATATATAAAACCATAGAGACCACGCATCCCCCCCAAACTCCTTTCCCCCTCCTGGAGGGGGGCCTGGAGGAGAGATGGGGAAGGCCCCCCCGGAGGAGTGGGTGGACAGAGAGACAAATATGGGTGGGACGGACGTGGGGGCAGAAGGTGGAGGCAAGGGGTGCCCAGGACCCTGGGGAAGGGGGATTGGAGAAAAGGTTGGGGCTGTCTCCCTCACTGTCCCCATCAAAGTTATGACACAAAGACACAGAATCCCTGTTTCCACACCCTCCCCCACCCCTCCCCCCCACCGTGCAAACATGGCTTTGCAAAGAGGTGCCCAGAGCTCTGTGGAACTCTTACAATGGCTGGCATGGGGTCTGGGACCCCCAAAGAAATCTGTGTTCCCTTTCCCTGCCCACCCCACCCTTCCCAGAATCTGACCCCCTCCCCACATGACCTGGTTCTGTAGCCTAGGGGACCTGGCCTTCCCCCTGGTTATCTTCCCCCAACTCAATCCCTACTGCCCTCCCTGGACTTGGGGGGTCTGGACCTTTGGCCCCTGCCCTGTGGGGGACCCAGACCTTTGGGCCCTCACTCTGGCCCTTGCAGAGATCCAGGCAGACAACACCCCCATCCCTGCCCAAGTGTCTGAGGTGTTAGTGGTGGGAGGAGAAGCCCACCATCCCAGACTCTGGCAAATGTCTTTGCTGGTTCCTTGCAGCTGGCAGTGGGGGGGATCCCAGCCCAGGCCCAGGCCTGGGATGGGGATGGGGTCAGATGAAGAATTCTTCTTTCCTCTTGTGTCCATCGCTGCCATTGAGGAAGGCTTCTCTTGCTTCTCCCTGCTCATCCAAGCCACTGGCTTCGTGGGTCAGATAGGAACCTGAGGGGGTGACAGAGCCCCAGGGCAGAGGGGACATATATGTGGACCCAGGAGTTGGACAGAAACATAGGGAAGAGGGAGACAGACAAGACAGATACCAGGCGAAGAGGGAGAAACGAAACACATAGGGAGTTAAGTGCAGGGAATAGCAAAATAGTGGCAGAGAGAGAGGGAAAAGCAGAATTAGGAGGACTACAAAAGCTCACAGAAAGAGCCACCCTTATTCCTTCTCTTGGTGGCATCCCCTTGCTTTGCTCCCACCAAATCTAGCAGATGGGAAGGTAAATTGTTTTATTCAAACCCATGTCCTCAATTCGGCTTCTAAGTTCTACCCCCTTTTAGAGTCCTGAGCCGAAAGCCCCGTCCCCCCTGGGATCTTGGCCTCAGGTCCACAGGATTGGGAACCCTGGGTGTAGGCTCCGCCCCCTCATCCCGGCTCTCGCCCCGCCTCCTTTGAATCCCACAACCAACCACACCCCTTGCTGAATTCAGGCCCCGCCTCCACTCACCCTTCTGCCGTACAGAGCACCAGACCATGCCCACTAGCACGCATATGATCAGAAACACCAGTAGTGCCAGGATGCCGCCCACAATGGCGTAGGGAACCGACGTCTGCGCCTCTACCACCGCACCGGGGTCTGCCAGAGGGACAGGGCAGGGTACAGGAGCAGGTCATCCATTAGAGGGCAGGTTCAGTCCTGCCCCATCGCTGTCAAGCTGTGAAATCATTCTGCACACCACATTTAACCTTTATGTGCCACGCCCCTCAAAAATTACTGCCACCTTGTATCCTTCCCGTAGCTCCACTCTTTCTAGATGCTCCGCTTTCTCGAGGCATGCTTGTTGGTTTGTCCACTGCCTGATCCCTCCCCGAGTCATTTTGCTAACACACTCCCTGCCTCTCCCCCCACCCCTGCACCCCAAAGGCCAGAAATGGCATATCCCTTTTTTTTTTTTTTGGATTTAGTTTTTCTCCCACTGAAAAAAAAAAAGTCCAAGTCCAAGAAATAGGTCGAAGTCCCCTCCCAACTTGTCTAAAACGTTTCAGGTATTTAAAATGCTGGGCTAGGACCCAACCACTTCTAAAATTGCTGCCCCACCGCAGTAAGAGCTAAACATATAACACATTGTGTGCGAGGGGCTATTCCAATCGCATTATATATTAAGCTCATACGATCACAACCACCTTATGAGGCAGATGCTATTGTTTATTTCCACTTTAGCAAATGAGGAAACTAAGGCGCAGATTATGTTACCTGCAATAGAATGCGGCCCAGCCAAATTTGCACCCGCTAGGGCAGTCGGGCCCAGAACTATAAGAACTCTGTTGCTTGTGGACCCCCCACCCCCAATTACGGGGTCTCTTGGCTCGAGCCCCGTCCCCAAACGCCCCTCACCCCGCCCAGACCCTGCCCGCAGCCCTGGGGTCCGCCGCAGCCGGCCTCACCGTAGACCACGAGAACGTAGAGCGCCCTCGCGTGGCCGTGCTTGTTGGACGCCTCGCAAGTGTAGGTGCCGTTATCCGCGGATACCAGGCCCGGCAGCGTGAGCGTCTCCCCCAGGGCCTCGGCCCGCTCCGGCAAAGACTCATTCCCACGGTTCCAGCGGATCTGATTCGGCCTGGGCAGGGGTAGAGTGAGAGCTAGGAACCCGGGTGCCAGCACCCAATTCGGACATGTCCGGAAAACACGCAGCTCTCGCGCCGCAGGGACCTCCAAACAGGAGGCTTCCCCTTTCCTTCCCGGAAAACCAGCGGTGCCAGGCCCCGCTTCCACCCAGCAGCAGAGTGTCAGGACTCCCGGCGCTGCCAAACGCTTCCACCCTCAGGATCCAGGAGTCCGGCTCCCGCGTCCTGTTCGCCCAGGCCTCTCCTTCCTGAGCCTCGGGTGTCCAGGTCCCCAGCTCTTGTCACCCCAGGGCCCAGGAGTCTCGGGCCCCAGAGCTCACCTGGGGTTCCCAGTGACAGCACATGTCAACACCAGCGTGTCTCCCTCCCTCACCACGGCTTGGGAGGCGTGGATCCGGGCCGTGGGGGAGTCTGCGCAAAAAGTCAGAAGACGGACAGGTTTCCGGGTCAGTACGCGGGGCTGAGGACCCCCCCGGGCGGGCGGCTGGCGCTGGGACCCCCGGCGCACTTACACTGCACGTCCAGCACGTACTGCGTCTGCTTGCTGTGTCCCGAGGGCAGCGCCTGGTTCTGGGCCTCGCAGATGACGATGCCGCCGTCGTCCTTGCGGTCCACGCGAAACCGCACTGTGCTCGCCACACTCCAGACCTTGCCGCTTTCCTGGCCGCTGCTCACCCCTGCCCCGCCCGGCCCAGGCACGGTCAGGCCGGATTCCGGCCCAGACACCCCAGCGCGCCCCAAAGCTGGCCACCAGCCAAGCCCCGCCCCCAGACCTCGCCCCGCCCCCAGCCACGCCCACGTGCCTTTTCCCAAAGCCCCTTCTTTCACTCCCAGCCCGTCTCACCTATCCATTCATCCAACAGCCACGTATCTAGTAGAACCTGTGCGCGCCTCGCCAAGCCCCGCCCACACCAGACCTGGCCTGCCAAGCCCCGCCCCTCTAGCCCCGCCCCTCGGCGTCCGGCTCGGGTTACCTTTCAGCTCCTTTCTGTCCCGGTACCAGCGCAGGGTGGCGGCCGGGCGCGACCGCGGCACCAGGCAGCTGAGCTCCACCTCGCCGCCCTCCACCGCCTGCTCCCGGACCTCCACCACCGGGTTCTCCGGGGCCACTGCCGCAGGGAGAAGAGGGAAAGGCGAGTTGACGGAGGCGCGAGGCGGGCTCAAAGCCATCAGGCTGCCGGGTCCCAGACACCGCAGAGTCTAGGGTCCCAGGGGTCAAAGACAGGCCGGGAAGGCCGGCCAGACTCCCCGGAGCCAGATGTCCAGGACGTTGCAAGCAGCCAGGGCCAGAAGGTCCCGGGAGAAGAGGGAAGCGGGGGAGGCCGGAGGGGGAGGCCCGGCGCGGGAGCGCGTTACCCAGCACGGTGAGCGTGGCGATCTGGTGGTGGGTGTCCTCCGTGTACAGCTGGCAGAAGTAGCCGCCCTCGTCCTCCAGGCGGGCGTCTGAGAGCCGGATCCGCACGCGGCGAGGGGAGAACTCCTCCAGCTGGAAGCGCTCGTCCTTCAGGGCTAGAGAGAGTGGCCGGGTAGGCGTGAACTTGGCGCGTCCTGGCTCCAGAGTCCCACCCTTCCTCCAGGAGCTTAGAGCCCAGCCCATAGCCTCTTTCCTCCAGCCATACCTGCAAGTCTGAGGTGTCCAACTATTTACTCCCTTGGGGACCCAGAATAATTCACTTTCCTCCTGCCTGGGGGACCAGGAGTCCAGGCCCTCGGTCCTCTCCTCCCTCCCACCCAAGAGCACAGGCCGGCAGCTGCGTCCTCTTTCAGGACACGGGAGTCCAGGCCGCGGCCCTCTCCTCCTTGCAGACTCGGGATTCCCGTCCCCAGCACTCACCCCGGGTGCCGTTGAAGAAGAGGGTCTGCCGGGCTGGGTTCTGGATGACAACTATGGACCCATCATACTGGTGCAGACGGCAGGTGATCTCAGCCACCCCACCCTCAGCCACTGTCACGTTCTCTGTCTGTACTTCCTGTCCCGCCCCTGGACCATTAGACAGAGACAGGAGACTTATTGAGGGCTGCAATTAAATCATTTCTTTCTCCCTCTGTGCCTCTCCCATCCAAACCCTCAATCTCTCTCCTTCCCCTCTCATTCAGTTCATTGCACCCAACATTTGCTGGGGGTTAGAGCACAAAATCTGCTCCCCATAGAGGAGCTGCAGTCAAGATTCAGTGGTACGTGCTCCAATGGGGGGTAGAAGAGGGCATACAAGGAACCCAGAGAAAGCGGAGAGTAGAGCTACCTAGAGAGGTGGGTGGTCAGAGAGAGACCTGGAAGAATGAGCCACTGGATCTGGATCTCAAAGAGTAAGCAGCAATTCAGCAGGTGTGGGATATTGCTGCGTGTTCACTCAACTTTCTCTTTCACGCCTGGGCACATACTGTAGCTTGTCTGCAAAGATGGCCATAATATTCTTCCCCTTCCTGGACATGCCCTTTGCAAGTTGATTTTGCCTCTCTCTAGTCTGGGTGCGCATTGCGACTTGCTTTGATCAATAGAATTTGCTAGAAGTGATATCGTATGTGTTCTGGAGCTCAGGCCTGGAGAGGCCTAGCAGCTTCTGCTCTTGCCCTCTACTGCCCCAATGGTGTTGCATGAAGATGCCCAGACTGGCCCCTTTGTGGATGAGAGACCCCAGGGAGAGAGCAGCTCCGCCAGCACCAACTGCCAGGCCTGTGAGCGAAGCCATTCCCAGTCGCACCACCAGATGACTGCAGCCCCACAGGTGACCCCAGATGAAACCAAGAGACGATCTGCCCACCTGCTCCAGCCCAAATTGCTGACCCCCAGAATTGGGAACCAATAAAGTGGTGGTTGTTTTAAGCCACTAAGTTTTGGGTGGTCTGTTCCGCTGCTAAAGTTAACTGACACGATAGGAAACTAGGCTACATCCCAGCATCCTTTGTAGTTTAGGTGGAGCCACGTGGCTGATTTCTGGCCAATGGGATGTAGGTGGAAGAGATTAAACACCCCTTCCAGCCCTCACAGGGAGCCTACAGGAGGGCAGGATCACAAGCTGGAGGGAGCCAGTGTCTCTGACTGTTCCCCATGACCTGCCTACATAGGACTGTGAGCGAGAAATATACTTTTTTTTGTGAAGCCACTGACATGTCAGGGCTGTTTGTTACAGCAGTTAACCTACCCTGATTGATTAATCCACTGGAGGAAAAAGGTGGGGGGTTAGAAAGGTGCAGCAGCAGAGGCAACAGACTAAAAAGCTGAATGCCGAAACTAATCATCGTCGGTGTTACCATCATTGTCATCTTCAAAATAACAATAACCGCTATAGCTGCCATATATTGGGCACTTGCTGTGGTGGCCGTGTGCTAAGAGCATTACCTATATAATTTCCATTTAATCTTCACAATACCTGTATAAGTATTGAGCAAGTATTGTGCAACTTGCAACTGTGCAAGTTGATTTTGCCTCCCTCTAGTCTGGGTACGCATTGCAACTTGCTTTTATCAATAGAATTTGCTAGAAGTGATATTGTATGTGTTCTGGAGCTCAGGCCTGGAGAGGCCTAGCAGCTTCTGCTCTTGCCCTCTACTGTCCCAACAGTGAGTGTTGCATGAAGATGCCCAGACTGGCCCCTTTGTGGATGAGAGACCTCAGGGAGAGAGGAGTAGGCACTATTATTAATCTCCATTTTTTCCCAATCCCCATTTTTTTTTTTTTTTTTTTTTTTGAGACAGAGCCTCACTGTGTTGCCCAGGCTAGAGTGAGTGCCCTGGCGTCAGCCTAGCTCACAGCAACCTCAATCTCCTGGGCTCAAGCGATCCTGCTGCCTCAGCCTCCCGAGTAGCTGGGACTACAGGCATGCACCACCATGCCCGGCTGATTTTTTCTATATATATTAGTTGGCCAATTAATTTCTTTCTATTTATAGTAGAGACGGGGTCTCGCTCTTGCTCAGGCTGGTTTTGAACTCCTGACTTCGAGCAATCCGCCCGCCTCGACCTCCCAGAGTGCTAGGATTACAGGCGTGAGCCACCGCGCCCGGCCCCAATTCCCATTTTTATAGATGAGAAAATTGGCCCAGAGAGATGAAATGACTTGCCCAAGGGCACAGCCAAGAGTGGCAGGGCCATCATCTCATCCAGATCTCTCTGATTCCATGTCTACTCCCGCCCGTTTGGGTGAAGAACCCAGCACTGGCAAGGGGACATGAGATACACTTATGGATAAGCCTCGAATGTCAAGTTAGGAGATTAGCTTTTATCCTAAAGGCCAGTGAAGGTTTTGAAGCAGGAAAATGCCATGATCAGATCCGGTTGTCTTTAAATACTAGATAACTATCCGTGTTTCTTACATTCTGTCTCAGAATTTCATTCATTCATTTGAGTATTTCCTGAGCAATGGGTACATTTTTAGGGACCAGCAATGGGTACATTTTTAGGGACTCATCCAGGGATGAGTCAGATGAGATCGCTGCCCTGAAAACCCTTTAGGATTTATAGAGCAGTAGATACTAGTCGCTGTAATATAACATCAAAAGTAGCATGCCATGTTTTCTATAAGAGGGTAGGCAATCTTAATTTGGGGGTTGAGGGGTAGGAAAAATTCCGGAGGATGGAGGCAGAGATGGCTGGCTTCCTATCCTGACATCCATTCTTCCCTTTCTCCTCGGTAAAAGAACCCTCATCATACATGATTGCCCTATGGCTAACAGAAAGAGGTATTGCTCAGTTTTCCTCACAGCTAAGTAAGGTCACATGATAAAGTTTTGTCCAGTTGGACATAAGCAAAAGTGTCATGTGGTAATTTTGAGAGGAATTCCTAAAGAAAGGGGACAAGTTCTTTTTTTTACCATGTTGCCTTTGTGCTGCCTGGAACTAGGATGTGATGTATGGAATTTAGGCAGCCATGTTGGACCATAAAGACATGGGCAGTAAGGATGGTGGAACCAAGAGCTGGAAGGTGCCTGGGTCTCTTTGAAGATGCAGAGCTGTTGTAATAGCCCTGGACTCCTACTTCTGGCCTTCTTTTATATTTGAGTATAACACTGGGTATTTTTTATAATTAATTATTTTAGAGATGGGGTCTTGCTATGTTGCCCAGGCTGAACTCAAACTCCTGGGCTCAAGGGATCCTCCCACCTCAGCTTCCTGAGTAGCTGGGACTACAGCATGTGGATATTTAAACCACTATTTGAGGTTTATCTAGCACCTCCTAGAATATCAAGCTTAATACATCCAATCCTTGCCCCAGATATTTTCCTCCCCAAGTTTTCCCAATCTCAATAAATGTCACAAACATCCACCCAGTTGCTCAGGTCAAAAACCTAGAAATCACTCAAGTTCTCTTCCTTTCTCTCACCCCAGCATCCATCCCGTCAGCAATATCTGTCCATTCTACCCCCAAAACAAATGCCAAATCTATTCACATTTGTCTAACTCGCCTACCTTCACCTACATTCGGTAATATCATCTCTCACCTGGGCCCTTCAAAAGCCTACTTTTTTTTTTTTTTTTTAGACAGAGTCTGGCTTTGTTGCCCAGGCTAGAGTGAGTGCCACAGTGTCAGCCTAGCTCACAGCAACCTCAATCTCCTGGGCTCAAGCAATCCTCCTGCCTCAGCCTCCCGAGTAGCTGGGACTACAGGCATGTGCCACCATGCCCGGCTAATATTTTCTATATATATTAGTTGGTCAATTAATTTCTTTCTATTTATAGTAGAGACGGGGTCTTGCTCTTGTTCAGGCTAGTTTCGAACTCCTGACCTTGAGCAATCCTCCCGCCTTGGCCTCCCAGAGAGCTAGGATTGCAGGTGTGAGCCACCGCGCCCGGCAAGAGCCTACTTTTGAGTCTCCCTGCTTCCATGTCTGCCCCCTCCAAGGCCATTCTCCACACAGTTGGCCAGATGGATTTTTCAAAAAAGTAAATCAGTTCAATTCACCTCTCTGCCTAACATTGCACGAGGGTTGCCTATTACACTTAGAAAAAAAGTGAGACTCCTTCCCAGGCCTTCAAGGGGGCATGTGGCCTGGCCCCTCTCTGAGCTCACTTCACTCCAAGCTCACGGGCCTTGATGTCCCTCAAACATGCTGCGTGGCCTTTGCAGTTGCTATTCTTTCTGCCTGGAATGTTCTTCTCCCCACACCCCCCATCGTCCCAGGGCTGCCTCCTGTTCCATTTCGGGTCTCAGATTACATCAACACCTCCTCTAGTTCCTCACCATGGTTTTATTTCATCTATAAAAATTTGAGGACATTTCACTGAAATTATCTGAATAATTTGCTTATTGTCTGTCTGTTCCTCGTCACTAAAATCTATGCTCCACGAAGGCAGGGATGTAATCGCTGGGTTACTGCCGTAGCCCTGGTGCCTAGAAATGTACCTGGCACTTGACGAACGTCTGGGGAGCTCGCTGAATAAACTGCATGTGTCACACGGGATACCATTTCAGCCTCACGGCAGATTTGTGACATCATTATTTTCATCTTAAACACCTGGGTGGGTCCCAGCTCAGCCACTTGCCATCTGTATGACCTTGGGCAAGTGGCCTCACTTTCCTGAGCCTCAGTTGCCCCATCTATAACATGGGGATGACGCCAACGTCTGCCTCATAGGGGTTAGCCCGGTGCCTGAAGCGTAGAGCGCCCTCTCTGGGAGGCTGATGTTATTGCAACCTCCAGAATCATGCCCCTGCACGTGAGAACTGGAACACACAAACTGGTGCTTTTAAAAACATCCCAAAGCCTATCCATGGACCCTGGACCTCAGAGCTAGTCCAATGCTAGACCCCCATTTTACAGATGTGGAGAATGAGGCTCAGTGGGTCCCAGGCAATTCAGTGGCAAAACTCACCATCTCCTGGGAGCCATCAGGTCCTCTGGGATCTGTCCCCCCCAATATATCCCCTGCTCTCTGCTTGAGGGTGCACATGGGGTGAGGGTGGGGGGCTTTTGTCTTATTCCCTCCCCCTCCTGAGGAGTCAGTAACCAACAGTGTCTGTGCTTGGAATATTAATGTCCCAGGAGCTTTTGTTTCAGGGGTTTGGGGGGTGGTGGGGGCGGGACTTTCTGCTCAGAGAGGGGCTGAGCTTTGGGGACTGGGGCACTGGCCCTTTAAACTATGTTGACAGCCAGGAGTCGTCATGGGGATGGTGCCTGGAAAAAGGGACAGGGGAGGGTTTAGGTAGGAGCGGCTGAGCAGGTGATGTATAAAGACCCAGGAATCCAGCCCCCAACCACCTCCTCTCCCAGGACCCAGGAGTCTGGGTTGCCAGCCCCTCCTCCAGCAGGCCCTTGGTGTCTGGGATCCTGGCTTCTTCCTCCCTTACTCGCAGGAATCCGGCCCCCAACCACCTCCTCTCTCAGGCTTCAGAAGTTCAGGCCCCCAGCACCCTCCTCGATCAGCACCCAGCGGTCCCGGCTCTCAGCATCCTCTTCTTTCAAACCCAGGAGCCTGAGCTCCCAGCCTTCTTCCCCCTTAAACCCAGAAGTCTGGGCCTCCAGACCCCTCCTCCTTCAGGACCCAGGAGCTGGGGGTCCAGAGTACACAGCTGGTGGATGTTTCCACGGAGACTGAGCGGGATGGGGGGAGCGCTTCCTGGGTCCTGAGTCAGCGAATACCCAAGGGAGTCTCAAGGTCATGGTTCCGGGAAGGTCACAGCCACCCCCTCAGTATCCGCTCCCCAGGGGCTCCTGGCATCCAGCCTCCTTCCCCTTTCCTCCCCTAGGGAGGTGGTACATCCCTGCTCCTGAGCAAACCCCCCTCGGCCCCCCATCAATGGCGGAGTCCGAACACATCCTCGCACAAAGCGTCAATTCTTCCCCAGCTCAGGCTTGTGAAGGCGCCTGTATTCGGAGGACCTAGGCATCAGGGTCCCAGCCCCTCCTCCCACGGAAACCTGCAGTGGAACCCCTCAGTCCCTTCCTCTCTCAGAACCCGGGAGTCTGTGCCTTCACCCCTTCCTCCCTCGAGACCTGGGAGCACAGCCTCCAGCCCCTTTCTCTTTCAGGAGGCAGGAGTTCAAAGCCCCGTCCCCCTGCTCCCACAGACCCAGGAGTCTAAGACCCCAGTCTTTCCTCCCTCAGACCTGGGGGTCCAGGCCCCTAGTCCCTCCTCCCTCAGACCCAGAAGTCTAAGACCCCAGCCCCTCCTCCCTCAGACCTGGGGGTCCTCAGTCCTGGGGTCCAGGCCCCCAGCCCCTCCTCCCTCAGACCTGGGGGTCCTCAGTCCTGGGGTCCAGGCCCCAGCCCCTCCTCCCTCAGACCTGGGGGTCCTCAGTGCTGGGGGTCCAGGCCCCAGCCCCTCCTCCCTCAGACCTGGGAGTCCTCAGTCCGGGGGTCCAGGCCCCCAGCCCCTCCTCCCTCAGTCCTGGGGTCCAGGCCCCAGCCCCTCCTCCCTCAGACCTGGGAGTCCTCAGTCCTGGGGTCCAGGCCCCCAGCCCCTCCTCCCTCAGACCTGGGGGTCCTCAGTCCTGGGGTCCAGGCCCCAGCCCCTCCTCCCTCAGACCTGGGGGTCCTCAGTGCTGGGGGTCCAGGCCCCAGCCCCTCCTCCCTCAGACCTGGGGGTCCTCAGTGCTGGGGGTCCAGGCCCCAGCCCCTCCTCCCTCAGACCTGGGGGTCCTCAGTGCCGGGGGTCCAGGCCCCCAGCCCCTCCTCCCTCAGTCCTGGGGTCCAGGCCCCCAGCCCCTCCTCCCTCAGACCCAGGCGTCTAGGACCCCACTAGCACCCTCCACTCCTGGAAACTTTTGACCCTAAATCCACAGTCCTCAGCCCCTAGAACCACAGTTCTGCCTTTTCTCAGCCCTTTGTCCCCCTCCTTTCTGGGGACCTAGGCATCAGATGGGGGGCGTAGGGGTGAGTCAGCAGCCTCACACACAAAGTCCCCCCTGTGGCCCCCACATTCCTGGGATATTCAGGACTCCCTGGATTCCAGGCCTCAGGCCCAGCCAGGGGGTGGGGAGTCCTCCAGAGGTTCTCCCCAGTGTGGGGTGGGGGGAGGAATTCCAGCTCCAGGAAGGGTGCAAGCCTGCACTGAGCTGCCACTGTCCAATCCTCCACCCCCAGTGCCCTCTATTCACCCCCTTTCCCAGAAGAGCCCAGGCTCTGCCCCCGCCCCGTGCCCCGCTGGGTGCACGCGGAGGACCCTGGGTGCCTGGTCCCTGCGGGCCTGGGGTCTGCACGGGCGGAAACCAGTGGGTGCTTGGGTCCTGGTGCCACAGGCCATTGGATGCTGGCGGGTCTGACTGTCTCCAGCACCCCCCACCCCTCCCAGGGAGAGAAAGCTGCCTTTGTGTTCCCCAAGATGGGGACAGGCCAGGCTCGCACGACATTAACCCACCCTTAGGCCCCAGCCCTGCTGTGTCTAAGGTCTTGGAATCCATTGCGAAACCTGACCCCCACGCCCAGGCTCAGGGGTGGGTGGGGGATCAGTGACAGAAACCTCCAAAGACCTGTTCCTTGGGGTGACTCACAATGGGGGGAGGGTCCCCCCATTCTTAGAATGGCTGGTCAGAATTTCAGCAGGGAAAAGTGAGTCACCCTGGGAAGGAAACAATATTTGGGAGCAACAATCTCCCCCTCCACAAGGCCCCCCAACTTTTAACAGCCTCTCCATTCTTTCTTTGTATCTGTATATCTGCTATCTCTGCTCCTTTCTCTGTTCTACCTCATTTCTGGTCTGTGGATCCCTGCTTCTGCCTGTGTGCGCCTCTCTCTCTGGGCAGGCACACCCTCTCTCTCTCTTTCTCACTTCCTCTCCTCTGCCCACCCCAGACTCTTCTTTCTTTTGGCATAAATCTTATCATCCTCTTCTGCTATTCTTGCCAGAATGAGCCAGGAAAGAGAGAATATATTTTTGAAAGGGCACAAATGGACCTCATCTCCTATTTCCACTCTTGCTGGCTGGGCAAGGTGAGAGGAGGGGAAGAGGGTGACTAAGAGGTGACGGATACCCCCTAAAATTTAGCGGCCAAGGCCATTCAGAAATATCCAATGAAAAGGAAAGCCGGCAGAGCCCTTCAAGACCATGTGCTACACAGCTCCCCACCCCGTGCTCTACAGAAGGGGAAAATGACTGTCCGACAGGGACAGAGACTGACAAAATCATACCAGAGGCCTGGTAAGGATGGGACCCAGGTTCCTTAGCTCCCAGCCCAGAGCTCTTCCCATGTCGCCGAGCTAGCTCTCCACTTGTAAAGCGCCACGCCATTTAATTCAGAGAAAGTTTACAGAGAGGATTAGGGTGCCAGGAAGCAGTGACTTTAAAATCAAACAAGGGACAAGGCTATTTCCCAGAAGCACTGGAGAAAGGATTCTTGAACTGGGCAGGTGGTCACCTTAGGCTATATTCTCATTCTGAGAATCTGAAGTCCCGTGATTCTAAGCGGTCAGGAATCTAGATGCCAGAGATGTCAAGATCCAGGAACTCCAAGAAATCAAGATGTCACAATTTTAAAGATGTCAAGATGCTAGCATGCTAACACCGTCAAGGTTTTAGAACTTTAAAGGTATCAGGATTCTAAAGACTTCTGGATTTTAGAATCCCTATAGATGTCAACATTCTAAACTACCCTCAGGTTCTGTTTACTGGATTCATTGGTTCCAGGATTCTATGAGCCTAGTTTTTAGCCTAGAAATTATATAAAGAAAAATAAAATCTGATGGAAATGCAGCTAAGGTACCAACGTTCTCATTTGGGAAACTGTGGCCTGGCTATTGCAAAGAAAGGTGGTGATGATGAAAGTTTTGAGGCAATCACAGAAGAGTATAGAAGAAAGAAAGGCACAGAGTGAGAGGTCAGCCTTGTCCGGAGGCTGGGAGGCTGTTTCAAACCCTGAAGTGGGGACGGCGCAAGCACACTCAATTTGCCAGAAACCCCCCCACGGTCTGAGCTGGGATTTGCTTTCAGGCCACTGAGTTCAACATCCTCACTTTACAGGAGGAGAAACTGAAGCCAGGAGAGAGGGGCATGTTTACCACCGGCTGGTGTGGCTAATGGCAAGCGCCAGGATTTAAACTCAGGCCTGCAGCCCTGTGCCACCTGGTTCCAACGCCTCCCCAAACCTCTACAGAAATCCAGCCCTCCTGCTTCTGCCCGGCCACCTCCCAATCATCTGTTCCTCCCAAGAGTGGCTTTTACCTACAGGGAGCGGGTGACCCGTGACAGGTTTGAGACACACACAATGTGAGAGTGTGACTGGGTGACATTTCCTGACCTTGTCTCCAGCCTCAGGGTCACCCTATCTGGGGGGTCTCCGGTTCCTCACCGCGTGGGATAAGGGTGTGTGGGTGGCTCCCCGGATGTCCTGGAGGGGGCTGCTCTGGAAGTCATGCCCGGGTGTGTGAATGGGTGACGAGGGTTCGGGGAGGCATTTGCTGAATCCACGTGTGTGCCCACACGCCAAGGTTCCCGTTCCCACTTCCCCACACACATACACAGCGACATTGCTCCCTCAGGGCTGCTTAGGATGCCCTGCCTGACTCGATTCCTCTCCAGGGCACAGAGAGACACAGAGAAGGAATGAAGGATGGGATGGGAGATGGAGGTCGCCAGGGTAGGGAGAGGAGGCAGAGAGAGGAGGACAGGGAAACAGTGGGACAGAGAGGGGGAAAGAGGGCAATAGGTGGCAGAGGGGCTAGAGAAAGGGGTGACCCAAAGATGGGGACAGAGAGATAAGGGGACGGGGCAGATGAGGGACAGAGAAAAGGGGACAGGGAAACAGGGTGACAGCAAGATAGGGACAGAGACGGAGAAGAGGAGCAGGGGGGCAGAAATACAGGGGGACAGAGAAGAGAGGATGACGGGGTGGGGGGACAGAGTGACCCAGGAAAAGGGGACAGAGGTAGGGGACAAAGACAGGATAGAGAGATGGGGAATAGGGAAGCAAGGAGAAAGGGAGACAGACGGAAGGAGGAACAGGACTCCGACACTGGGGCACAGAGGACAAGGGTAGGGGGACAAGGAGAGAGATAGGGGGATTCAGAGACGGGTGGACAGAGGGACGCAGAGACCGGACAGAAGGACAGCGGGACCGGCCTGGGAACGGCGGGCTTGTTGGGGGGGTGGGCTCAGGCCCTTTGTCCCCGCCAGATCGGGCCTGTGCGGGTGGGGGGGCTGCGGCACGGCGGCCGGGGCCCGCGCCCCCTCCCCCGCTCGCGGCTCGCGGCTCCCGGCCCGCGCTGCGCTTTGTCCCGGGGAGGGGGCCCGGCCCGGCCCGCGCGCATTGTTCGGCCTCTGCGGCCCCTCGGCGGCCGGGCTGTCACCGCGGTGCGCCCCCCGCCCCAGCCCAGCCTGCCGGCCCCGGCTCCCGACCCTACCTGGCCCCGCCGCGGCCGCCCACAGCAGCAGCAGCGGCCACTGGAAGCGCCGGGCCCGGCCCATGGTGGTGCCGCCGCCGCCGCCGCCGCCGCCGTCGCTCCCGGCCCGGCACCTGCACCGCCCCGCCGCCCCGCCCGCCCCTGCGCCCCGCCTGCCCGCCGGGGCGGGGCGGGGCCGGGCTGCGAGGGGAGGGGGAGGCGGCGGGGAGGGGGAGGCGGCGGGGAGGCCACGCGACAATGGGGGAGGGCGCGGATGGGAAACGGGGGGCGCGCGAGCGCGGAGAGAGCAGTGCAGGGAGGGCGGGGGCGAAGGCGGGAAGGCTGCGCGCGAGCGACCGCGTGCGGGAGCGGGCGGGGAGGTGGGACAGGTCGTGGGTGCCGGGTGAAGGGCTAAGGTGCTGTGCGTGGGGATAGGGACGTGGTGCGGTGTGAGCGGGTGAGGGCGAGTGTGCCCTGCAGAAGGGCAGTGCGCGCGGGTGCGGGTGTCGCGGTGTGCGGGAGGGGTGACAGGGGAGAGCGTGGCGTGCGTCGGGAGGGTGTGAGCCTTGAGGGAGGGGGAGTGTGATATGGGCAAGGTGAGTGTGAGAGGCGTTCGTGGACAGGTGAGTGTGAACACGAGGGTGTCCAGTCTAGTGAGAGGCTGCGGGCTGAGCCGGGAGGGGGACGGCCGCCCCCGGAGGTCGGGACGGGACGGGACCAGGATCTCCCAGTGCAGGGCGGGGCTGGGGCTCAGGCGTGGGGTGGGGTCGGTGACTTTGCTCCCTCCCTTCCCCCTGTCCTGACCTGAAAACCCCATGCTTCCGCGTCATTCTCCGGGAGGGGCCCGCTGACAGCGAACCAGCTGGAAGGAAGCCTGAGTTCTGGGCCCCGGGGGGAAGGGGCCCCTGTGGACACCTCCCAGGCCCTGGCGTCCCAGGTGCCCGCTCCTCCTCCCGGCCTGGCCACCCCAGCTCTTCCTGCCCCATCTCTCTGTGTCCCTCTCTGTGTCGATTTGACTTCTCAGGGACTGCCTTAATGCCTGATCTCTTGTTATGTGAGATAATCAATTTCCTCCTTGCTTTAACCATTTGGAGCTGGGCGCCCTTTTAAGTGCAGCCTTGGCCACCATATTGCATGTGGTTGGCACGGAGTGCATGGAGGCGGCCCTACTTGCCGATCAATACGTTCTAAACGATAGTTTTCTTTTTCAGTCGCTCCTCCATCCTTGTGGTGGGATCTCTCTTGCAGCCTGTTTTCCAAGCGCTGGCCAAGCGGGCAGCGGAACCACGAGGCCCGCGGGAGCAGGGGATGCTTGTGTCGACCTGGACAACTCTGTACAGTGGCTTCGATGTGGACGTCATCCGCCTAAGTAGAGGGGACTGTGGACAGAACCTTGGCCCACACTGGACCCAATCAGGGTCTCGTGGCTAAATTTTTAGAAATGAGACTCAAGTAGTTCTTGGTGCTTAACATCTCAGTGGGCGTAGTGTGAAGTAGAAGGTAGTCTGTGCAGAGATGGAAAAATAAAGTCAAGGTCTAGGAGGGAAATCACACATTCAAAGAGAGAGAGAGTGATTAATTGAGATTCTGCAAGAAGGAGATAACCTTGATTCTATACAGCTTTTCAATTGTTTCCCGTCCCTGGTGAGGCCTGGAGGCCTAGCCCTTGCTTGGATTCTAAACTTCTGACGACATTGTTTTTGCCAAGTCAGCATAAGCAGATTTTATTTCTTGCAACTGAAATTTCCTGAACAAAAATTTGGGAGCCATTAGCAATGAGGTCCTATCACAAGCTAAGGTGGAGGACATAGGAAATAGGTCCATAGCCTCAGTATCTGCTGGAAGGCATCATGGGACGTGTATTTCTGTCCTCTGAGCTCCACTGTAGCCCATAATGGGAGGTGTAATCTTAGCCTCCAGTCTCTGCCCCGGGGTCTCATGGGAGATGCCGTCCAGTCCCAACCTCAACACCTGTCGCTGGGCATCATGGGAGATGTATCCCTAGCCTCAGTATCTGTAGTAGGGAATCATGGGAAAGGTGAAGTTCCTCAGTTTTAAGTTATGGAGCATGTCATAAAATGTCATCTTAGCTTTGTCTCTGCTGTAGGGCATCATGGGAGAGCCAGTTCTGGCCCCGTTTTTTTTTGTTTTTTTTTTGTAAGGCACCATAGAAGATGTAGTCTTTCCTTCCTTCCTTCTCTCCTCTCTTTCTTCATTGCCTGCCATGGCCAGGCGCTAGGACTGCAGTAGCCAGCAAATAAAATGCCTTCCGCTCCCCAGCGATTGCAATGCGGAGAGTTAGCAAAACAAACAAGAAAACTGAGTGCCCCAGTGAACCATTGCCAAATAACAAAAGACTCCAAAACTTAGAGACGTCAAACAACAACTTTTTTATTTTATGATTCTGTGGGTCAGGGATTTGAGCAGGATTGGTGTGTATCTGCTTTACGATGAACTAGAGCCAAAGGTGGGCTGCCTTGAACAGCGGGAGAGGGAGGGGACGCTCATCTAGGGCCATACGTCTGAGGCTTTGTTGGTTGGCGTTGTGAGTATTGAATTGTGTCCTAACCCCTGAGATCTATGCAGTGACCTTATTTGGAAATAAAGTCTTTGCAGATGTGATTACATTAATGATTAGATGAATCCCTACTAGATTAGGGCGGGCTCTGAATGCAGCGATTGATGTCATTGTGGGAAACATTGGAAACACACAGCCACACTCACAGGGAGGAAGGCCATGTGAAGACAGAGGCAGACATTGGGGAGTGATGTCAGCCAAGGAATGCCAAGGATTTCTGGAAACCATCAGGAGCCAAAAGGAGACAAGGAACTGTTCTTCCTCAGTGGCTTTAGGGAGAGCATAGCTCTGCCAAAACCTTGGTTTTGGATTTCTGGCATCCAGAACTGTGAGAGAATAACTTTCCGCTGTTTTAAGCCACCTAGTTTGTAAGTTTGTATCAATAGTAATTTATCATGGCAGCCCTAGGAAACTAATATAGCTGGGTTTCCTGATTTTCTTCTCTATATCATATCTTCTGGGGCTGCATGTTCAAGGTGGCTCCTGCACCCACTTGTCTGGTACCTGGGCTGAGATGGCTGAAACATCTGGGGCTTTCTTTCCCTGTGGTATCTTATCTATACACGAGTAGCTTGGGCTTCCTTACAGCATGGCAGTCTCAGGGTAGTAGGACTTTTACGTAGTAACTGGCTTCCCCAGACTGAGCATTCCAAGATTCAGGAAGTGGAAGACTTCTTTTCTTAAACCCTGATTTCAGAACATGGCACAGCAAAACTTCCACCACATCCTATTGGTCAAAGCAGTCACAAAGTTATTCATATTCAAGAGGCAGAAGTACAGACCCCGCCTCTTTAAGCCACCACAATGACACAAGGTGATATGTGATTGGAGGAAGCCCTAAAAAGAAACCCTGTCCCTCACGGGCCCCCACATACCATGGAAGATGTCCTATTTTTAATTCGTTAACCAGAAATTGCCATGGGGAATGTAATTTTGTCTCAAATCATGAGAAACAGGAATTCTTCCATATTGCGCTCCAAGAGTGCCATTGAATTGGTAGTTGTGGCTTTTTGTCTGACAGTCCTAAGGCATCCTGGGAAATATAACCCAGCTTTTATCCCCTGTCTCAGAGCATCATGGGAAGTGTAGTCCTGTCCTTATTTTTCACTGCCATGTATCAAGGGAGTTCTGGCCCTCAGGTTGTCTCCTGTCCATCTCCTGTTGCAAAGCACCCTGGGAAATACAGACTTGTCTCCTTAGAACAACAAAATAGTCTTAACCTTTCAAGTTTGGGGCAAGAGACTGGATGGTTAGTGTTGGGTGGGTGAGTTGGAAGGTTGCATTTGGAAGCCAGAAATAGCTGTGGAAGCAGCTTAGGGCAGAAGCCCACAGGGCAGGCACCTCAAATGCCTGGTCACCTACAACGTGACCTTAATTCCAAGAGCCTATGGAAAGGTGCCCCCCACCATTCAGCCTCCCAAGGATAGATGATACAAAAAAGGGCAGACCTAGGCCGGGCGCGGTGGCTCATGCCTGTAATCCTAGCACTCTGGGAGGCTGAGGCGGGCGGATTGCTCGAGGTCAGGAGTTCAAAACCAGCCTGAGCAAGACCCCGTCTCTACCAAAATATAGAAAGAAATTAATTGACTAACTAAAAATATATATATACAAAAAAAAAAAAAATTAGCCGGGCATGGTGGCGCATGCCTGTAGTCCCAGCTACTAGGGAGGCTGAGGCAGTAGGATCGCTGAGCAACAATAATTATCATTATGGGATAATACTGATGAGGTTGCTGTGAGCTAGGCTGACACCACAGCACTCACTCTAGCCTGGGCAACAAAGTGAGACTCTGTCTAAAAAAAAAAAAAAAAAAAAAAAAGGGCAGACCTGGCTTTGATAACTGCTACAAAAAGCGTTAAGTATAAAAAAATCTTTATTTAAGTATAAAATAAATAATATGAATATTAATTAATAATAACAATAGCGGCAACATTATTCATAACAACAGCTTTCCTGCTGGCCCACAGCTTTTCTCCAGCTTCTCTTCTCTGGTTCTCATAACAACTCGATGAGATAGGTATTTGACGATTGGGAAAACTGAGGCCCAGAGAGGTTGGCACACTGGCTTGAGGTCACACAGCAAGTTTGCAGGGCTGAGAGCTGAGGGAAGGGCAAAGGAGTCCCCCGGATCCAGCCGGGCTAGAGATTGGGGGGTTGGGTTCAGGTCCAGAGGAGAGTGCCCCCCCACAGTCTGGCGGTCATAAGCAGGGTGACAGTGAGGCTGAGGTGGGCAGGGCCAGGCCGAGGGGCACCCCCTCTGCGGTGCTGGACATCCCGAGCAGGGTGGTTACAGCCACTTCCATTACAGCACGTGACATTGAGATGGGTCAGGCTGAAGGCATCAGCCACGTGGACGCGCTGGCACCATGAATCTGTCCCACAGCCTCTTACTGTGTAGCTTGGGGTCCCCGGCCCTAGAGGAAAGAGAAGACTGAGTGAGACTCCCAGCTCTTGGGCCTGAGCCTGGAATTCTCAAGCAGGTGACATGCTATCTTGTGCTTGGGGCCACCTTCACTGCCACCTGGAGAAAGCAGCAGTTCTCAAAGTGTGTTCCAGGGATCCTTGCGAGGGTTCCCAAGACCCTTTCAGGAGATCTGTGAAGCCAGAATTATTCTCATAATAATACTAAAACATTTGGCTTTTTTGCTTTCATAAGTGTACAATGGAGTTTTCTAGAGACTTCAGGACATGTGATGTTGCAAGGGACTGAAAGCAGAAGCAGCTGTGAGAATCCAGCTGTTTCTATTAAGCTAGACATTAAAGAGATGCGCAATACCGTAAAACAATGCCAGGCTTTTTCTTACGTTTTCTCATTTTAGAAAATACAGTCATTTTTCATAAAAAAATATGTTAACATATAACGAATTTTTGTTATTTTAAAAGAATTAATAAATAAATTAGCCGTTTAAAAATGTCTCAGTTTTAATTTCTAATGCAGTATATATCTATAGAAATCACTGACATAAACAGTCACTTTTAAGAGTACGAAGGAGTTTTGGGGCCAAAAGCTTGAGGACAGCACAGGATGGAAGCTCAAGATGTCCACAGCAGGTCCAACCCACCTACAGGAAGTCCCGCCACTAAAAAAATTCCACTTTTCTGGCCGGGCGTGGTAGCTCACGCCTGTAATGCTAGCACTCTGGGAGGTTGAGGCGGGCAGATTGCTCAAGGTCAGGAGTTTGAAACCAGCCTGAGCAAGAGCAACACCCTGTCTCTACTATAAATAGATATAAATTAATTGGCCAACTAATATATATAGAAAAAATTAGCCGGGCATGGTGGCACATGCCTGTAGTCCCAGCTACTCAGGTGGCTGAGGCAGGAGGATCGCCTGAGCCCAGGAGTCTGAGGTTGCTGTGAGCTAGGCTGATGCCACGGCACTCACTCTAGCCTGGGCAACAAAGCGAGACTCTGTCTCAAAAAAAAAGAAAAAAATCCCACTTTTCTATGGCAGAAACGTCCATTTCCTGATGACAAGTCCCAATTCCTTGCTACAATTCTGCACTCTCAGAAGGAAGTCCCGCCTTTCCCACAGGAAGGTCCACCTCAGTAGCTCCTGCTTAACTGGAAGTCAAGCTCCTGCAGAACCCTTCCCCCAGTAAGTGTCCCCTCCTAGCCTCCCAAAGGGCCTCACCATTAGTGCCAGTGGCTTCCAGACATTGATTCATGGGGCCTCGGCAGTCGATGAGGGAAGTCTCTTCAGCGGAACACCCATGGGTGCTGTTCCCCTCACAGCTGTAACACTGGAAGCCGTTCAGTGGCAGGTTTTGAAGCTCCATGACTTAGGAGAAGACAAGGGACACAGAGACCAAGGAAATTAGCACGAGGGTCCCTCCTTCTTTGCATTTCCTCCCTGGGACTCCCACTGTCAGCCTGAGATGTGATGGAGCCACCTTGTGGTCAGGTGCTGGAGTGGCACTTTCTTTTGGGGGTGTTCTCGAAGGCTTGAGAGAAACCCCAACTCCTAACTCCCTAGGAGGAGCCCCATTTCTGGCCAGGCACTACCACGCCAGGCACTGTGTAAGCAGCCATGTAAGACAAAACTGTGTTGCTGCCCTCACACGATTTACAATTTAGAGCTACGTTGTCCAATAGGGTGGCCACTGGCCACGTGTGGTTATTTAAATTTCAATTTAAATAAATTAATATTAAATAGAATTTAAAAAATTCAGTTAGCATTGCAAGCACTCAATAGGCACATACAGTAGTGGCTACCATGTTGGACAGAGCGCAGATACACCATGTTTCCACCTCTACAGAAAGTCCTGTTGGACAGTGCTGGTTTATAGAGACAGAGTGACAGTAAGGGATGTTCACTACATTGGAAGGAAGGAACAGTGAAAGTTTCCCTTTTAGTTTTTTTTTTTTTCTTTTAAGTCACTTGTGCTGCTGGGTTGAGGCTTGGTTGTAGGGTGGCAGAAGTGGGAGCAGGGAGACCAGTGCAGCAACCTGGGCAAGAAGTCATGGTGGCTTGGCCCAGGAGGTGGCAGGGCAGGTGGTGGGGAGTAGAAGGTTCTACTATAGAAGGTTCTACTATAAAAGGGAGAAAGCACAGGCCTCAGTGAGGGGCTGACAGTCTCACTGAATTCCCTCAAAATCCTTCTTTGAGAAAAGCTTGGTATGTCTACTTTTTAAAAACAATTTTGGGGGCCAGCAAGATGAGGATCAGATTTGCCCATTTTTCAGAAGAGGAAACGAGGCTCAGAGGAGAACGTTTTACCCGACTGTGACTCAGTGGCAGCCTGCCTGAGTGCACCTCCCTGCCCGGTCCCAGGCCCCGAGCCAGGTCCCCAGCCCTTTACCTGGGCCCCCGTTGCATTTGGTGGTGTTGCAGCACTGCAGAAAGTGAAAGGTGTGGTTGTTGTGGAAGCCGGTGGGGCCTGGGCATCCAGGAAGGTGGCCACAGCCGCGGGTGTGTTGCTCATCATTTAGATCCCCTATGGAGGGCAGGGGGGAAAGGTCAGAGGTTAGACTGTGGATGAGAGGCTGAAACTGGATTTGCCTACCACAGCAGGCATTCTCTGCTTCACTCTTCATCATAGGACCCTCATTTTATTTAGGGTAGTCTTATATCTAGCAGAAAGATAGATATATTTATTTTCCATCCTCCCTAGCTATAGTCATGTGATGAAGTTCTGGCCAATGTGATATAAGTAGAAGTGCTTTATGAAGACTTTCTGCAAGGAGAACTGTTACAAAAGGAGGGTGCTCCCTTTTTTGCCCCCTTTCCCCTTCCTCCTTCCTGGAACTTGGCCCCGAGGCCTGGAGCTCTGGCAGCCATCTTGGACTATGAGGCAGTCCTGAGAATAGAAGTGATATGTAAGAAATCAGAAGATATCTGGGTTCCTGGTGACTCTCAAACTGTCCTAGTGGCCCTGGCCTTCCTATCAGTGGCCATTTTCTGTGTGATAGAACTCACCTTCTCCTTTGCTTATGTCTCTGTTATTTTGGGGTTGTTGTCAAGTACAGGCTTGGGGAGAAGCAAAGCAGGGAAGAGGCGTTGCTGAGGTTGGGGCTCACCTTCAAGGCTCCGGTAGGTCACCACCTCCAGGCACTGTTCTTTAGGGCTGCGGCACTGGAGGCTCTGTTCCCGGCCCCTCTCGCAGCTCATGTCTGATGAGGCGCAGGAAACACATTCAAGGGAACGGCTTCGGGGAAAGGAGGGAGCGCGGCGGCCTGTTGGAAGAAGGGCAGGAGGGTGAGACTCCGTGGGGACAATCCTGGAGCTCCAGCTCCTTGAGGACTCATCTCAGCATCCATTTCTCCTGTCCTACACTTTAGCCAATCATCAAGCCCTGCTCATTCTGCCTCCTGAACTTTTCTAGAATCTATCCCCTCCTTTCCAGCCCCATGCCTGGGTCCAGCTCAGACCTCCTTCAACACTAGGGAGGCTACCTCCCTAGCCTCCTGGTTTCCATTCTTGCAACCCCACTCCCAACCCAGTGCATTCCCACCTGACCCTATTAGATACGTTTCTAATAGTCACATCTCTCCTCTGCTCAAAACCCTGCCATGGCTCCCTACTGCCCTCAAAATAAAATCTAAGATCTTCAGTGTGACATTAAGGCCCATCAAAGGCTAGGTCCTGGCCACTTCTGCCTCACCTACCTCCACTAGCCCCTCCGACTCAACTCCACACTGACTTCCCACCACCCATGGATATACATGCTGCCTGGCTCCCAGGCCTTTGCACGCGCTGTTGCCTTGGCCTAGAACACCTTTCCCTTGCTCTCTACTTTCCCTAAGTCCTCATTCTTCAGGTGTCATCTCCAATTTCACCTCCTCTACGAAGCTCTCCCCAACCCACCAGGCTGGATCAAGTACCCCTTCTGAGCTACCACGGGCCCCTGGACTCTCCCCTTCCAGTCCTGGCCACTCCGGGTCATCACTGTGTGCTGACAGGTCTGTCTCCTCTACCAAACCGTGAGCCCCAGGAAGGCAGGGCCAGGGACAGAGATGATATCTAATAAATATTTGTTAAATGAATGAATGAACAATTACTTAAAACCCTTCTATTGTCCCTTGTGGTAGGCAGTCTCCAAGACAGCTCCCAATGAGCTCTGCTTCCTGGTATACATGACCTCGTGCAGTCTCTTTTCATAAAGAATAAGGCTGACCTACGTAGCCAATAAGATACTGCGGAAAGGATGGTGTGTGCCTTCTGTGGCTAGATCATAGAAGACACAGGTCTCTCAGATCACTTGCTCTGGAGGAAGCCGGCAGCCATATTGTAAGGACACTCAAGCAGCACCGTGGAGAGCTCTACATGGTAAGGAATTGAGGCACTTGCCAAATCCAAGGGAGGGGATCAGCCACATGAGTGAAGCTACCTTAGGATCCTTCAGATGACTGTAGCCCCACCCGACATCTTGACTGCAGTGTCATGAAGGATCCTGATCCTGAGTCAGAACCACCTAGCTAAGACGCTCCAGGATTCTTGACCTTCAGAAACTTTGGGAAATAATATATCCTTTGTTTTAAGTTTTGGGGCAATCTGTAATGGAGCAATAGATAACTAATACACTACCTAATTGTCTCAGGGATCAAAAGCTCACTTGATTGATTTGTGATAGCTTTGCCTTTTGTGCACACCTTCCAGTCTTGGCCAACTGGATCAATTTCTTTTCCCTGGAAACACCAAAGTCGTTCCTCTGCCCAGGCCTTGGTTCACACCATTTCCCATGCTTGGCATACCCTCCCCTTCCTGACCCAAGATATCCAAGCTGAGCTTAGGCCAAGTATTAAGGAAGTGAGAGGGCTACCTCAGCCAAAGCTCTCAACTGGCAGGCCGCTGGCTCTAATTAGGTGAATCATTTACATCCAAAGCCAAATCATCACCCTCAAAGAAAAATAACTCTAAGGCCAATAACCCATGTATTCTCACACAAACTTCCATGGAAATGAAAACATAAATTGCCATCATTGCCCAAATAGCTGTCTCACACAACCCATGGGTCTCCTTTTGGAACTCATCTTCTTCTTCTTCTTTTTTTTTTTTTTTTGAGACAGAGTCTCACTCTCTTGCCCTGGCCCTTGTCATTTCTCATGGTATCCACTCTCTCCTATGGGGATTTTTATCTGTTGACATGGTTTCATTTCCACTATCTGCTGGTCATTCACAAATTTCCGTCCAGTTCAGACTTCTCTCGGACCTCCAGACCTGTACACAGAACTGCCTCTTGGATGTCCCTGGGCTATACCTTAAACACCAGCCCCCAAACAAATTCTCCATCTCCTCCTAGTCCTGCACCTCCTCCTCCTGACTTCTCCATCCCAGAGGTGGCCCCATCCGGGCAGAAAGCTGGCAGATCCCTTCATCCTCCATATCTATGCATTAGTCTGGCTACGTCTACTGTCCTGTCATCTAGTTCTTTAGTCCTCTTGCCCTGCTGTTTCTAATCTCTGTTAAGCACATCTGTTGGGTTCCTCATTTCAGTCATTGTTCTATATTTGCTGTCTGACTCTTTTAAAAAATGGATTCCAGATGCTGAAACATATTCTGTCTACTGTTTCTTGAACATACTGATCATAGCAATTTCAATATCTGAGTCACTATGACTCTGTTTCTATTGTTGGATTTTTCTCTTGGTTTCCGGTTTTATTTTCTTCAGGATATCTTATAAGTTCCTGTCGTCTTTGTTGTTTTTAAGAGATAGGGGTCTTGCTATGCTGCTCAGGCTGGAGTGTAGTGGCTCTTCACAGCCTCAATCCCACTGCTGATCAGAACAGGAGTTTTGACCTGCTCTGTTTCTGACCTGGGCTGGTTCTCCCCTCCTTAGGCAATCTGGTGGTCCCTCACTCTCGGGAGGTCACCATATTGATGCCAGACTTAGTGTGGACACTCGCCCAGGATATCACATTACAGCCCAGAACTCCCAGGCTCAAGCGATCCTCCTGCCTCAGCCTCCCTTATAGCTGGGACTACAGAGGTGCACCTATACAGGTGATCAGCTATCTTGTAAGTTTTGACCAGATGCCAGACATCATAGATGAAAATAAGTAAATGCTCAAATGATGTTATCTTCTTCCAAAGAGGATTAGGTCTCCTTCCTGTCAAAGATGGGACTTAGGCTTGTTTAGGGCTGATCTAGTTCAGTCTTGCCCTCACCCCTAGGGTGTGGTCCGAGGGGGAAGGCCCAACATGCTTTCCAAGGCGTCCTCTGCTTGGCAACCTCTGTGCCCCAAGCATCACACGTCTGCTGGAAGCCTTGCTCGCTTCTGTAGCTTCCCAGCTACTATTTTTTCTGCCGACTTTCTTGGACTCTCACTCTAGGCATGCACAGCTTGCCAACGACTTGAGGGAAATTTATTTGCAGATTGGGGACTCCCTTTTCTGTGGTTCCATCCATTCCAGGATTTTTAACTCTTCCAGACATGCTGGCAGCCCCACACGCCAACCTCTGTCTTCTCAGTCTAGCGACTCTCTTTCTGTTTGGGCTCTATTTCTCCTTCTGTGCACAGCAGCAGATTGGAAAGTGCACTCAAGGAAAAAGCCAGGTTGTCGGCTACGCTTCCCTTATTTCAAAGATTCCAGCACCTCCAGTTCTTCCCTTCATTTGCTGCTCTCCAGCGACTTCAAATAACTGTTTGTTCTTTGTCCAGTGTTTGTGGGTGTCATGGGCAGAGGGTTCATTTGACACAAGTGACTCCATCATGACCAGAACTGCAGGTCTCCTCCCCACGTCTAATCCATCACGAAGGCCTGCTCATCTACCTGCCAAACAGCAGGTTAATGCACCCACTTCTCCCTTTCAGCATGGCCAATACCCTGGTCTGGCCACCCTCTTTTCCTCCTGGACAACCTCACCCACCTCCAAGTTTGTTTCTCTTCATGTACTCTTGATTCCTTCCAACCTATCTTCTGTCATGAGGTCAGGATAATTCGTTAAAAATACAAATGTGATCATAACATACGCTACTTAAAACTCTTCTGTGACACCCCACTGCTCCCGGGACAAAGTCTATATATTCACCCTCATAATAGCCTGGAAGGCCCCATGTAACACGACGCTGCCAAATTCACTGGCTCATTGCACCTCATTTTTTCGTTCCTCTAGCCACACTACTTTTGCCCACTTCTGGCCCTTTCTGTCTGCTGCTTCCTCAGCTGGAAAACCCTTTCTATTGACTTTTTAACAGACTCCTATTCATCCCTCAAGACCCTGTTTAGCTATTGCTTCCTCTAGGAACCTTCTCTGACCTGAGTCAGGTGCCTCCTCGGGGGTCCCATGGTCCGTCCTCTTCCCTGATCCCACCCTGACCCCCTCTGCCCATGCTTCTGCCTTCAAAGCCCTGATTAATCTAACCAGCCAGTGTCTGGCAATGGGTCTGCCAACACTCCCAGCACACACTGGACTGTGAGCCCCATGGAGGCAGGGCCTGAGACTGTCTTGGTCACTGCTGTGTCCCCAGCGTCACATAAGTACAGAGTGCAGTCTAAGCAACTACTCAAGTTGCCATAAGCAGGGTAAGGTGGCATTAGAAATGGGGATGATGGCCGGGCGAGGTGGCTCACGCCTGTAATCCTAGCACTCTGGGAGGTTTAGGCGGGCAGATTGCTCAAGGTCAGGAGTTCGAAACCAGCCTGAGCAAGAGCGAGACCCCATCTCTACCATAAATAGAAAGAAATTAATTAGCCAACTAATATGTATAGAAAAAAATTAGCTGGGCATGGTGGTGCATGCCTGTAGCCCCAGCTACTTGGGAGGCTGAGGCAGCAGGATTGCTTGAGCCCAGGAGTTTGAGGTTGCTGTGAGCTAGGCTGACGCCACGGCACTCACTCTAGCCTGGGCAACACAGCCAGACACTGTCTCAAAAAAAAAAAAAAAGAAAAAAAAGGAATGGGGATGATATAGGTATAGCAGTTATTAACCCTCATGTCCCTGTGTCTATCAGCAAAAGGGTAACACCAGCCCAGCGGGGGGTCTCCAGGGGTTGCTCTGACACTGACCAATATTGTTAAAGATTTTAACTATCATCTCTGATTAGATGCATTACGTAGACTCGGGTATCAGTGCTTTCCTTAAGCACATTTTACCGAGAGATGAAGCCAATGTCCTCTCTCTTATCACTTCCTTAAAAATAAACATCTGATTCAGCCCTGCCAACGGATGAAAGTTTGTGGCGAGGATGCATGAAAATCAGGCAGAATCAGACTGGATAAAGAAGAAAGAAACCCCAATGCAAACGCAGGCAGTCTGCTCACCAACGTCACTGTCACTGCAAATGCAGGCCCTCTGCTTACTGACATCACGGTGACTGGACTGGCCTTAACCGAGTTCCTTCCTCACCAGGACCAGAAAGAGGAATCTCTGCTGAGCACGCACCATGGATCTCTTTTCTCCCCACCCTTCCTCTCCTGTGGCAATTTGGGAGAATTTGAGCCTTTCTAAGTCTTTTTTTAAAAAACTGACCAGAGCCTGAAGCCATGACACTCACAAAAGTAGCTTATGGAAGTTTCTCCACTTTTCTTTTTTTTTTAATTGCTCAAGTCAAAGACCATCTATTCCAGGGGACTCTCACAGCCCACGGTGACCCTCTTTTGACTTAAGAGCTTTGAGTCTCTGCTTGGATCTTGGCCCCTCAGCATCTATTGCTTGCACCATCTCTTGTCCCCATGGGAAAATTCAGATGGACAAACGTCAGTGACACACCTCGCCCACGTCTCAAGCGTGAGTGTGAGCTTGTTGAGGCTAGGAGTTGCATCTTGTACATAACAACCATACAGACAAATGTACAGGATGGAGACAGGATTAGGGACGAGGATAAGTTTGTAGTTGGGGACAGGATGGGGGATAGTTCGAGATGAGGATGGGGTTGATGTGGGGATGAGGTTAGAGCTGTGTTTAGAATAAGGATGGGTTTGAGTTGGAGAGAGTGTTGGGGTCAAATGAAGTTGGGGGTGTGATTGAGGTTGGGGGGTGAGCGGGGCTGCAGATGTGTTTGAGCTGCAGGTGGGACTGGCGTAGGGCATGGAGCTGGGGTTGGAGTGGTATAAAATCAGGGATAGGATTGGGATGACGATGAGGTTGAGTCGGGGATGGTTTGGGGTTGGGGATGGTGAGGGTCGCCCTACTCACCAGGTCTGGGCCGGTTGCAAAAGTCTGCCCCACACACGGTCTCTGTAAGGGTGATGATCTGCAAACCAGTCCGATAGCTCATGGTCCTGTTGGTCTTCTCTGGGTAGGCACAGCCTCTCTCCACCACCTCCAGCTCATCCTCTTCTGGAAGGAATGGATCTTCAGTACCCCAGAGGCTCCCCTGGGCCCAACCAGCCTCCCGGTCTCAAGGTCACCCCCTCCCAGGGCTGATCCTTGCCAGGCCGCTCCTCTTGTTTCAGTCCAACTCTGTCTTTTTCTAGAATTACCTCCCCACCCTCCACACGTGGGCAGCCTGCTCTCTTAGCGACAACATTATCACTGGGACTTTCTGGATTCATCTACCCCTCACCTCCTACCCCCAGTCTAGTGATCTCAGCAGGGAGAGGTCTCTAAAGGGAATTTCTAAAGGGAAATGCTTTGAGCAGACCAAAAAGTATAAGAGAATGATATAATAAATATTGCACATTCATCACCCAACTTTGTAAAATATTAGCATTTTGATGTATTTGTTTTAGATATTTTTTTTTATAAGAAATGGAATTTAAAAGATGCTGTTAGCCAGCCATAGTGGCTTATATCTGTAATTCCAGAATTTTGAGAGGTCAGGGCAGGAGAATCTTTTGAGCCCAGCCTAGGCAGCACAGCAAAACCTGTCTCTACAATTTTTTTTTTTTTTTTTTGAGATAGAGACTTGCTTTGTCACCCTGGCTAGAGTGCAGTGGTGTTAGCCCAGCTCACAGCAACCTCAAACTCCTGGGCTTAAGCAATCCTCCTCCCTCAGCCTCCCGAGTAGCTGGGACTACAGGCATGCACCACCATGCCCTGCTAATTTTTCTATTTTTAGTAGAGATAGGATCTTGCTCTTGCTTGATCCTCCTGCCTCAGCCTCCCAGAGTATTAGGATTACAGGTGTGAGCCACTGTGCCTGGCCTCTACAAAAAAAAATTTTAAAAATTAGTCATGTGTTGTGGTGTGTGCCTGTAGTCATAGCCACTTGGGAGGCTGAGCCAGGACGATCCCTTGAGGTTGGGAGTTGGAGGTTGCAGTGAGCTGTGATCACCCCACTGCACTCCAGTTTGGGTGACAGAGTAAGGCCCCCATCTCAAAAATAAATAAATAAATAAAAGATACTGTTAAAGTCCCCTGTTCACACCTCCCAATCCCACTCCTCTCATGCCCCTTCCTGAGACAACCACTGGTGTAGGTCATTCTTACACCATGTATGCATAACAATATATAATATTGTTTCACATGTTTTTTAAGGCTTATATAAAAAGGTGTCATATTCCGCAATGGGTTTTTTTCTTTCAATCTTATGTTTTTGAGATGTGTCCACATTGATATCTGCAGCTCCAGTTCCTTTATTTAAACTGGGGCAGAGCATTCCTTTATGTGATTATATCACAGCGCTTCTCCTCTGCTGCTGACAGATTGATGTTTGTTTCCAATTTTCCATGTCACAAACACTGCTGCTATGAACATTCTTAAACATGTGTCCCTGGGCATATGTGACCAATGTTTTCTGGCATGTCTACATTCCTAGGAGCTGAACTGCTGGCTGTAGGGCATGCCAATTTTCATTTGTATCAGATTTCGCCAAATCGCTCTAGGTGGTGGAATCGCCAATTTACTCCCCACCACAGGGTCTGTCGCTCCACATTTTCCCCAACCCTGGTACTGTCAGATTTTTAACTGCCTGTCACCAGAGTGGGTGTGACACAGGCTCTTGTTGTTTTAGTTTGCTTCGCCCTAATTACTGGCGGGAGGATCCTTGGCCACTCACGTTTCCCGTCGTGCTGGAGCCCACCTTCGCTTATGCGCATGACCGTGGTCCTGCAGAGGTCCTGGCCCGGGGCGCACTCCTCCACCTGGCAATGCCCGCTGCTCTCACACCGCATGCACTGCAGGCCCCAGGAGGCTGAAGGGAGGAGAGAAGAGGTGACCATACGCTCCGCGCCAGGATCCCCCTGTCGCCCTCTTCTGCCCCCAAACCAGAACAAGTCTCCCAGCTGCACGTTCTGCTGGGTTCCGACCAGCTGTACCCGCCGGTCTATCCCTCGCCCACGACTACCTCTGCGCACCCACCTGACCGTTCCATCTCCGCCCACAGTCTGTCCCCAGAGTCCGGTCCTGGCCCGTTTTCCCTTTAATTCTGTCTTCGCGCGGGGTCTACCCTGCAAGTCCTGTCCCCGCCGCCTCTCTCAGGAGAGGCTCCATTTAGGTCCTTTCCCCAACCACACCCGCCCTGGGTCCACTCGGCCTCTCCAATTCCGCAAGGGCGTCCCATCCACAGCCCACCCTGGTCCCTACGTTGTTCCTGCGCTCCCAGTGCCCTAGTGGAATTATCCCCAACTCGGCCCCAGATCCCACCTCCTCCCCGCCTCTCCCTGCCCCCCAGTTTGTTCTGAAATTCTAATCCCATCCCATCAGCCCTTCCCAAATGTTAATCTCAAACCCTCCAGTTTCCCTTGATGTTCCCTTCCTGTCCTCCCGCTGCTCTCCGGGTTTCAGCCCCGCCTTCTATGAACCCCGCCCCGGCCCCTCCCCGGCGCCCTAGCCCCGCCCCTTGCCCCACCCGGACATTCTCTCCCGTGCCCCAGCTCCTCCCCGACGTCGTAGCCCCGCCCCCAACTCCTCCTCCACGCTCTCTCCCCTCCCTCAGCTCCTCCCCAATGTTCTTTCCCCGCCCCCAGCTCCTCCTGGATGTCGTAGCCCCGCCCCCAACTCTTCCCGGACGTTCTCTCCTGGGCCTCAGCACCGCCCTGATGTTCTAGTCCCGCCCCCAACTCCTCCTCCACGCTCTCTCCCCGCCCCCAGATCCTCCCCTGTGTCCTAGCCCCACCCCTAACTCTTCCCGGAGGTTCTCTTCGGCGCCCCACCCCGCTCCTCCTGAACGTTCTCTCCCCGCCCCCAGCTCCTCCCCCGTGTCTTAGCCCCACCCCTAACTCTCCCCGGACGTTCTCTCCCCGCCCCCAGCCCCTCCCCCGTGTCTTAGCCCCGCCCCTAACTCTCCCCGGACGTTCTTTCTCCGCCCCCAGCTCCTCCTGGACGTTCTCTCCCCGCCCCCAGCTTCTCCTCTGTGTCTTAGCCCCGCCCCTAACTCTCCCCGGACGTTCTCTCCCCGCCCCCAGCCCCTCCCCTTTCTTAGCCCCGCCCCCAACTCTCCCCGGACGTTCTCGCCCCGCCCCAGCCCCTCCGGGACCTGGACCCCCTTTCAGTGTCCCCGCCCCGAGGCTCAGCCCGGCAGGATGCGCCTCCCGGGCGTCCCTTTCCCTCCCCGGATTCGGAGTTTTCTAGGGACGTTACTCACTCCCAGCCTCCCGCGGTCTCGAGAGCTTTCCCGGTTATTCATCGCCGCGTACCCACACCCCCTGACTCAGTGCCTTCTCCAACTCCTCTCGGTGCTCAAACCCAGCCCCCCGCGTTCCCCGGGGGGAGCCGCTGCGACGGTCCGGCCGGGAGGGGCGGCGAAAGGGAAGGGTCCTCGGGGAACGGGCCTGGGTCCCGGCGCCCGGGCCCGACGCCCGCCGGCCTGTCCTCGGCCGCTAGAGCGAGGCGCCCGGGTGTGCACGCCGGGCAGCGCCCGTCCCTCGGTGGGCGGCGTGGCTGGGCCGCTCCGCCTCCGTGGAGCCGAGTCTCTAGCAGTCCCATCCGGCTACTTGGAACTGCGAGCAAGGAGTTTTAGAAAGCGCCCGGAGTAAAGAGCGCGCTCTCGGGCACGGCCGCGGCTCCCGCCGTTGAAAGCCTAGGCTCGGCCCGCGCTTCCCGAGCACCTGCCCCGGCAGGTACCGCGCTGCGGGGGCTGCAGACCGCGCAGCGCGACTGTTGACTGGGGACGGCGCCGGGACTGAGCCCCGTGCCCCACCGTCAGACCCCGTCCCCCACCCGCACCCTGCTGCCGGCGCAGGCCCAGGGCCCAGCCCTACCTGGGAGGCAGGTGTGAGCTAGCAGCAGCGGCGGCAGCAGCAGCAGCAGCGGGCGGCCCATGTCCGGAGGGCGCTTCCCTGCGCCGCCTCCCGCTCCAATTCTCTCCCGGGCCCGGGAAGGCGGCAGTTTTGTGGCCTCGGGGGCTCCACCCAGGCATTTTGCGAAACAGCGAGTCAGCCCCAGATGCGTGGGCGCTTCCCTACCCTCCCCCGCCGGCCTCCCCCGCCTCAAACTTCCCTTCCTAGGGCGCGGCCGTCCCGCCGCGAGGGGCCGGCTCGGCCCTGAGTCACCCGGCCGCGGTCGCGGTCGCTGCGCCGTCCCCAGACTGCCTGGATGTAAATCCCAACTCTCTCTCTTCCCGCTCCGGGACCTTGGGGGGTCGCTCTCCTCCGCCCTACAACGGGGAGAAAACTTGTCCCCTTGGGAAAGTCGAATGTGGCTGATTGTTAGATAATATGAGGATTTTTGTTAGTTTCGTCAGGAGGAGAATGGTGTTGTGGTTAGGTGGGGCAATGTCCTTATAGAGAACTTACCTTAAAACACTTTAGCCAAAAAAGTAGATATCAACGTTATGAAAATGGTTTTGTGGTTAGGTGGCAAAATTGTTCTCATCTTTTAAAAATGCTCACTGAGGCCTGGCGGGGCGGCTCCTGCCTGTAATCCCAGCACTCTGGGAGGCCCAGGAGTGGGGTGGAGAAGAGGGATTGCTTGAGTTTAGGATTTCAAGACCAGCCTGAGCAAGACTAGCCCACTTCTCTACTCAAAATATAAAAATTAGCCAGCAGTGGTGTGTGTCTGTCGTCCCAGCTACTTGGGAGGCTGAGGCAGGAGGATCGCTTGAACCCAGGAGTTTGGGGTTGCTGTGAGCTAGGCTGACGCCAGGGCACCCTACTCAGGGCAAAAAATAAAATACTCACTGAAGTATTTAGGAGTGAATGTCATAGATGTTTGTATTTACTTTAAATTACTTTAGAAGAAAATAAAGGCAAAATAGCCAAATGTTTGTATCAATTATATCAAGGTAATGGGTATATGAGGGCTTATGATGCCATTCTATCTGCTTTTCTGTGCACTTGAAAAGGTTTGTAATAAGTAAAAAGGAAAAAAAAAAAGGAAAATAAAATGCAAAAGAGAAAATAGTCTCCCTGTCTTAGGATGCTTCTGACAAGACAAAGCAATTTAATGCAGGTGAAATGCCAGGAACAGTCGCTGGCCAAAATAGAAGCCCCCAACAAGTCCCTTCAGCATTTACCAAGGACCTGCTTGGTGCTGGGCACTGGTCCAGGAGCTGGAGACAACAGCCGGAAACAGGGCGAAGTTGTCACCCTTGGGACACAGACTGTGGCGAGTAGATATGGTTATCTAATCTTTCACTGTCAAGCAGTGATAAGCGATAAACTTAGATCAGTGGGAAGAAGCCGGGCGGATGCATCCAGCCAAAGGGAACAGCCCCTGCGAAGGCCTGAGGTGGAAGTGTGAGATCTAGGAACTGCAGAGAGGTCAGAGTGGCTGGAACAGAATGGGAGAAGGAGGCCAGCGCGGGCTCACACCTGTAATCCTAGCACTCTGGGAGGCCACGGCAGAGGATTGCTCAAGGTCAGGAGTTTGAAACCAGCCTGAGCAAGAGCGAGACCCCTGTCTCTACTATAAATAAAAAAAAAACAAGGAAATTAATTGGCCAACTAATATATATATAAAAAATTAGCTGGGCATGGTGGCGCATGCCTGTAGTCCCAGCTACTCAGGAGGCTGAGGCAGTAGGATCGTTGAGCCCAGGAGATTGAGGTTGCTGTGAGCTAGGCAGACGTCACGGTACTCACTCTAGCCTGGGCAACAAAGTGAGACTCTGTCTCAAAAAAAAAAAAAAAAAAAAAAAGAATGGGAGAGGGAGAGAATAGTAGGTGATGGGTAAGTAGCTAGCTTTACCATGATAATAATGATTATACTATGTAATTCTCATTAATTCATTGAAGCCATAAGCTAATAATTTTAAGATAAAGTAAGAAAACTCCCAAAGATATCCCGTTTCCTAAGAGACAATATAGCCCACTGGTTAAGAGTGGAAGCTGGTCTCAGACTGGCAGAGTTCAACTTCCATCTAGTTATTAGCTGTGTTACCTCCTGCAGGTTACTTAACCTCCCTGTGCCCTCATCGTTTTATCTGGAAAGTAGAGATAGCAAGTGTTTCCTGCCCAGGGCTGGTGTGCTGGGGAGATAAACGAATGTACCTATGATGCTTCCCACAGTGCCTGGCATATAGTACGTGCTCAATGAAAGTGGCAGCTGCTGTTATTATCGTTTGCCCCAACTGTGGATTCTGACCCTGCATTTCCTCTTCCTGGAGTGAGAAAGGAGTTGGAGATGTGTCATCCAGTCTAACGTCAGCAGTTATCATGCTGACAACTGCCGGAGCCTTCCCTGGCTGGGTCACCCAGGGCCAATGATGTCATTTGTGAGCCTCAGTTTTCTCATCTGGAAAATGGGGCTCCTCTTGGGGTCAGCGTGAAGACTAAATGAGATATTAATGTGCATGAGGTAGGGTAACAGAAAGCTGGGGAGGGGGGTCTAGGCAGGCTTGAGACCCAGCTCAGCCACTTGCTTCTGGGTGGCCCTGGGCAGATGGCTTCATTCCCCCATGCTTGCTTTTCCCACCTGTTATGAAGTGGGTGTGGGTGGGTGGGAGGCATCTCTTAGTGGAGAGAAAACTCAGGGTTGTTTTTCTTTTTTTGAGACAGAGTCTCACTTTGTTGGCCAGGCCAGTGAATGCCGTGGCATCAGCCTAGCTCACAGCAACCTCAAATTCCTGGGTTCAAGCAATCCTCCTGCCTCAGCCTCCCGAGTAGCTGGGACTACAGGCATGCGCCACCATGCCCGGCTATTTTTTTTTTATTTTTGTATATATATTTTTAGTTAGTCAATTAATTTCTTTCTATTTTTAATAGAGACGGGGTCTTGCTTTTGCTCAGGCTGGTCTCAAACTCCTGAGCTCAAGCCATCCTCCCGCCTTGGCCTCCCAAAGTGCTAGGATTACAGGTGTGTGCCACCATGCCCAGCCAAAAACTTAGGTTTGAGTGTCATTTGGAGCTCTGTAGTCTGGCGCTGTCACTTCCTGGAGAAATGACCACGTCCTGCAGGAATGATCTCACTGCTCTGAGCCACAATTTCCTCTTTATTTAAAGAACAAGGGAGGCAGCTCAGAGCCCACTCAGCTCCACCTCGGACTTCTCTGTCTCCTGAAATCTCTGTCTCTCTCTCTACCTTTCTGTGTCTGTCTAGTCTTCTTCTATCTCACTGTTTTCTTCTTTTTCTTTTGTCTCTCTCTGTCTCTCTCTGTTTTCTCTGTCTCTTTGTGTCTTTCTGTCTCTGCTTCTCCCATTTCTCTCTCTGTCTCTGTCTCTCTCCATGCCTGTCTTTCTCTTTCTGTCTCTCTGTTTCTCTCCCTGACTCTCTGACTCTCTCTCCCAGGTGACACACACCTGTGAGCTTCCGGTGACACCGTCAGGGAGGGGACAGGCAGGGGGCTGGGCTGACACGATCCAGAAAAGTGGCAGGAATGTCCGCTCTGTCTTCCCGGTGACTCACCTGGGCCTCACCCGGCTCCGCCTGCCTGCGGGGTGATGAGGGGGGCGAGGCCCGAGTTTCGGGGGCTTCCCGGCCAGAAGAGGAGAATTTCGTGCAGAGACAGAGAGGGTGAGAGAGCAAGAGACTGAGAGACATGAGGAAGGCAGAGGGAGCAGCAGCAGAGGACAGGGACTGGAGAGACAAGGGCAAAGGCACAGAGAGGGAGAGACAGAGAGCTGGAGTAGCACAGGGGAGGGAGAGGAGGAGGGAAGAAGAGACTACAGACTGACTCAGGGGAGTAGAGAAGGAGAAAGAGAGGGAGAGACTATGAGATTGATGGAGGGAGTTAGAACAACACCCAACTGGGACTCTCTCAGCCTCTTGCCACCTGGCCTGGGGACGTGCCCACCCTCTGATCTGGCCGCTGGGAGGGCCCTTCTCTGGGCTTAGAAGTGGGGACCAGAGCTGATGGCGGAGGAAGGGCCACAGCCCACTTCCCCCTTGCCTCGGAGGCCTAACAGGCCACACTGATGTGGCTTTCAGATCCTGGCCTGGCCACCTACCCCGTGCCACGCAGGGGCTCCCTGGTGGGGTGGAAGAGCTAGGAAATTCTTGAGTCTAATACCTCTTTTCCCCCACTTTCCAGGCAGAGAAACTGAGGTCCCAAGGGGAAATTTTACATGAGATTCTCCCCCTCCCAATTTTATTGAGTGCTTGTGTTATGGCGGGCGCTGTTCTGACTGCTTTAGCTATATCACTTGGATTTTCATACACACACACACAGGGAAGGAACCAACGCTTAGAGAGATGCCCTGGGCTGAATCATGGCCCCCAGAGATATCCATGTCCTAAGCCCGGAGCCTATGAATGTAACCTTATAGAAAATAAAAGGTCTTTGTAGAGATGAGAAAGTTAAGGATCTTTTATTTATTTATTTTTTTTGAGACAGTCTCACTCTGTTGGCCGGGCTAGAGTGAGTGCCGTGGCATCAGCCTAGCTCACAGCAACCTCAAACTCCTGGGCTCAAGCGATCCTCCTGCCTCAGCCTCCCGAGTAGCTGGGACTACAGGCATGCGCCACCATGCCTGGCTGATTTTTTCTATATATATTAGTTGGCCAATTAATTTCTTTCTATTTATAGTAGAGACAGGGTCTCATTCTTGCTCAGGCTGGTTTCGAACTCCTGACCTCGAGCAATCCGCCTGCCTCAGCCTCCCAGAGTGCCAGGATTACAGGCGTGAGCCACCGCACCTGGCCTTGCTAGTGCCTTGATCTTGGATTTCACAGCCTTCAGAACGGTGAGAAATGAGTATCTGTTGTTTATAAGCCACTTAGTCTAAGGCATTAGACTGTTATGTTATAGCAGCCTGAAGGGACTAAGAGAGATGGCCTCATTTGTATATGTAGGTTTTCAGCTGCAATGGCTGGAGAATTCATGTCCATTTGCACCCTACCACACGCCTTTTCACCTATTGGATTGGCAAAAATATTAACAAAACAAAACAGTTTGATGATACACGGAGTTAGCAAGGCTGTGGGAAAACAGACACTCCCCTACATCACGCATGTGAGTGTGAATTGGCACAGCCCTACGGAAGGTAATTTTGCAATTGCTCTCAAAATCACAAGTGTAGTAAAACCTTTAGACACAGGGAAACCACTGACCACTTCCGGGACCTGGAGCATGTGCAAAATGATGTGGGCACGGGGTTCTTCATGGCAGCATGGTTTGTAATCCCAGGTGGCAGGAAGATCCCTAATGCTACAAAAGATGCATTTATGCAGTGGAAAAAAAGAAAGATACATATTGTTTATGTAATTCATGTTACATTATTGTCAAGTGGAAAAATCTAGGGGCAGGACAGTGTGTAGAGTACGTGGCCATTTGTGCATGCCCCTTTCTTGTGTCCATATTTGCTTGTACAGTACATGCAGTAAATACCTTGTCTGATGTCCTGATGTCCTCTTGCCTCTAGGTTTGCATTTAAGGGCAGGGAAATGTCCCTTCCCAGCGTGCCTGCCCTTCACTCTTTACCCCACAAGCCTCGTGTTTGTGCAGCTCCCAGCCTGTTTGCCCAGCCCGGGTCGTAGGGGTGATAACCTCAGAGGAGATTGGCTTCTCCTAGTCACGAAGGGCCACACGCTGTCCTCTCCCCGCCCCAGACTCCAGACTGCCCTGGAGGCACTAGCTTTCCCGTCGTCTTCCCACCTGTCTTGAACCAAGGGCTTCTGGGCCCACCCGGGAAGGAGGTGAGCCCTGTCCCCAAACTTCTCCATGTCATAGCAGCCTATCAGGAAAAGCCACCTCCCCTCCCCTGGGCACCTGTCTTTCCTTCTCAAAGTTGGCTCCTTCCAAAGTAAACACCTCGATTGTAAACAGTGACTGAGGGCCCCACCCCAGAGTCTGGGAAGCCCGATGGGCCTGTGGGTGACCTTGTATTGGTCCTTTCTTTTCCTTGGAATCTCTCCTCTGAGCAAAGGGCAGAGGCTGGCCTCAGCCTGCCCCTTAGCAGACTTATTTTATGTTATTTTATTTTTTTGAGACAGGATCTCACTTTGTTGCCCAGGCTAGAGTGAGTGCCGTGGCGTCAGCCTAGCTCACAGCAACCTCAAACTCCTGGGCTCAAGCGATCCTCCTGCCTCAGCCTCCCAAGTACCTGGGACTACAGGCATGCACCACCATGCCCGGCTAATTTTTTCTATATATATTACTTGGCCAATTAATTTCTTTCTATTTATAGTAGAGACGAGGTCTCGCTCTTGCTCAGGCTGGTTTCGAACTCCTGACCTCAAGCAGTCTGCCCACCTTGACCTCCCAGAGTGCTAGGATTACAGGCGTCGGCCACCGCGCCTGGCTTTAGCAGACTTATTTAAGCTGCTAAATAATGATGATGATGATGATGATGATGACAATGATAGCAATGGTTAGCGCCCACTGTCCTCAGTGCTCTACAGAAATCAACGGATTCGACAGTCCCGGCAGCCCTTTGACGGAGGGCCTCCTAGCTGCCCTATCTTACAAACGAGGAAACAGGCTCAGCGTGGTAAAATGTCTTGCCCAACGCCACTCACCTTGGAAACGAGAGAGCTGGAATTTGAACCCAGGCTGTCTGGTCCCAAAGGTGTCCGTCCCTCCTCTAGCTGTGTGTGTGGTTTTCCTGAAGCCTGGTACATCCCTACTGCACATCCCCCAGTGCTGACTGAGCCACCGTTTATTGAGCACTTACTATACTCCGGGCCCCGAGTTATACCCATTTCGCAGATGAGCACACTAGACCCCAAATAGGGGAAGGGCCATCCCCAGGGTTACAACTCAAAGCAGAAGCAACTGAGGAATCAAAGCCCACAGGAAAGTGACTTCTACAGAGATGCGCCCCGCACTGGGGCTGGAAGGCCTCATGAAGTTGAAGGCAACCTTATTCCCACTGAACGCATGTGGGAACCCAGGTGGCCCTGTCAGGGGCAGGCTGGCGATGCAGGCGGCTTCTCCTCCTGCTACAGCCCAGTGGCCAAGTTGGAGAGGCCAGGTTCACATGCCCTCACTCTGGGGCCCCGAACAACAGCCTTGACTGCTCTGAGACTTAGTCTCAATCTCCGCAGGACTGATTTCAATTGTACTGGTTGTCCAGGTTTGGTCGGTCAAAATCCACTGCGTGGAGACCCTGAGTGACCCAGTCTCTGGGTCCCCCCAGACATCCCCATGTTCCAGAAACTACAAGGGGAACCCTGGGGCCATGGTGGCCACTGGGATGTTGCTCTAGCAATTTTGCAGTCTTTGTTACTGCCGGTATTCCTCCTGGGGTTAATGATAATGGCTTGTAGCACTATTGTAAGGACTTAGTGAGTTAACAGCTGTATGGAGTGACCAGGCAGCCTATTTTTTCTTTTTTTTTTGAGACAGAGTCTTGCTCTATTACCCGGGCTAGAGTGCTGTGGCGTCAGCCTAGCTCACAGCAACCTCAAACTCCTGGGCTCAAGCAATCCTCCTGCCTCAGCCTCCTGAGTAGCTGGGACTACAGGCATGCACCACCTGGCTATTTTTTCTATATGTATATATATTTTTTAGTTGTCCAGCTAATTTCTTTCTATGCTTTTAGTGGAGACAGGGTCTCGCTCTTGCTCAGACTGGTCTCGAACTCCTAAGCTCAAATGATTCACCCACCTCGGCCTCCCAGAGTGCTAGGATTACAGGTGTGAGCCACCCGGCTTGGCCCAGGCAGCCTATTAATAGTAATAATAATAATAATAACATGTCCACCATCCTTCTTTGGCCTCACTGAGTAGCCTCAGGCTTCTCCCATGGGCCTCTGAGGACTCGGTTTCCCCTCTGGCTCTCTAAGCCCCCTCCCTTGCTTGGTGTCACAGCGGCTAGGATGGCGGGCGGGGCCATTATCTTTCCAGACTATTTGTTCTGTCTTCCGTGGCTGCCACCCTAGCCAGGGCCCTTGGATAAAAGGCAAGGGCACCCCCGTCCTGCTGTTCCTCTCCAGCTTGGATCATGCTCCAGCTCCTCCCTGCCCTGGTGCTCCTGGGGGCTCTGGCCACCCCAGCAGGTGAGGACGCTCTGGTCCCTCAGAGAGGGAGAGGGTCGCGGCCCAAGGTCCCGTGGGTGGTGGGAGTCCAGCCTCAGGGTCTGAGCCCCGGAGCCCCCACCTGGGCGCATGGTCTAGCAGAGGCAGAACAGAGTGGCTGAGGACACGGCTCTGGAGCCAGGCTGCCTGGGTTCCAGTCCTGGCTCTGCCACTTCTGAGCTGTGTGACCTCAGGCAAGCCACTTAACCACTCTCTCTCTCTGTGCCTCAGTTTCCCCATCCGTGAAATGGTGGTGATGCTGCTGTCTCAGAGGGTTGGTGAGGGACTTAATCGAATTAATATGTTTGAGGGGCTCAGCACAGTGGCGGCTGGCAGTAACCCTGTTTGGGGGTGAGCTCTCACTGACACCCACAAGTGTGTATTATTACTCCTTACTTGCCTGTCCGTCCACTGGAATGCCGCCCACACCCCTCCGGGAACATGTTCCTCAATTTTCTCCCAATGACTCTCCCACCCCAGCCCTTAGTCCTATTCTTGAATTCTGTGTGTGTGTGCGTGTGTGTGTGTGTGCGTGTGTGTGTGTGTGCGCGTGTGTGCACGTGTGTGAGTTCTTTCTCCCCCAACTGCAGGATCTGATCCCTCCTCTCTCCCCACAGGGACTGTCAAGACATGTCCAGCCTGCTCTCTGCTGAGAAACTGCACAGAAATAACCTGTCTTTCCTCCCAGGACTTCTGCTTGTTTAGCCAGATGCAGCTGGGTGGGGACCTAGTGGGGGACCGCGAGGGGGACCGGGTGGGGGACCGGACAGAGAGGATGGACAAAGGGGGCAGGCAGGGGTCATGGGGGGAGGCTTGGATGGGCCGTCCTGGGACTGGAGGCTGCAAACTTGGCCTCCCAGCTCAGCTCGGTGCCATTGGGGTGGGGAGCAGGGGACACTGAACACAGCAGAGGCCCTAGATCGGCCCCTGGCGATTGCTACAAAGGGGCAGAGGTCCAGCAGGGCTTGGGGGTGGGGGGTGCTCTAATCTCCCCTCCTCGATCTCTATTCCCAGAAAACGGGACTGTCATTGAGAATGGGTCATGCGTGGCCCCTGGGGAATGCCGAGCAGGTGTCTACGCCCTGACTTATGGCCCGAACTCAAGCCTCTGGGTCAGCACGACCTGCTGTGAGAACAAGTGCAGCAGCCCTCCTGGACAAGGTTTGGGCAGGACCTGGGGCCCACACAGGGTGGCAGGGGGTCTCATGGGGACTTGGCTTCAATTTCCAGCTCTGCAGCTCTGTCTGGCTGATTGGGGCAAGGAGGAGAACCTCGGTTTTCTCATCTGCAAAATGGGTGTGAAGTAAGTTTTGTAGGGGGTGCATCCCCTAGACTGGGCCGTCATAGGCACTCCATATTTCATAACTGTGCTTATTGAATTACTGGGGGGCTGGAGAGAAGCCCAGAACTCCTTTTTTCTCCTTAGGAAAGGGGCTCCCCCTAAAGGCTAGTCAAGCAGAACAAGAACTGGGCAACAGGCCCAGGTCTAGGGTGAACCTAGCCAGCAGCCACGGGCACCAGATTTTAGGCATTCTCAGGTGCCAACCTTGCCTTTGCACAGCCCTGAGAGTTGGCACCTCCTTAAATTGGGTGGCCTAGGCAGCGTCACTCTAGACCTGGCCCTGGGGGTTGATAAAGATCACTTTTTGTTGCTGGATTATTTCTTCAGAGAAGGAATTTGTATTTGGCAGATGTGGCCATGGGGGGATGTAGCCATCCTTTCAAACAACTGGGGTTTCCCTCCTCCTAAATTGTGTATCTCGACAAAATAGAACCTCCTGGTCCAAACCAAGAGGTAGACATGGTATTCAGTATATAAAATGCCAGGTATGATTACAACTGCATTAAAAAATCACTCCTATATATAAAGAAAGATTAGGGCGGGGCACGGTGGCTCATGCCTGTAATCCTAGCACTCTGGGAGGCTGAGGTGGGAGGATCGCTCAAGGTCAGGAATTCCAGACCAGCCTGAGCAAGAGTGAGACCCCGTCTCCACTAAAAATAGAAAGAAATTAATTGGCCAACTACAAATATATAGAAAAAATTAGCCGGGCATGGTGGCGCATGCCTGTAGTCCCACAGCTACTCAGGAGGCTGAGGCAGAAGGATCTCTTGAGCCCAGGAATTTGAGGTTGCTGTGAGCTAGGCTGACATCACAGTACTCTAGCTCTGGCAACAGAGTGAGACTGTCTCAAATACATAAATAAATAAATAAAAATAAAATAGTACATTAAAAAATTTATAAAACAATAAATAAATAAAAAGTAAAAAGAAACTGATGAAATTAATTTTAGTATGTTTTATTTAAGGTAATGCAGCTAAACTATCACTTCACCCAAGGAGGTATCTTACATTGATTTTTTCATACTAGGCCTTTGAAATCTACTCAACGATTTTGGACTCATGGCACATCTCAAAGGGAATCAGTCATGTTCAAGTGCTCAACAGCCACGTGTGGCCAGTGGCCACGGGTTAGACGGCACAGCTCTGTAGGAATGTTTTCTTTAGTCTACTTTTCTGCGTCTGCCAATGTTGCAATATGAGCCCATATTAAAGTGATTCATGGCTTAGTTATGACTCAGGAAAAATGCACTCAAGTGGCTTCCTCTTAAATGTTTCAGATCTCTAAAAAAGTTCTCAAATTAATCATGGTGGTGGAGAAACCGAAGTCGGAGTTTTACTCTTTTGCAGAACACCACAAAGTCTTGAACTAACAGGATTGCTTTTTAGTAATTTTGAGAATTCAAGGTCTCTAAGGAAGGGCTTCTCTGTTGTGGTCACTGCTGTGTCTCCAGGACCTAGACTCGTGCCTGGTATACAGTTGGCGCTGAAGAATAAAGGAACACTTAGGAACCAGCCTGAAGGCTCTTTAGGACAAATGCACAGTGTGGGGTCAGCCCCACCTTCCACTCTATTTGCTGCTCCTCAAAATAAATATATGTATATATATTTTTTTTGAGACAGAGTCTCTCTTTGTTGCCCAGGCTAGAGTGAGTGCCATGGCGTCAGCCTAGCTCACAGCAACCTCAAACTCCTGGGCTCAAGCAATCCTACTGCCTCAGCCTCCCGAGTAGCTGGGACTACAGGCATGCGCCACCATGCCCGGATAATTTTTTCTATATATATTAGTTGGCCAATTAATTTCTTTCTATTTGTAGTAGAGATGGGGGTCTCACTCTTGCTCAGGCTGGTTTCGAACTCCTGACCTCGAGCGATCCGCCCGCCTCGGCCTCCCAGAGTGCTAGGATTACAGGTGTGAGCCACCGCGCCCGGCCCAAAATAAATCTTCAGGGCCTGGAAGGGGCAGCTGGGACCAGGCTGGTTCCACTTGGGAAGACAATGATCTGGATTGTGGGAAGGGAGGAAGGCAGTGATTGAGGGAGGGCAGGAGAACAGAGGCCTGGTGAGGGAAGGAGGACTGTGGGGTCCTCAGTCCCCCATCCCACCCTGACTTCACCCATTCCCACCAGACGCAGGGCCCAAGGCCCAGCCCAACACTGTAAAGTGTCACTACTGTTCTGGGAATAAGTCGGCCCTTTGTGACTCTCTTTCTGTCATGAACTGCACTGGGAAACAGACGGCATGTGTCACTCTCAACGGGACATGGAGTAGAGGTAAGGGCTCCCTTCTGGAGGTCATTTGCATGGCAGGTCTCCCTCCTTCCTGCACAAATAAGGGTTGAGTTTCATTTGTGTATGTGTTCTGGTTATCTGTTGCTATTTCACAAATTGCTTGCAAACTGAGTGGCTTATAATGACAACCATTTTATTATCTCTTACAATTTCTATGTGTTCAGATGAGCTCCACTGGAAAGTTCTGGGCCTCTCATGTGTTTGTAGTCAGAGTGTGGCTGGAGCTGGAACTGTAGGGCCAAGAGCAGCTAGGGGCTTGTTGGGACTCTCTGGAATACATGTAGAGTCAGGGCCTTTCTTCTTTTTTTTTTTTTTTTTTGAGACAGAGTCTCTCTTTGTTGCCCAGGCTAGAGTGAGTGCCGTGGCGTCAGCCTAGCTCACAGCAACCTCAAACTCCTGGGCTCGAGCGATCCTTCTGCTTCAGCCTCCCGAGTAGCTGGGACTACAGGCATGCGCCACCATGCCCGGCTAATTTTTATATATATATATATCAGTTGGCCAATTAATTTCTTTCTATTTATAGTAGAGACGGAGTCTCGCTCTTGCTCAGGCTGGTTTTGAACTCCTGACCTTGAGCAATCCACCCGCCTCGGCCTCCCAGAGAGCTAGGATTACAGGCGTGAGCCACCACGCCCGGCCTGAGTCAGGGCCTTTCCATGTGGTCTCTCCACATTGGTTAGATTGAGCTTCCTCACATCATGGCTGCCTCAGGGCTCTTTACATGTTTGTGAAGACTCATCCAGCAAACATGGTGGCAGCTGCCTGGTCTTTTAAGACTTAGCCTTGGAAGTCACTTACTGTTACTTCTACCATGCTTTATGGGTTGAAATGATCACAAAAGTCCATCTGGTTTCAAGGGGGAAAGGCACAGACCCTATGAGTTGATGTGTCACAGAAGTTGCAAAGGAATTTTAAAATCACTATGTGTTTGCAAATGGTTGGAGGAGAGGGTTTTTCAGCAAAAGGCTTAGAGTAGAATTACACCAGCCAGAGGACAGACTAACTGTGAAACCAAGAAAGGGACAGAGAGAGATGGCCTAGGCTCCTGCTCCTGGCAGTATGTGAACTAGATCCTCTACAAAGTCTTCCTGCTCTAATTGGTGGCATTCTGGGAAGGTGAGGGGATGAGAGAAGTGGAGGGAGTGGTTTGCCCGGGTGTAGAGGAGTATTTTATCACTGACATTGTTTAGAATTGCTGACACATGGTGATAATAAAAAGCAGACTGACCTTTTAGTTGATTTTAGTATTAAAAAAAATGATTTACAGACAATAAACCCCCTGATGGTCTGTGTTCAGGATAGACTGCTCCCACTTGCCACCCCTTATTGGATATGCCACTGTTTACAGATGAACCAGATCCTATACAGAAATATTTTCCCACACCTTTTAGGGCTTGCAGGAAGTTAAGAAAACATTCAAGGATCCCTAAACAAAACAAAAAATGTGAGCAGAAATCAGAATAAGAGCACTAAGCAAACACGAAAGGCACTGAGGCTAATGCCGATACGAGACTAATTCGGGTTGGGTAAATAGGTCTTGGACTAACAGCGTGGTCAGGGAGCTGACCCTTAGACTCCTACATAAGCCAGGAAGGAGGTTGAAATGATCCCTGATTGGTAGCACTTCCTGGCTCTTAATAGAAGCAAAAGCAAATCCTCTCCAGGGAAAAGCTCCCAGGATTCCCACAGATAAACACCAACCAAAGATGAGCTCGCAATCAGAGCTTAGAGATGCACAAGGAGAGAAATCATCAGAAGGATAGCAGAAACAACAAATCAGAGATGTAGACCTGTGAGCAGCTCAGCTGTTGTAATTACCATCTATAGAGCATAGCCTAACTATATGGAATAAAGTTAGAATCACAAAAATGATCAGGCAGCAATAAATCATAAAACCTGACCAGGTAGAGTTGAAAATGAATCATACAGAACTAGTGAGAGGCTGGCGGAGGGATGAGAACCTTCAGACAGAGATAGACAGACACTAACGTGGGAGGTTTGGGCTTGGAGCTTCTTCCTGCAGTGTCCTCTTGTTCTTGCAGGGGGTCCCCAAATCCTGAAGGGCTGTGCTACACCAGAGGTCTGCCACCTACACGTGAACTCCACCCTAGGCCCCGAGGAGTCTGGGTTTCGTCTCACTGCCAAGCCTGAATGCAGCTACCTGGCTCCTCCCACTCCACCAGGTGCTTTGAACCCTGCCTTCCCGAAACCCTGCCCTGTCCATTCTCCCTGGACCCCATATGCTCTTCCCAACCCTATGTGCTCCCCGGGTACCCCCGTGTTCCACCATAATGCTCCCAAGGAATACGATTACCCACATGCCCATATGCACAGCACCTCACTGACGCAGAAGCAGAAAATTCACTGGCGCATGTCCACGCTTCCACAAACATCCGCATTTATATCCCAACACCCAAAACACATCCACAGGGGTGCATGAATTTCTAAACATGAACATACCGCGATGTAAGTGAGATTAGAGATCCGAACTCTGTTTAAATAAGAAATCTGATGGCCTTTTTCTTTTCGTTTCTTCACTTCTTTGCTTGTGAAAGCAGACAGATTTGCCAATAGTCATCTTTTGGCTTAACCAAAAGGACACTCACAATAATTTTTGTCTTCCAGAAGAGAGAAATGCTAATTGAAATCATATTTACTGGGGCGACAGCTTATTGAGCAATTCAACAGAACAGAATTATAGACATTTGGCCGGGTACGGTGGCTCACGCCTGTAATCGTAGCACTTTCGGAGGCCAAGGCGGGTGGATCATCTGAGCTCAGGAGTTCGAGACCAGCCTGAGCAAGAGCAAGACCCTGTCTCTACTAAAAAAATAGAAAGAAATTAACTGGCCAACTAAAAATACATAGAAAAAATTAGCTGGGCATGGTGATGCATGCCTGTAGTCCCAGCTACTTGGGAGGCTGAGGCAGAAGGATTGCTGGAGCCCAGGAGTTTGAGGTTGCTGTGAGCTACGCTGATGCCACGGCACTCTAGCCCAGGCAACAGAATGAGACTCTGTCTCAAAAAAAAAAAAAAAAAAAGAAAGAAAGAAAGAAAAAAGAAAGGAAAGGGGCAACATAGGATTACTAACAATAGGAACACGAGACATGGAATTTTTGCATATATAATCACTATGCATAGACACATGACATATCCATACATGGACATAGGCTCTCAGATCCACACACATGGCCTGAGTAAGAGACAGGTACAAACACACCCAAATATGCAAAATCACAAAATATACACGGGCATGCTGAAATGCACTACTAACATTCATAAATGTTCACAACTGTGCTAATGTGTGTGTATATATATATATATATATATATATATATATATATCCAAGCACCTCCAAACCTTGCTGGAAACACAGACATACCCGGCCATAGAACACACACAGACCCACAAAACCAACCTTATACACATACACGTTAAACACACATATCTGTTTAGACAGACAGAGTCCTGCAAAGTTACACACACAAACATCCCCACCTTCCAGCCGGGAGTTTCAGAAGCACACAGACAGTTCAACACAGGCGTGCACAGGCAGACACGCACACAGAGAAACAGGCCTGCGTACTTTCTAACACAACTGGCATCATCGCAGAAGTGCACACGTAAAGGCAGCTTCACACACTGATGGGCACGTATTGATGTGCCTGGAAACTTACCCCTCCCTCCCCCGACACAAGAACACACACTGGCTGTCTTCCAGGAGTTCATTTTCCTCTCCCCCCAGGTCCCCATGCAACTGTGACCCACCACAAGGACAAGGCTACCATCTGTTTCACCTGCTCAGACCTCTATCGCTGTGATCCTCTCCCATGCCCGGAAGATAGGAGCTACTGCCTTCAGACAGCAGGCGTCACAGGTGAGTGCCCATGAGGACAGAAGCGGGCTGGAGGCACAGCAAGACTTATTCTTGCCCTCCCACGTTTGCTGCCTTGGTTCCAGCCATTGTAGCCTTTTCCTAGCCGTGCAGGACAAAGGCTGGGTGTAGTGGAGGGTATGCGTTTAACATCTGATGCCACATTTGCTTTAGTGATTGTAAATCAGCTTAAAACATAGTGGCTTAGCCAGTTACAAAAGGACAAATACTGTATGATTTCACTGACACAAGTTATCTAGAGTAGTCAAATTCATGGAAACAGAAAGTAGGACGGTAGTTGCTAGGGGCTCAGGAAGGGAGAAATGGGGAATTATTGTTTGATGGATGCAGTGTTTTGGTTTTGCAAAATGAAAACATTTTTAGAGATCTGTCACAGAACAATGTGAATATGGCTAACACTACTGAACTGTGCATTTAAAAATGGTTAAGAGGGTAAATTTTATACTTTTAAAAATCTATAATGAAAAGGAAAAACTTCATGGTTAAAACAACAATTTGTTATTTATCATGATTCTGCGGTTGACTGAGCTCAGCTGGACAGTTCTTCTGCTCTAAGTGGTGAATGCTGAGGTCAGCTATGTGGCTGCATTCATCTGGGAGCTTGACTGGGACTGGAATGTGTCATCCTTTAGGGAGGGCCTCTCTCCACTGGGTTGTCACCAGTGGGTAGCCTAGTTTGAGTTTCCTTACAGCAGGGTGACTGGCTTCTGAGAAGGAAGAGGTGGAGACTCCCAGGCCTTTTAAGACTTAGGCCAAGAATGGCACAGCATCACTTCTGCTACAGTCTATAGACCAGAGCAAGTCACAAGGCCAGCTCAGATTTAGGGCTTGAGGAAATAGATTCCATCTCTTGATGAGGGAGTGGCCAGGTCATGTTGCAAAAGAGCATGTAGGATGGGGGATGTGGCCACCTTGGTATCCACGACAACACTCTGGGCAAGGAGCCCCCTAAGGCTCCTGTCAGTCTGCTCCCATAAAAGGAAAACATGGACTCTTATGTAAATGGGAGGAGGAGTTCTTTGCTATCTTCCAGCAGCATAAATAGGAATAGTAAGCATGGTATACCAGGCCCTAATGCTGGGAATTTCTGGGATCCTAGAGAAGTTTCTTTTTTCTTTTCTTTCTTTTTTTTTTTTGAGACAGAGTCTTACTCTGTCACCCTGAGTAGAGTGCAATGGCATCATTGTAGCTCACTGCAGCCTTCAACTTCTGGGCTCAAGTGATTCTTCTGCCTCAGCCTCTAGAGTAGCTGGAACTATACACACATGCCATAATACCTGGCTAATATTTCTATTTTTAGTAGATACGGGGTCTCACTCTTGCTCAGGCTGGTCTTGAACTCCTGATCTCAAGTGAGCCTCCTGCCTCGGCCTCCCAGAGTTTAGAATTACAGGAGTAAGCCACCGCATTTGGTCCTAGAGAAGTTTCTGATTAAGCCCATGAGGTGCTCATAATAAGTTGGAGAGACCTCACAGGTACAGAGCCACCATGTTCATTGAAACCCCAAGGACAGAAGGTGGGCACCAAGGAAGGATTTCTGAAACTATGGTCTTAACAAATGATGACAGGCTTTGGATGTATTATGGGGAGATCTCAGGCAGATTGAATGCCAACAGGGTAACACCCAAAAGGATTGTGGGGGTTCAGTTGGGTGGTAGGTTGTGATTGGCTTTCTCACTCGCCTGCCCTCCACATCTCTTCCCCCACAGCCTTGGGGGAAGGCAGTTCTGTCACCTGGAGAAACGGTTACTGTGTGGCCTCCACGGACTGCAGAGTTGACAACTCCATCTCTGCGTTGACCTACGGCGTCAGCTTCGGCTTCTGGGTCAACACCACTTGTTGCCGAGGCAACTGCCAGGAGCCCATTCCTCTCGGTATGCTGCCACTGGGAAGCAGTAAGATGGGTGGCCAAGGAGGTGGCAGGTGGCTTTGGAGGAGAGCTTTCCTGGGTTGAGGAAGGGATGGAGGCAGGAACATCACTCAACCTCCATTCCCCAGCCAGGCTACCCTAAGGCACCCTGACCCTCGCTCAGTGGGAAATCCCATTGAGGTTGTCACAGTGTGGTAGAGTCTATGAGTGCATGGAGGGCCCTGGGAGGTCCTGAGACTCTTCCCAGCCCATCTTCACCCTCTCCTCTATAGCAGCTCAGCTGGCCTCACCCACCTTGAGCAATTTCCTGTGTCCCACATGTCCTGGGAGCCACTTGGGTCCCTGCAATTCCTCCTTCTACATGCAGTGTCCCAGTGGGGAGACCAACTGTGTCCAGCTGGACCTGGTGTCTGAAGAAGGTAAGGTGTGTGTGTGTATGTGTGTGTGCACGTGTGAGCCTGAGCACACTGGTTTCAGATGCAGGCATGCCTGAGTTTGGGGTCTGCCCTCCATCTTTACTCTGTGTGGCCAGAGACAAGCAACTTTATCTCTGTGCCTCAGTGTTCTCTTCTCGTAAATGGGTATAATGGAGGCACGCTTTTCAGAGTGTTGTGAGGACAAATGAGCTCATAAGGGAGGTGATACAGGAGAGGGTATGAGAACAGGACTCTAGGGCCAAGCTACCTGGGTTCAAATCCTGGATCCATCACTTATGAGCTGGGTGACTTTGGGCAGGTGACTTAGTCTCTATGTGCCTCAATTTCTCCATCTGAAAAAGAGGTTAATAATAGTTTTTAAGTCTCAAGACTGTTGTGAGAATTAAATAAGATAAACCATTAAACTTCTAGATCAGTGCTGTCCAAAAGAAATATAATGTGAGTCACATGGAAATTTTAAAACTTTCTAAGTAACCTCATTAAACAAGTAAACAGTAACAGAGGAAATGAACTTAATAATATATTTTATTTAACACAATTTATCCAACAGTTATCAACTCTAACATGTAATCAATATTAGAAATTATAAATGAGATGTCTTGCATTCATTGTTTTCCTACTAAGTCTTTGAAATCTCATGTAAATTTCACATGCACAAGCATGGCAACTCAAACCAGCCACATCTCAAGGGTTCAATAGCCACATGTGGCTAGTGGTTACTGTATCGAACAGCATAATTCTAGAACATAGCAAGTGCAATATGTGGCATTTCAGTGAATCTAAGCTGGTATCAGTAGGAAGACACAAGATAACTCTATTCAGAAGTGTTAAAATGTGTGCATGTGTAAGTGGGGGGGGCGATGTGCCTTGCAATTTATAAAATCTGGTAAGCACTAGTGGCCATGACCGTTATGTGTGTATAAGGCTTATGTAGGCCGGGCGAGGTGGCTTATGCCTGTAATCCCAGCACTTCCTGAGGCCAGGAGTTTGAGACCAGCCTAGGCAACAAGCAAGATCCCATCTCTGGGGAAAAAAAAAAGGCTTTCATGGGCTAGACAGGCCTTCAATCAAGTATTGTGCAGGGAATGGATGGATCAGGGAACTTGGGTCTGTGTGTGCATGTCTGTGTTTCTGTCCATGAATCGGGTGGGTGTGTTTGTGTTGATCGTGTATGGGCCTCTGGGGGCATCGGGCAAGCTGTATGTGACTGAGGTGTGTGTGTGTGTGTGTGTGTGTGTGTGTGTGCACGTGTTCATGGGTGTGCACAGGATGAGCCTGGAGCAGTGACTCACAAACACAGTTCTGGGAGGAAGTGTAGACCAGCATAGGGCAAAATGAGACAAATCTGCAACATGCCGTGAGACTTGCATTTCTTTTTAACTTTTTTTTTATGGAGAAGTCAAAGATAAATAAAAGAATGAACACTTTAGTAAAGCCCCGTGTAGACCCTTCGCCCAACTCTGATAACCATCCACTCCTGGCCAATCCTGTTCCATCTCCACCTGCCTCATACTATTTTGCAGCAAATTCAGATATTGCATCACTTCATCCATAAGCATTTCCGTACATGGCTCTAAAAGATAAAGACTTACAAATAACCTACAATTATGAGGTTTTTCAAATTGGAAAAAAATAAGACCATTTTGCTTCCATGTCCCGCATCAAGTCTCCAATAAACTGGTTACACCTGCATATTGCTATGTAGACATACATATAGCACATCATATCATGTTACAGTATATCATATATGGCTCGGGAGAAGGAAAAATTGGGAAAGCTGGGCACTAAGCAGGTTGGGGGACGGTGAGCGAAACAGAGTGGCCTCCGAGCGTGTGTGCGCATCGGCCACAGTGAAAGTGTATCTGCGACATATTCATGCGTGTAAGGTAGAAAAAGAATCCCAGCCGTGACCAGCCCCTAGTTCAAGGAGCAGGGCATTCCCGGTGAGTTTTCACGGAGAACACTGACCCGAGGGGACCTCGGGCGCGCGTGTGTGCAAGGCGCGCGCGTGCAGGGGTGACGCTCTGCCCGCCCGCGCGTGTCCCCACGGTCGCCTCCTCACACCCGGTCTCCGCAGGCGGCCGGAACGTGAGCGTGCGCGGCTGCGGCTCCCGAGACCTGTGCAGCGGCCGGACCGTGACCCACGGGCTCCTGGAGCTCCCGGGCCACCGGCTGGCCCGCCCGCCCGAATGCAGCTCCGGCCACCGAGCGGTCGTGGAGTCCCAGTGCCGCTCGGGCGCGGCGCCTGGCCTCCGCCTCGCCCTGCCGGCGCTGCTGGCAGCCCTGGCGCTCTCCTCGCCTTAGGGATCCGCCTCGAGCACCGTCTCCTCAGCCGGGGGTGGGGACGGCCTTCTCCACTGCGTCTTCCGCGTGTCGCTAGATGGCGCCGCGGCTGCCCTCCACCGGGGCACTTCGTGGGGGCCTAGAGGCTTCCGGTGAGGTCAGGAGCCAGGGTGCGCTTCCTCCCGCAGACGAGGGCTTCCCAAAGGCCCGATCTCCTGAGTTTCCCCAAGCCTAAGTCCTCTTTGGTCACACCAGGGCCACCAACGACAGTACCTCTTCCCCTTGCAGTCTAAGGCCACCCACCCCTGCTGAGGCCAGGCCTCTTTGCTCATGAGGGTTGCATCCCTCCTTCTAGATGAGGGGCCTGCCAAGGCCACACCTCCTCCTTCAGACTAGGGCTGTTCTTCTTCCTCAGGTTAGAGACGCCTCCATGGTTGGGAAGCAACTCCTCCTCCTCTGTCTTCCTCCTCAGGGTGTAGCAAAGTCCTGGGCAGCCAGGGTGGGGCTTGAGGACCCAATGCACCCCCTTCCAAGGCTTTCAGAGCAGCCCAGCCCACCCCCACCATGGGCCAGGATGGGTGGGGGGGCCTGGGTGCCACGAGGAGTCCCTCTTCTGTCTGGACTCAATCTCCCAGTTGTAACCAAATCTGAATGAACCACATCTCACAATGCCAAGCAGTTCGGGGTTTCCTTTTTTTTGGAAGTTGCAGCCTCAAATAGGGCCCTGATGTGGCCCTCTCTCCTCTGAGGCCCCGGGGAGGGCAAGCCTAGCTTCAGCTGCAGGTTTGGGGACTTGGCAGAGGCCTACAGATGACAAGGGCTGGGAGCCATGGTTGGCATAGAATCAAATGCTTAGCCTGGAACTAGTGTCACTTTGGAGCAGACATTGAACCCAAAGGATTGAGCACAGAGGTAAAAATGGGTAGCTCACGGGAGGCAGAATGCCAGGAACCGTTTGCTGTCAGCTGAAAGTAGCAGAAAGTACGACCAAAAGAACTGAAACAATTCATTCTTCATTCATCTAACCAATGTTTAGTGCGTGCGTAGGCATCAAGCACAGTTCCAGACACTGGGGACACAGACAACGTTCCCTGCTCTCATGGAGGTTGTGGTTTAGTGGGGGAGACAGGTAATAAATAAATATTACATAGACTATGTCAGATAGTGGTAAATACTACAGAGAAAACAGTGCAGGGATGAGGAATGGGAAATGGGTGTGATTTTACATAGGGTGGACAAGTGGCCTCAGTAAGATGACACTTGGGTAAAGATCTAAGGGGGACAAGGGAGAGGGAACTGCAAAGGCAATGACCCTGGTGCAGGTGCAGTTAGAAATAGTTCATATTATACAACATAAAAAGAACGGAGGTAGGGGGTATCCAGGGGTCATTAATTCAATAGTTAAAGGAGTCATCGAGAACCTGCCTTTCTGCTCTGCCATCCTCAGCATGTTGGCGTTTGCATGATGGGGGCCATAGCTCTGGGATCATGTCCTCATACAGCCATATCCAAAGCTGGAAGAGGTGACTTCCTATCCTTGCCTTCCCAGAAGCCCCATCCCCTTGCAGATTGGCCAGAATTGGACTTCATGCCTCATTAGCCAAAAGTGAGCCAGCCAATCCCTGGGAAGGTGAAGGACTTATCCTGATCAACTTCGCCTAATCAATATTCAGTCCCTGAGGTTGAGAAAGGTTCCAGTTTTGCCTACAGTTCATGGTTGTCCCAGAGTCTGGACAGAAATGGGGTTCTATTAGCCAAGAAGAAGGGGGAATGGATCAATAAGGATCGGTCAGAAAGAGAAAGAATCCTAGGTGTTTCAACAGGAGGAATTTAATACAGGGAATCGCTCATGCTGCTTTGGAAGGGCTGGGAGAGCAAAAAGGAGAAGCAGGCAAGCTGGAGAGTAGAAAGAAAAGAGAGGGAGGGTTCCAGTTACTGTGGCTGTGTAATAGACTGTCCCCAAACTTAATGGCATAGAACAATTAATTCAGGACTGTGAATCAGGAATGTGGGGATGGTTTGTCTCCCCTCCATCATGTCTAGAGCATTATCTAGGGTGGTTCAAGGGCAGGGGTGGAACTATCTGAATGCGTATACACTCATGAATCTGGCAGTTGGTGCAGGCTGTTGGCTGAGACCTTAGCTGGGCCCATAGCCTGAACATACGGCTCCTCTGTGTGTTTTAACTTCCTTACAACATGGTGTCTTGGCTAGTGGTAGGCAGAATTCTAAAATGACCTCCCAAGATTCCTACCCTCACCCCCAGGACTATGAATATAATGGAATACCATAACCACATGATGTTACATAGCAAAGGAAATTTTGCTGATGTCATTATGGTTACCAGTTTAATTAAGTTTGAGTTCATCAAAAGGGAGATTATTTTGGTGGGCTTCATCTACTCACATGAGCCCTATAAAAGCAGTTTTCTCTGGCTGCTAGCAGAAGGGGAAATTAGATTTGAAGCACGGAAAGGATTTGATGCATCACTGTTGGCTTGAGCTTGGAGGGGGCCACACAGAAAGGACCTGAGAGTGGCCTCTCGGGGCTGAGGGTGACCCCAGCCAAGAGCCAGCAAGAAAGTAGGGACCTCAGTCCCAAAACTGCAAATAACTGATTCTGCTAAAAAAACCCAAGTGAGCTTGGAATAGGACACCCAATCCCAGAGAAGAGCCCAACCCAGCCAACCTCTTGATTTTGGTCTTGGGTCTTGAGATCCTAAGTAGAGAATGTAGCAAGTCCCCCAGACTTTTGATCCACAGAACTGTGAGATGATAAATGGGTCCTATTTAATTTTTTTCATTGTGGCAAAATATGCACAATGTAAAACTTATCATCTTAGTCATTTCTAAGTGTACTGTTGAGTAGTCTTAAGGGTATTCACATTGTTGTGCAACTAATATCCAGACCTTTTTCATCTTGCAAAACTGAGACCCAGTAACTCTTTGCACTCGCTTGTTTTTTTCTCGATTCCTTTATTCTACTTGGGATTTAATTTTTTAAATACCCCCGATTTTACAAAGCGTGGCAGTAGAATAAAAAACTGGAGTTTATTTTCATGCAAACATATTTATTTGGATTTTTTAATATTTCAAATTATTGATACATTCAAAGAGTAATTTTAATCTCTATAACCGATGCTAACAGAGTCGAGTCACACTCAACATCCGAGTGCAAAGGGTTAAACAACAACTCCCCATTTCCCTCCTCCTACCCCCTGGAAACCACCATTCTACTTCCTGTTTCTGTGAATTTGACTACTCTGTATACGTCATATAAGTGTCCTTTAGTGACTGGCTTAGCATAATGTCCTCAAGGTTCATCCATGTTACAGCGTGTGTCAGAATTTCCTTCCTTTTTAAGGTTGAATGACATTTCCTTGTATGGATAGATCACATTTTGTAGATCTATTCATCCATTGATGGACACTTGGGTTGCTTCCACCTCTTGGTTATTGTGAATACTGCTGCTATGAACACGAGCATTCATAAGAGTGGTTTGCCATGTCCCTGTTCTCTGTCATGGGGACCACAGGGTTCCAGACAGAGTCCATCAACCTGGATCCTGAAGTGAAAACAGATATTGATCAGGGAGGGCCACAGCTGACCCCCAGTGGACAGGTGATGTTAGTGAGAAAAAAACCTCGTTGTTGTAAGCCACCAGGACATCAGGGACTGTTTGTTACTGCAGCATCACCTGACCTATCCTGACTAGTAAAAAAATCTCAAAGGGAATTGACCATAGAGATGAAGGTAGAACGAGAAACATCTCAACTTGTCTCCCCACATAGGTTGGTGATGATCTTTGGACTTAAAAAGACCTGCATTTGTAGTGTTGATTCATAATTTTTCTGCTGTGCAGCCCTGGCCAAGTTTCATAACCTCTCTGAACCTTGTGCTCCTATTTGTAGTAATTTGACTCTCATGTTGTAAGGTATTGTTACAAAGTATGGAAAGCACAAGGCTTGGCACATCCTACGTTTTCAACAGATGGAAGTGGTCACTTCCTGGGGTTGTTAATCACGGCAACTGTACTATTTATCTGCATTGTATAGAAGAGAAAACTGAGGCTCAAGGAGGAGAAAGGGCTGCTAGTAATTAGAATATTGGATTCACTGACATCTGTCTGACTCTAGAGGATAAACATTTTAAACACTAAGAAAAGGGCCTGGCGCGGTGGCTCACGTCTGTAATCCTAGCACTCTGGGAGGCCAAGGCAAGAGGATCGCTTGAGCTCAGGAGTTCGAGACCAGCCTGAGCAAGAGCAAGATCCATGTCTACTAAAAATAGAAAAAATTAGCTAGGCGGGGTGCTGCGTACCTGTAGTCCCAGCTACTTGGGAGGCTGAGGCAGGAGGATCGCTTGAACACAGGAGTTTGAGGTTGCTGTGAGCTAGGCTGACGCCACAGCATTCTAGCCCAGGCAAAAGAGTGAGACTCTGTCTCAAAAAAAACAAAAACAAACACTAAGAAAATGTCCAGACTTACACAAAAGAGTGTATAGTATAATGCACCTTTGGGCATCAATCTTCCTGTAACCAAAATTATCCACATTTTGCCAATTACCTCCTCCCTCCTGTGCTCCTTTCCTGCATTTTCCCCCTTCCTTCCTCCTCTCCTCCTTCTTTCCTTTCCTTTCTTCCTCCCTCCCTCCTTCCATCCTGTCTTCTTTCCTTTCTCCCTCCTTCTGTCTGTTTCTCCTGTTCTCCTCCCTCCCTCCCTCCTCCTTCTCTTTTTCCTTCCATTCCTCCATGTCTCTCTTCCCCTCTCCCTTCTTTCCTTCCAATTCCCACCCTCCCTTTCTTCCTTTTGGTGCCGAAATATCTTTTTTTTTTTTTTTTGTTTTTTTTTAGAGTCTCGCTTTGTTGCCCAGGCTAGAGTGAGTACCCTGGCATCAGCCTAGCTCACAACAACCTCAAACTCCTGGGCTCAAACGATCCTCCTGCCTCAGCCTCCCAAGTAGCTGGGACTACAGGCATGTGCCACCATGCCCGGCTAATTTTTCCTATATGTATTAGTTGGCCAATTAATTTCTTTCTATTTATAGTAGAGACGGGGTCTCGCTCTTGCTCAGGCTGGTTTCGAACTCCCGACCTCGAGCGATCCTCCTGCCTTGGCCTCCCAGAGTGCTAGGATTACAGGCGTGAGCCACCGCGCCCGGCC